GGCGGGGAACGGTGCCCGCCTCCCCCCGCGCCGCCCCCGCCGCCGCCGCCGCCGCCCGGGGCCGCCCGGAGCCTCCGGGGAACGGGAATGGGAACGGGAAAGGGAACGGGGACGGGAACGGGGACGGGAATGGGGACGGGCGGCGCCGCGCTGCGCGCCCGCGGCCGTGCGCGCAGCGGGGAGGGGCGGGGGTGGGGCCTGGGGAAGGGGTGGGCAGAGGGGCGAGGTAAAGGGGGGGGAGAGGAGGGGAGGAAAGGAGGGAGGGGAAGGGGGAGAGGGAAGAGAAAAAAAAATAGGAAAAAAAAGGAAGAAAAAAAAAATCAAGAAAAAAAAAAGTGAGGCCAAAAAAATAAAAGTGAGGTGACGCGGAAGAAAAGCGAAGCGTGAAAAAGTGGAGCAAAAAGAAAGCGAAGCGAAAGTTGAAAAAGCAGGAAAAAGTGGAGAGAAAAAAAAAAAAAAAAAAGAAAAAAAAAAGTGAAGCAAAAAGAAGAAAAGGAGGGGCAAAAAGAAAGGAAACCAACAAGGAAAAAAAAAAATGAAAAAAAAAAAAAAGAAAAAGGAAAAAGAAAAAAAAAAAGGCAAAAAGAAAAGAAAATAAAGCAAAATAAAGAGCAAAAAAAAAAAAAAGCACAAAAAATCAACAAACAAAAAGGCAAAAAAAAAAAAAAAAGGAGGAAACAATCAGCAAAATAAAAAAGTGAAAAATTAAGCAGAGAAATAGCAAAAAAAAAAAAAAAAAAAATAGAAAGAAAGAAAAAGACCCAGAAAGAGCAAAACTTAAGGAAAAAAAAAGTAGAAAATAGCTCAAAAATATTTTTAAAAAGCACAAACAAATTAAAGATCAAAAAAAAAGGCATAAAAGCAAATAAAGCAAGAAATAGATGAGAAAAGCAATAAAATAGTAAAAAAGTAGCAACAAAAAATTAAGAGAGAGGTGAAAGTGCCAAAAAAAAAAGTCATAAAAATATCTGGGGTGTGTTTTGGGGGAGAAACTGCCCTGCCCCAGCCTCCCAACCCCACACCAGCCCCCCCACAAAGGCAGTGGCACCAGGGGGTGCCCGGAGCCCCCATCCCTGCCCCAAACTCCCCGAGCTGGGGCCATGCCCAGTGGGTGCAGGTGAGCGTCCTGCTGGGTCCTTGTTGGCCCCATCCCTCTGCCTTGGCCAACAGATGTGCCACAGGAGGTGCTGCGGTGGCCACTTGGGTTTTGGGGTGCCTCTGGGCAAGGACAGAGGGTGCCCGAGATCCCAAAACACAAAGAGTTCACCCAAAGGCCAGGTGCAACCCCTCCAAGAAAGGATTTAGGGTCCCGGTCCCATTGCTCAGTGAGAGCAAGACCCGTGAGGGCATCTCTCTTCCCAAATTCCTGCAGTGCCTTTTGGTGGGAATTGAGCTTTGTGGCCTCTGATTGTCACTAAGAAATTAACAGTGCTGGCGGGCGGGCAGGGCTGGGGATGGAGGGGCTTCCTCCCCCCGGGAGAGCCTCGGGTTCCCACCCCCCCAGCTCCCCAAAATAAAGGGCCGCTGCCAGCAGGCTCGGTGAGCGAGCATGACCTCATCCCTCAGACATGCCGGGCCGCGATTAGATTAAAACAAAATATTTACTGCTGCAGCATCGGGGGCAGAAGGCGCGTGCGGGGGGGGAGCGCGGCCCAGGCCTCCGGCCTCCACGGGCAGGCCCGGCAGCGTGGGGCCGGCGAGCAGAGCCACTCGGGGCAGGCCTGAGGGGACCCCCAAGGGTTTTGGGTGCCCTGCTCTGCTTTTGTCACACCGATGGTGCAGAAAAAGCCTCCCCAGGGGGGCTGCGAAGTCAGCTTTTCCTCAGTCCTCCAGCTGGAGGCCGGAGGCCGCCATCCCGCCGCAGCACGATCTGCAAGGCCTTGGGAAAGACAAGACGGGTCCGTCCCTGCTCCAGGCAGGACCATTCCTGCCAGATCCCTCTCTAATCCCTGCTTAAAGACCTCCGAAGCTGGAGGCAGCCTCTGCAAGACCCCGGGATAAGTTTCCTATTTCATCGTGCCCTGCTAGGCATTCACACGGGCTCCGTGGGATGGTGGAGGCTGGAAGGGGCCCTTCAAACCCATCGGGTTTATAGGCACGGACGTCTTCCACGAGATGTGGTTGTCCAACCCAACCACCAACCCTCCCAGCGCCAGGGGAGCCGAGCGGCGAGCCTGGAGATGGGAAACAAGGTCAGGGAGATTTATCCCGACAGCCCTGGGCGGCTTCCAGACCCTAGTGGAAAAGGAGAAGGGAAAAAGTTGCTCTCCTTCTAGGAACCGCCGCTCCGACTGAGAAAGCACGGTTTGGAGAGAGACCCCTGCGGCCAGCGCCTGCACCCGAAATATTTTAGGGGCATGCCAAAAGGCTGCGACCCCGATGGAAACACGGGGCGGCGGAGATGGGGAGGAGGTGTGGGAGACACAGCACCGATCCCAGACCTGACACCAGGGTGATGGGCTCCGCACCAAGCTGCACGGGGAGGGATTTGTCCACAAACAGGCTAATTTCCTAAAGAAATACAAAAGAACCCAATAAATCGATGCGATGAGCCAGGCTAGCTTCGCGCAGCCTCCCTGAGGATACGCCTTCTCCTTTATGCGCACCGACCGCATTATTCATTTTTAATCATCCTCGCGCTAAAGTGAAACTTACTGGGGTGTAAAACCCAAACCTGTGGCTTTTTTTTCTCGCCTTCAGGCCAGCCGCCGAGCACTTCCCGTCCCCCCGGGGCCTCGCTCATCCTCACAGCCACTTCGCGTTCTGGCACGGCCGCTGCCAGCTCGCCAGAGAGCCCCCCAGAGCCGCCACACTGCTTCCAATCTTCCACCTCAACCTGGGAAAAATCAATTTTTCATTCGCACGGGAGCCAGAAAACAGCTTTTCTGCCCCCAATACGCGAGGAAACAGTGAGGAAAAGCCTTTTCAAGCCCACGGTCTGCACGATGCCCCCAACTTCTGATTGTTGCAGTCGCTCCTTTTAATGGATGCAGTCTGGGGCTGCTCGTGCATGGCATTTATTTTTAGTTTCCCAAGCCCTTGGCTCTACAGAAGCATCTTAATTGCTATTCTTTCGCTGGAAAATGAAACCCAGATGCGCGTGCCGTGCCGAGGTCCAACAGCCTCCCTGTGCGGCGCGGAAAGGAAAACACGGGAACCTCCAAGGGAGCTGCTGGGTCGGGGCTGCTGCTCCAACAGCTAAATAGATAAATAAAAATAAAAATAAAAATAAAAATAAAAATAAAAATAAAAATAAAAATAAAAATAAAAATAAAAATAAAAATCTATTTGATAAAATAGAGGGGGGCCCGCTGCCCCCATCATTGTGCCATGAAGGACCAAGGGAGAGCTCCAGCCCGCGGAGGATGCAGCTTTGCATGTCACAGCCCCTTTCCCCAGGCTGCTTTATTTAAGGGGAGGTTCATGAGGGGTGAAGAAAAGGGTCCTTGCTCCCTTTCCTCCCCTTAAGCAGAGAATTTATCAATTTAGCTATTTTCTGACAGATCTTCTCTTTCTGCGGAGGCAGAGCTGGGTATGAATGGGTGAAAACGGTGCAAGCGGAGCCTGATGAAAGCCACTTTCCTTCACCGGAGAAGCCAACGGAGAAAAGAGACCAAAATAAAGAAAATGGGGAAAATAATAAACACACCTTTACCTCCCGTGGCCAGGAAGGACCACGTAGCCCCGCCAACTTCATCATAACTCCTCAGAGGCAGGCTCCCCTAGCCCCGCTGCCACAAAGGCCATGTTCAGTGACACAAATAGCTTTTTTTTTTCCTTTTTTTTTTTTCCAGGGGTGGAATTGGGGCGTTTTCCTCCAAGTTTCCACGCCCCACCCCGGCCCACGCGTGCATCCCGCGGGGGCACACCTCGCAGCACAATTTCCTTCCCATTTTTTCGCGCTCCTTGCCGGCGCCCTGGGTCAGCTCATCCCGGCTGCCCAACATCTTTAGGGCTTTATTTCACCAGCCATGTCCCAGATAAATAGGGAACGCTCCATTTTTCACATCCGCACTCATTCATACCCTCCTCGGCCTTTTCCTTCCAATCGTTTCTGCTTGAAATCACTTGTCACGGAGGTGGGAAAGCAGAAAGAAGCCTTTGAGCCCCCTGGTGCAGGTGATGCAAATCTCCAGCCTTCATTACCCAGATTAAAGGGCCGGGGGTCCGAAGCAATTAAAAACCTGCCTAATTAAGCCCCTGCTCAGCCTCTCCGCTGGTTATTAGGCAGGGTTTTGTGGGGGGCAAAGGGGCAGGAGAAGGTGCAGCCGCCCAGCGCGTCCCATTATTCCCCGTGAGCCCATTCCCATCGCTAAAAAAATGAACAGAAAACACCCAGCTGGGACAAAATATTTTTGCATTTAAAAAGGAAAACCAAAACACCCGGTTAAGGCAGAAATAAAACACCATCGAGGGAACCTTCGGGGAAGTGGGGCTCTCAAACTGCAGCAGGAGCCATGCCAACGCTCTAAAAAAAAAAAAAAAAACCTCTTGCTATTTTTAATTTTTTTTTTTTTCCACCCTCTGCTTTTTAATTTCTGCTGTCTGCACCTCCTGCCGCTGGCAGCGGATGAAAGTGGCTGCTGGGGCAGATGGAGCGTGTGCTGCTGCTCTGCTGCCCCGCATCCGGCCCTATTGCCCCATCCCGTCCCAGCCTGCAGGGACGGGGTGCCCCACTGAGCACCCTTTCTTCCTTAACTCCATTTTGCACCCAATCACCTAATTAAAAATAAATCTTGCAGCACTGATTATGCCTGTAAGCATATTCCAGATGGATCTTCCCCCGTCCTAATGCTCAGAGGCAAGGCTCCCACTCACCCCCTGCCTTCCCACTGCTGCACCCCAGCCCCATCCACAGCTGAAAATCAGGAGGAACAAGCAAATACACCCCAAAACTAAAAATCCCCAGATGTGCAAGGACCACCGCCTCCGTGAGCCCCAACCCAGGCATACACACCCACAGCACGCTCAGCATTAAGCACCTGTCCGACAGCTTTTTGTTTAATTTACAACCCTTTTATTGCGGCGTGAAGAACCCCCTCAATTCTTCTCCTGAAGGTAGTAGCTTCGGGGCTATCCCCTCCCTCCCTCTCCCCATCATTATTTTTTTTTTTTAATTTTTGTTTTTTCAGGGGCAAACAGTCTATTTTCCTGAAGGCAGCATCCCTCTCCGTCCCCCTACACCACGTCCCCGCGGCTCTGCGCCCGCCAGCGCCCGCGCAGCCTCCGCAGCGGCTCCTCGTCCTCCGGCCCCTCCAGCTCAGGGAAGCCCAGCCGGTCCAGCACCTCGTAGACACCGGCCACGGCCGCCACCTGGAAGCAGAGCGGAGAGGTTGAGGCGGTTTTGCACCCTCCACCCGTCCTCCAACCCCATAAAGAGGACGGGGAGCAGCGGCCGCGATGTCCCCGTGCGCGACCCCAAGCCGCGGAGAGGCACGGACCACCGCCTGCGTGGCACCGACCCCTCCCCGAGCTTCCCTCCAGCTGCTGAATGGTTTTATAAGCAGCTTTATGGTTTGTTAGCTTTGGCACCCTTCCGGAAAAGAAGTTACAATGTCGCCTTGTTGATGTTTTTTTTTTTTTTTTTTTTGAGAAAGAACTGAAAATGCAAAGCTTGTGCTGGAGCACCGCGTGGAGCCAAAGGCTCCTTTGATGCGCGGTGGGGCGCACCTCCTCCCCGAAAACAGGGGCACAGGAGGCAGGGGTAAGCCCAGGATGAGGAAAAGAGCAAAATTTCTTCCAGAACAATGCGGCTGGAGGGGATTTCTTGGATTTGAGGTCTTCCCCCTCCTCCCCCGAGGTGTGCCTTGAGGAGCGAGGCTGGGGTCAAGGAGCTGGAGCAAGGGGAGGGACAAGGAGCATCACAGTGTGTTTTGCACATCAAAATGCGATAAAAAATTAAATACGGGGTGCTTTGTAAGGACGTCCCTATGCAAACGTACAGGATACAACCTCCTGGACTTGAGCTAGGAGGAGGACCTGGCACCAGGAATATTTCCCAGCACAGATTAGCAGCACGGGGCAAGGGACGAGGCTCTCCCAGCTCGCCGAGGTGCAGCGTTTTCCTAAAACCCTGTGTGTCTCCATCCAGGTAGGTTAACGAACAGATTATTTAGGATGCTGTGTTGCAACCAGAGCCTTTTGAGACCTGGGAGTGCTCAGAGCTGGTGCTTCGGGCTGCGATGAGAGGTGAGAGTGGGCTGGGTCCAGCACCCGTTCCACGTGCATGATGATGGCACGTGCAGAATAATGGCCGAGAACGGAGGCACCTTCCTATCACTCCAAACTCTGGTCCAAATAAAAGCCCTACCTCGCGCATCCAGAGGCTGAAGGGCCGCTGCCAGGAGTCCTTCTTCTCCAGGTGCAGGTAGGCGTTGAAGAGGATCAGGTAGATGTAGCGCTCCAGGTACTGCAAGCTCCTCAGCCGCAGCAGCCGCCGCTCCTGCTCGTCCTTGCCCGACCGCCCCTGGAAGCGCAGGGACAAAAAGAAGCTCAGCAGCCTGAGCCCTCATCAGGTTGTTGCTTCCAGCAACATACTTTCATTTCTTTGTATTTTTTCCCCAACTTTGCAGCCCTGTTCACGGCAGGACTGTGAGATCACGTCTGCCCTGGGTAAAGACATCTCCTCTGCGCGCACACGCCGATATTTGGGTAGAGTGCGTCCTGATGTGGCTTCTGTGAGTGTTTCTAACCCTGCTCGAAGCCCAGAAGTGGCAGATGGAGAGGGCACAACTGGGTTAAAGACCACAAGCAGGATCAGAGCAGCGTGGCCCCGCAGAAATGACCAATAAACCGAGAAACCTAACGCAGATTGTTATCCTCATAGCGATTATCCCAAAAAACGCTGCAGCAAACCCAGGACAGCTCTGCAGCAGCCGGGCTGGGAGGAAGCAGGCGGCTCTCTGCTGCCGGCTCCTGCCGAGGAAACCTCCCCAAACAACACATCTGCCGGCAGCGGAAGGAATGCATCAACCTATTTTTTCCTCCTGGGTTGGGATGGGAAGGGCTGGGGAGGAATCCGAGCCGAGCACCACACATTGTCCTTCCCTCCCGAGCGTCCTAATCCTGCGGAGCATCCCCTGCAAGGCTCCGAAAGCTGCTCCCACCCACCCAAAGAGCAGGGTGCGACCCAAACCCATTTTGCAAAGCCCAGAAGGGGGTTTGGGGTGCCTGGAAGCACGCCCGTTTCTCCCAGCTTGCATCTGCCAGCCGGAGCAGAGATGTCCCCGCGGAGCCTGCCCATCCCGGGCTCACTTTTGGGTGAAAAAAAAGGGAAAAAAAAGCAAGCCCTCTCCAAAGTGGCAACAAAAGGCTCTTCCTATGGCAGGGGAGCCGGGCAGCGGATGGCTCCCTGCTTATCTCCCTTCCCCATCAGGCCGGGCTGGAGGCAGCTGGCCGGGAAACAGGATGCGGCCCAGGAACAGCCCTGAGCTGCTCCTCGCTGCCAAGCACCAGGAGAGGGGCAGGGAGGTCGCGGGAACGGGCGGGCGTCTTCCGAGAAATAATGCTGCTAATTCATGGGAGCAGCTCCCCGCCAGAGCCGGAGGCAGCGGGGACGGGAGGAGAAGGGGATGGGGACGGAGCGGCCCTGCCCTCTGCCGGCTGCAGCGCCGGGACGCGGCTCGGAGAGGGGTGCACGGGGTGCTGGACCACCACCACCCCAGCACCTTGGGTGAGGGACCCCAAAGGGTGGAAAAAACACCACCTTCACCCTCTGCTTTCCGTTCAGCCCCCCTAAATCAGTTGTGGTGAGAGCCAAGAGCGCGCAGGCTGTGCTGGGATGTCCCACGGCATTTGGGAAACCCGTGGAAGACCCCAAAAGCCACCGCCGAAGGAGCCCCAGCATCCCCCTGGTTACAAATCCTGCCCTGCTGCAGGATCTGGCCGTCCTCCCCAGGGTCCCGAAAATGGAAAGGGGCCGGGAGGTGCTGCCCACCTGCCGGTAGGTGCAGATGATGATTTCCCGGAGGTGGTAGTGCATGGGCGTCATGGTCTCGCTGACCGTGTCCAGGGCCATGTCCACCTCCTTCTTCATCCGGTGGCCGTCAGGCAGGAGCTGGACCACCTTCATCACCACCTGCAGCGGGGACAAAGCAAAAGGGCCTCCACCTGCAGCCCCCAACCCAACCTCCCCATGCCTGTGCTCACCTCCTGGCCCAGGGGAGGCCCTATTCCCTCCAGGCGAGGCGGGCTGGCGCATCTTGTAGGGCACGGGAGACCCTACAGCAGCTGCAGGACTCACCTCAAACTCCCCCTTGGTGTACTTGGCGTCGGGCACGCTCACGATCTCATCCTCACTCGCCTCGGGGACGCCCTGTGGAGGGGCAGGGAGGGTCGGGGAGTTAGGTGCCTGTAGGGCCAACCCCCCCAGCTCCCCACGAGCCACGGCACCGGTACCCACAGCGCAGTGCCAGAGCGCCAGCACGGCGATGACCATGGCCGTGGTGGTCCGGCCCCGGCCGCTGGCGCAGTTGAAGACGAAGGCTGCCCGCGAGTCCTCGGCCAGGGTGGTCTTCATCGCCTCCAGCAGCCGGTCAAAGTCCTGCCGAGGGCGAAGTTTGGATTTAAGGAGGGTGCTGCCCCCCACCCAGGCGAGGGGACAAGGGGCCACGGGCGGTACCTGCTCCTTGGGGGCACAGAAGTCGGGGATGGGGATGCGGCGGTAGGTGAGGCCCGGGCAGGTGCTCTTGTGCTGGTTGAAGATCTCCTGGGTGGTCAGGCAGCTCTTGAACATCTTCATCTGCTTCTCCGCCTCCAGGTAGACCTCCAGCCACTGCTGCGACTTCAGCAGGTCGCCCTTCAGCGCGGCCTCGAGCTTCTGCAGAGGATGGAGGAGCCCTCACCTTCACCAAACCCGCTCCTCGTCCACCTCTTCCTCTTATTTTTATTTTTTTAATCCCCTCTCAACCACCCTGCAGCCAACACAGACCCATGTACCATGCCCTCCACTTCTGCCCAGGGACCGTGGGCACCCCAGTCCTCCCGGACCCCACAAAGCTCCTCCGTGCCACCATGGTGCTGCTGGCAGCTGAACCCCACTCCCTGCCCCCAAAAAAAGCCCCAAAAAAGGAGCAGTGAGGGCTGAGGGACTAACAGAGCCCGGTTTCCCTGTGCACATCTCTCAGGAGGGCTGTACAGAGGGGGAGATGCCTTTCCCTCAGCGGGAACACGACCTACGCCTCTGTCCCACATCCAGCTGTTTATCTGCAAAAACCTCGCAAGAACGGAAAACGAGGTCAAATTTAGCTCAAATGGGCCAGAGGGTAACGTTTGGAAGCACGAAGAAGAGGAAGGGCACGACAGAGGCCAGGAGGAGATCAGCAGCACAGCCAGAAGCAGCACTGGGGAGCATCCCCCAGCGTCCTGGTGCAACCTTTGTCCACCCTCCCCTCGTCCCTCCTGCCCCGAGGCAGGATGAGGCACCCCAAAACCCCAGGCTCACCTCCAGCTGCTCGGGCGTGGAGGCGGGCACGGGGACGAGCTCGTCGAGGCTCCCCGGCTCCCTGAGCGTGTAGACCTGCTCGTTCCCCTCCAGCACCACCTCCTCCCGCAGGTTGACCCACAGGATGCGCGAGTGCTTCCTCTTCGCGTCCGTCAGGTACCGCAGCACGCTCCCGAGGGTCTAGGGGAAAGGGTGGCCGTGGTGAGGGGACGGCACTTTGAGGGGTGGCCCTGCCCTGTGCAGGGTGCGTGCTCCTCACCTTGGAGCTGGGCTGCGCCGTCCCATAGATGGGCATTTTGGGCACCCGTCGGAAATTGGCCACGCTCATCTCCTTGACGGTGCTCAGCACGTCCGGGCAGAAGCGCTCGTCCGCCACCTGCAGCGGGGCAGACAGGGCTGGGCGCCCCATCCTCACCGAGCACCTGGACCCGAGGACCCCCAAAAACTCCCCTCCTGCCCTGCCACGGAGCGACCCCGCTCCTCCCACCCCGCCAAACCGATCCGGGGTCGGGCACCGGGACGGGTACTCACCAGCACCCGCGCCCCCTTGGCCAGGAGGTCCCCGGGGACGGCGAGCTCGGGGAAACCGATGTCCGCCTGCAGCCGGTACAGCTCGGGGTGCCGGCACATCCACCTGCTGAAGCTGAGGGCAAAGCCCAGGGGGTACTGCCGGCGGGGGGCCGGGGGGGCGCGCCGTCAGCCTGGGCTCGCTCCCCCTGCCCGGCACCTCTCCGCCTCCGCGCGCTTCCAAAACCCCCCCGGCGCTCCCGGCCGCGGCAGCTCGGAGGTGGCCCCGCCACCCTTACCTGCTCGTGAAGGTAGTAGTTGAAGGCAACCAGGTAGAAATAGCGCTCGAGGCTCTGCTGGACCCTCTGGAGGCAGTGGTCTTTGGTGCTGCCCCCCTGGAAGCAAGCACGGGTGGAGTCACGGCCAGCACGGAGCCGGAGCCAGAGCCCCTTCTCCTGGAGCCCCGCACGCAGGGCAGGAGAGCCCCACGAGCTGGCACAGAAGAGCAGCGAGCAAGCTGGCCCAAAGCATTTTAAAACAGTCATTTTGGGGGAAAAGGAGATCGAAATCCCACTGAAATCCCTTAGAAGGTTTCATTTTTTAATTTATTTTTTTTTTTTTTGCGTATTTACACTAACTTCACCGAGTTGTTTGCTTGGAAAGAAACCGCTTCCAAACGAGGAGGGGGTGAAAACCCTACAGAACCCTATCTGGAATCGTTTTTGCTGCTTTTTTTTTTTTTTTTTGTTTAGTTTTAAAATGAAACATTTCGAGTTTTTCCACACCGAGTGATGCTCAGAGCCATAAATTCGCCTTTCGGATCAAACAAAGCCTTCCCCTTCACCCAGGGACGCGCCGGGAGCGGGTCCAACAGGACACAAGCTGCCTGCCTGTCCCGGAGAGACAATGTCCAGATGCTGACAGAGAGCAAAACCCAAACGGAGGGGGGTTGATCCATGCAAGGTGCTCACACCACCCCAGGCACCTCTACGGCCGAGGTGCTTCTGGCTGCTGGGTTTCCCCAGGGGCTGCAAGCTGGTAACCTGGGGACTTTCTGCAATTCAGGAACCACCCGACCTCGAGTTTGGGGGCCACGTACACCCAGTCCTCCTTCCCTGAAAGCAAAACCCCATCCTAGACACGATGGGAACCCTGAGATTTAGGAGGTGCACATAAGGATGAAGCTGTGCCGGGGTGGGACCGGGGAGGGCAGGGTACCACCAGGATGCGGCCGAGCATCCCACCCCAGCCCCTGCATCGCGCCAGGACCTAAATCTCCGCTTTTTCCACCCAGCTCGGGGCAGTTCTTCGTGGGATAAATCCTCCGTGCCTTTCCTCTCGGCCTCTCCCCCCACCCGTGTCCCCCCCCCGGCACATTTTCCTGGCCCCTGGCCATTGTTTAAACGTGCTCTCACTATGTGCAGACTTCAAATAAACACTCCTCTCGGCTAATTTACGGCAATCCCCGGCCATTTGTTTTCTGCCATCGTGGAAGACAAGGAGCAGCCCTCCCCGGTGCGAGGAGAGGGTCACCCAGGGAACCTTTCACCCCCAAGGCACCCAGCCTGGGCACCCACGGGTGCCCCCGTGGCTGCACCCACACCTGGCCCCGTGGCCGAGCGCACACAGCTTCGTGCCACCACCTGGAGCGGCACCAAACGGACCCAAATCCACCCTAAAAAAAGGAACCGATGGGGGAAATTTGGGGCTTCCGGCTCTAACGGCTCATTCATCACTCAGATGGAAAAATTCGCCTCCAAAAAGGCTGGAAGGGAAGTTAAAGGATGAGCCGGGCGCACCTGGGGTCTGCGCTGTCTCTGCCGGCCGAGAGCTGGCTGGGAGAGGCAGGAGAATTGCTGGACCTCAACCTGCCGGTTCCCCAGTTTCAGAGATGACAAAATAATATTTTATAATTTTTTTTGGCCTACGTGCATCTACCAGAGGCAGCGGCAATGCCCAGGAAGAGCAGATTTCCCCAACTTCACAGCCCTCAACCAAAAAAAACCAACCCCAAACGCCCCGCGCCCCAACCTTCCAGGTTCACATGTCCCTGGGACGCTTCCAGGGCGCAGGAAGTCGCAGATTTCCACAATTTACATTCTTCCCGTCCGCTCACAGAAACATTTCTGTGAATTACTGCTGCCAAGAGGCCGAGCCATCCTCTAATTAACGGCTCGCTAACGAGGGCCCCCAGCTGACACCCCGGGGCTCAGCGTGGCGCAGTGTTGAGCGGGGAGCTGTTGCTCCTGGCCCCCCCAAAGCCGTGCGGGCGGTGGTACCTGGCTCTGGCGGTCTTCCCCAATCCCTTCCAGCTTCTTCTTGGCCTCGTGGACGGCTTCCTTCATGTCGTGCATCTCCGAGCAGGAGGCGATGGCGCTGTCCACCTTGCATGGGGAGAGCCGGTCAGCGGAGCCCTCCTTGCCCACCCCGAGCTCTACGGGGCTGTGCAGCTCCCCGCTTACCTCCTCCACCATCTGCTGCCCTTTGGGGACCACCTCGATGAAGCTCTGGATCACCCGAAACCTGGCCCTCGGCAACGTTTTGGCCGGCGGCTGGGGACTGCCCATGGGGACAGGAGGGAAAATTAAAGAAAGGGGGCATCAAACCCATGCCCACCGGGGTCCCCCACGGCCCCGGGGACAGTCCCTGCTTACTCGGGCTTCTGCGTGGCTCCGCGGTGGTGGAGGAGGACGAGGGTGGCCATGGCCATGGCCAGGTTGGTCCTGCCCACGCCACTCTGGCAGCTGAAGAGCAGCGCCGGGGGGGGTCTGCTGGGGTCCCGCAGCAGGAGGCCGGGGCTCTCCTAGGAGGAAAGGAGGTGGGCCCCAAAGAGCTGCAGAAAGCAAACCCCAGCACCCCAAACCCTCGCAGATCCGGCGCTTTCCCCCGCCTCACCCTGAGGAAGCGGATGAAGGCGTCGAAGTGCTCCTCCAGCGGGGCGCCGTGGGCGGGCAGGGGCAGGCGGTGGTAGCGGTAGGCGGGCAGGAGGAAGACGGGCCGGCGGTACACCTCCCCCGTCACCTGCACGTCCTCCTCGCCCTGCACCCGCACGGCCCGCGGCTCGTCCCGCAGCCGCTCGATGTCGTCGTAGACGTAGTAGACCCCCTGGCTCAGCTGGGCAAAGTCGTGGATCTGGAGGAGACAGGGATCGCCGTCAGCACCCAACCCCACCGCGGGACACCCAAAAGGGGCCGTCTCCGCCTCGGGTCCTCAAGTCTTTGCTCTGTTGGGCACCAAACTACGTGGAGATGAGCGTCAGAGCCTGGTGGCCCTTGCCACGGCCCCACTGCCATCACCTCTTTGCGGATGGTGAGCTCCAGGTCCTCCCCGCGCGGCCCCCGGCGCAGGCCATGGAGGTTCTCGTGGAGGCTGTCCTTGCCCCGCGGCGTGTAGGCCACGAAGTCGCCCTCCACCCGCAGGAAGAGCACGGGCTCCTCGCGGACACAGAAGAAGACGCACTCCTGGAAAGACAGCCACGGATGAGGCGTGTCGGGGATGGCACCGCTCGTTTTAGGACAAGGCTTCCCAAAAACCTTCCCAAAGCCTTCCCTCCTCCATGGCCAGCAGCTCTGGAGCACGTAGGCCACTCTCCCCAAAGATCTCCCATTGCTTCCCCATGCCCCCACTGTTCCTGTCCCACAGATAAAAGCAGAAACTCCCCGATTTTGAGCCGCACCAACCTTGTGGCCCTCCCTCTGCAGCTTCTGCAGGAGCAGCCTGAAGCCGTTGAGGCTGGGCTGCCCCATGCCGAACACCGCGTAGCCGCCCTTGGCTTGCCGAAAATTCGGGGCGCCGCAGCTGCCGGTGGTGTTCAGGACGTCCAGCTTGCCGTGCACGTCCCTGACCATGAAATATTTCCCCTGCGGGGTGAGAAAGAGATGGAGCCGGCTCCCAGAGCGGGTGGCAGGGGGGGGCCAGGCGCGGCGATGCCCACCTGCACCAGGTAGTGCTCCGGCGCCGCCTCGGAGATGCGCCCCACCGTGTAGTTGGCCTTCAGCAGCTCGTCATGGATCTGGAACTCCTCCCGGCAGTTGTACCTTGGGGAAAATATATGGTAGAGTCACCAAAAAAAAATTAAAAAAAAAAAAAAAAAGAGATTTTTTTTTGCTGGAGTGGGACGGGAGCGTGCAGCAGGGCCACCCAACGCAACGGGGCCACCAAACGGCCGCCCCGACTCACGTGATGACCACGGGCGCCACTTTGTTGGTGATGATGGACTTGGCCTTGCTGTTGTGCAGCCCCAGGGTCTGGAAGGAGTGGATGCTGAGCGAGCGCTGGTCCTCCATGGTCCCGATGCCGTGCACGCTCTCGAAGGCGGAGGCCGGGCCGCTCTGCTGCGCCGCGCTGGCGGTCGTACCCATCATCCGCAGGCGGCTGCAGGGGAAAACAAGCAGGGGGGAGGTGAGAGGGATTTTTTCGGCCGCCCGGCGCGGCGAGGAGAGGCCCATTTCCGAAGAAACACGAACCCAGCCCTTCCCGTGCTCTCCGGTTTCCTTCCCGCGCTCCTTACGGGCTTTCTCCCCCCTCGTCCTCCGCCGGGCAGGGTCCGGCCCCGGTGCAGCCCAGCTCCCGGCTCCGCGGCCCCTCCGCCATCAGGGCTGGGTTTGCGGGAGCGGAGGGGGAAGGAGAGAGCCGGGATCCGGGCCCCAAAATCTGATGAGTCAGCAGATGGCACTGCAGAGTGACCCGGCGGCTTCCCGGCCCCGCAGGACAGCCATGAGCCCCGCCAGCAACGTGGAAAAGGCTCGGGAAGCCAGGAAATCTTGCTGGGCGTTTCGGGTGGCCCGAATTTCCTCCCGGGCTCCCCTCCCGCACGTGTGTGTGCTCACGGGGGGGGCGTGTGCGTGCACGAGGGCGGGCGTGCACACGCGTGCAAGCTCCATGCACGCACACGCGTGTGCTCACAGAGGAGGGATTGGATCGGGAGCGCGGAGCCCGCTCGTCCCCAAAGACAGAGGACAGCCAGGAGCATCCCGCCACGCTCGGCCACCCCGGGACAAAGCACCGACTGTCCCTGCTGGGAAGAGCGGGGGAAAAAAAAAAAAAAAAGGAGTTTTTCTTGCTTTTAGAGCAAACACTCGGGCTTGCTGGATGGGCACAGCATGCGCTGGAAGGCGCGCGCACAGCCAGGCTCTGCAGGAGGCTGGATTTTAGGTGGAAAGCCACCCCACGTCCCCTAAATAACAGAGAATCGATAAAAAAATCCCGCTCGCAAGCCACACGGCAAACTGCTGGTGGAAAAAGGGCGGTGTTTCCACTCACCGGCGGGCATTTCCCACCCCAAAAGCCCTCCACAGCCTCGTCGGCCCCCGAATTATCCGCGGGCAGACCACGAGGCCGGGTCGGTCCCCCCGCGGGGAGCTGGCGGGGGCCCAAAGGCGGCGCTCACAATAGCCTAAATATAGCGGGGGGGCCCCAGCTGCAGGATGCATCTGCCACGGCCGGGAGGAAGCGTGCACTTGCCCGGCCACCTCATTGTCAGCGGGACGAGCGGGGACAAATAAATCACCGCCCGCATCCCCCCCTGGTTGGGGCATTTGGGTTTATTCCGCGCTGTGCGGCTAGGCGAGGATTTGGGATTTTTTTTGCCCTGGTTTATAGGGGCGACGGTGCCACCGTTGCTTTTCCTCATCCGCCCTCGTGCCCTGCCAACGCGACGCGGCCTCTCCCTGGGAGAAAGCCCCAAATTACACCCTGTCCGTGCTAGCCGGTGATTAGCAGCTTCCTAAATTAGGACAGGCGATGCCCTTCGCTGAGGGCACCACACGGGCTTGGCTCCGGGGGGAGAAAGCCGCAGCCAGCGCCGCCCCGGCTTTGTGCAGAGCGGGGACGCAGCCCCGACGGTCCCCAAAAGATGAGGATTTGGGCCAAAAAGGGGCAGTTTGTGGTGTTCCCCGCTGCTGCGCCGGCAGGAAGCGCCGCGGCTGCCGGATGGAGCGGGGAGCACGCGGCACCGCCGAGCCGGCAGGGAGGAAGTGATGGAGCCCGGCGCTGCCCGTGCTCTCTCACCCTCTTTTCCCAAAAAAAAAGAAAAAAATATTCAATGAAAAATAATAAAATAAAAAAAAAGCAAACAAACAGACGGCACATCCTCTCTGCGGCGGGGAGGGAGCACCGGTGCTGAGCTCGCGCTTCTTGTTTTTGGGCAGCGGGGAGAAGGGCACGCTGGCGGCGTGCTGGGGCACACTGCCTGGCTTAAAAAGTAGAAAAAGTGTTAAATAAAATTCATTTCAAAGGTGGAAAAGGGAAGGAAGCGAGGCCTGCCTCCCCTTTCTGCTTGCAGATTCAGCTTTTAGCCCAGAGAAAACAAGTTGGGGAAATAATCCTCCCCACCTGGGCGCAGGCGGAGGCACCGAAATTGTCCTGGAGTTTTCCCCTAAACCCAGCCCGTGCCCACGGGGTGCAGGATGGGAACGGGGCTTCTCTCACTGTGCTGGAAGGAAGCTGCTAAATTTGAGTGAAAAGAAAGCTAAAAAGGAAAGGTGAGAAATAACACACCCCTGGAGCTGGGAGCAAGCCGCTCGACCCCAAAAAGCCCTGAAACCGACCCTAAAAGCGCTTGGCGATGGGGAGCAAGGGGGCGATGCCCCGGGGCTCTCCTCCTGGGGGAATTTTGCCTTTCCCACCCCAAAAATGAGGCTCCAGCAGGCTGCGGCTCGAGAGGAAGATGCCAGGCAGGGCTCTGGGGGCTCCCGCTGCTCCCTGCGCACACGCCGGGCGCCCTTGGGAAGCCACCTCTGCGCTGCCCAGCCTGGATTTCCAGCCTCGTTAGTAATTTTAACGAGCTGGCACAGCCGGCCAACGCCACATCTCAACCAGCAGAAGTTTCCTAGAAAGCCCAGAGCGTTTCTCACCCCCGGAGCACCCCAAAACCTCACCCTGCACCCCACGGGACCCCCGGCACTGCGCTAACCCCATGGGGACGTTTGCCCATGTCCCTTGGTAAATCTGGAAATAATTTGCTGGGAAAAAAACAGCTCGGGGGGGGGGTCCCCATCACCGTGCCCTATTCGGTGGGAAATGGGGCGCCGGTCCTGGCTTTGGGGTGGTGAGAAGGGCAAAAGAAAGAAAAAGGGATGGGGAGGTGGGCTTGCTTCCCAACCCAGCCCCAGTGCCGCCAGCAGAGCCGGACGGCGTCTGGGTGCTTGGGGAAGGAGTTTTGGGGGGGTCCGGGTGGGATTTTCTACAAAACCCTAGGGGAATTGCTAAGATGGGCTCGGGGATGGGGCAAAGCGCAGTTATAGGGCAGAATTAACGATGTGTATCCCCCAAACACACCCCCTAGGGGACGAGTATCCCCCCAAACACCCCCATATGGGGCCAAGCATCCCCCCGAGCACCCCCACGGGGGAACGAGCTTCCCCCAAACACCCCCGTATGGGGTCGAGCATCCCCAAAACGCCCCCATAGCGTCTCAAGCACCCCCTAAACGCCCCCAGAGGGGCTCGAGCATCCCCCCAAGCACCCCCACAGGAGCTCCAGCGTCCCCCCACGCACCCCTACATGGGGTCGAGCCTCCCCCCAAGCACCCCAACAGGGGCTCGAGCATCCCCCACGGTGCGCGCCCCTCTGTGTGCCGCAGCCTTTCCCCCCCCGACCCCCTCCCCGGTCCGGTACCTGGCTGCGACCCCAACTCAGCTCCTCGGGGGGCTGCTCCGGGCCGGCCCCATAATAGGGGCAGAGGGGCCCGGGCTGGAGGCGCAGCCCCACGGCCGCCCCCCACCCCCGTCCGTCTGGCCGGCCGTGTGTCCGCCCGTCCGGCCGCCCGTCCGTCTGTCCGTCGGCGGGCGGGGAGGGCCGGGGGGGGCGGGTTTCAGCCTCCCCAGCGCTTCCAATGACCGCCGCGCTCCGCCCGAGCCCCGCGCAGGAACCGCCCCGGGGCAGGGACCCCCCCTCGGGACCCCCCCCCCCGGGCAGAGCCCCCCGCGGGGCCGTGGGAAGGGGCACAGGGACGGCAGGGACCCAGCGGGGGTGGCCGGGGACCCCCCGGGACGCTGCAGCCCCTTGGGGAGCCCCCCGCACCTTGCAGCCCTTTGGGGACACCCCGGTAGCTTGATGCGCCCTGGGGACCCCCTGGCACTTTGCAGCTTCTTGGGGACCCCCCCCACACACACACGGTCCCTTGGGGACCCCCTGGGACCTTGAAGCGCCCTGGGGACCCCCTGGCACTTTGCAGCCCCTTGGGGACCCCCCTGCACCTCGCATCCCCTTGGGGACCCCCTGGCACCTTGAAGCACCTTTGGGGACACCCCGGTACATTGCAGATCCTTGGGACCCCCTTCCCCACACCCTACAGTCCCTTAGGGGTCCCCCCCACATACTGCAGCCCCCCTGGGACCCCTGGCACCTTCCAGCCCCTTGGGGACCCCCTGACACATTGCAGCCCCCTGGGGACCCCCCTGCACCTCGCATCCCCTTGCGGACCCCCTGGCACCTTGTGCAGCCCCTTGGGGACCCCTCTGCACCTTGCAGCCCCTTGGGGACCCCCTGGCACCTCGCAGCCCCCAGCTGCAGCCCCCACCCCTTTGGGGACACAAACACACGCAGCCCTATAACCCTACAGCACAGGCAGGACTGTGGGAGTGACACCAGCACAGCCTCCCGTGGAGACCCCAAATGCCCCAGCACTGCCGCCTCGCTCGCACGGGGCCACGTAAATATTTACAGAAGCCCGGCAGGCCGAGGGGAAGGAGAGAAGGAGCCTTGACACGTTCGGGTGGCACCGGGAAGGAGGGCAGGGAATGTAAACGGAGCCTGGAGGCAGCCCGAAAATGGTAAAGGCCGGGACGCGGCGTGGCGCGAGCATCCCACCGCCACCCCACCCAGGCTCAGCCCCGGTGCGAGGATTTAGGCGCAGGCATTTTGTGCCCAGCACGTGGAATTTTGTTCCCAGCCCTGTTTTTTCGAGGAGCAATTCACCACCCCGCGAATAAACGGGGCAAAACGCCCTCGGTGAGCACGGGACGCTGCGGGGCACCCCCAGCCCTCCGCCCCGCGCCGAAAACCCCCGCAGGCAGCAGTCGTAGAACCAAGATCTTTATTGACCTCGCTGTAACAGCAACCACCGGTGAGAGCTCTTCTCCTCCCCAACACCTCTTTCAAGAGACAGGAAAACCCCAAAAAGAAAAAACAAAAACCACCGACAACCCTGAAGAGCGGAGAAGCCGCCCCGAGAGGCCGGGCGCTCCTCGCTCTTCAGCCAGAATCCCGTTTAAGAAACAAGCCAAAAAAAACCAACAGAAAAGAACAACGAGAAAGGTAACTCGGTAGAAAGTCGTAGAAACTCGGTAGAAAGCGGTAGAAACGTCGTAGAAAGTCGTAGAAAGGCAGGATGTCCCTTGGATTATCGCTTTTTCGGCTCGGGGAGCAGCGGTCCCGCGAGGCACCGCGCGGCTGACGGCCATCGCCCTCCCCGCTCCGCGCCGCCCCGAGGACGCGAGGGACCCCCTCGGATCGTCATTTTAAGGAAAAAAAATATATCTCTCTCTATATAACATATATATATCTGTGCACGTGTCACAAGCACCCACCCGCACGCCTATCCGCATCTCCACTCACGCAGCACCCCGATGCCAGTACCTGGCAAAGAAAATCCCCCCCCAGATCCCAAATCCCCCCCGGCATGAGGGTGAGATTTCTCCTTTTTTTTTTTTTTCCTGTTCTCCCCTTTTTTGCTCAGTACCAGAAAATATAAATATTTATCGTAAAACCAAGGGCTGCTCGCAGCGCACGGCCGCGTTGCGTTGCCCGGTGGAAGCGGGGAGCCCGGGAGCCATCGGGGTCAAACCTGGACCCCAAAAGACTTTTCCCCACCCGGAGGGGCAGCATCGGCGGTGCTGGTACCTCCTCGGGTACCACGGCTGCTGAAATTTTCCGGGGGAGCTCAGCTGCTAAAACAACAAAAAAAACCAAAACCCTCGATTTCCAGGCGTTGTTCCTTAAAACAAGTTTTGGGAAGGGGGCAGGTGTACGGGAGCTGAAGGCGACGTGGTGAAAAAAAAAAAAATAAACACACACAAAAAAAAAAAAAAAATGAAACGGGAGGAAAAAATCTGGGAAATGGCGAAGGAGAGCAGGAGGGCGCCCGGTCAGATGTCCATCTCGAACTGCGCGTCGTCCCCTGCAAGAGAGACGGAGAGAGGCGTGAGCGGGTCCCCAAAGCGGGGACACCCCGGGGGCCCGGGAGGGGCCACCCCGCTCGCCCCGCTGCCCGTACCCGCCGACGGCTTCGCGTCGTGATTGCTCAGGCTGCTGCCGGCCTCCGCCTTGGGCTCGTCGGCGGCGGCGGCACCGGGGCTGGTGACGCCGGGGATGTCGGGGAGGTGGCACGGCGGCGTCTGCGCCATGGGCGAGTTGCGGCGGTCCAGCAGGAACTTGCGGTCGTAGATGATGCGGGTACCTGGGGCGGGGGGACACGGCCTTCGTCAAACCGGCCTCCTCCTCCTCCTCCTCCTCCTCCTTCTCCGCTCGGAGGCATTTGGGCGGCCGCCCGGACCCACCCCGAGCCTCTTCTGTTTGCAGAAGGAGTCGCCGCTGGCCGGCCACCACCGCACGAGGACACGCAGCCTCCCTCACGGCCTCCACCCCGAGCCATGGAGCCTCGAGAAGACCCGAGGAGGCTTGAGAAGCCCCGAGGAGGCTCGAGGAGGCTCGGGGAGGGAGGACGCAGCTCCACGCTGCCTCTCTGCCCTCTTATCAGTGCTGATAACCCGCCGCCGGATCAACACCGCGGCGCGGAGCCAAGGACGCTCCAAAAGCCTCCGCGGAGGCCCTGGGGTGCCGGAGGCTGTCGGAGGGAGGCCGGGCACCGAGCGGCTTCCGTGGAGCGGTGACGTCCCCCTCGGCGAGGGGGGAAAGGGGTTTTGGGGTTTTTTTCCCCAAAACACCGCCCGCGCTCCCCGGTTCCGTGGGATTTTGGGGCGCCAACCCCATTGATCCCCTGCGCCAGGTGGCTTCGGGATCAGGGCGCAGCGATCGCCCCGAAATCCTAAATAAGCCCTAACGGGGCTGGTGCCGCCGCGTGGGGACGGGGGGTGCCCACGCCACGCGTGGGGGGGTCCCACACTCCGTGGGGGCTTCCCACGCTCCGTGGGGGTCCCCACACCGCTTGTGGGGGGGTCCCACGCTCCATGAGGGGGTCCCACGCTGCGGGTACAGGGTCCCCAAACCGCGTGGGGGGGGTCCCACGCTCCGTGGGGGGGGTCCCACACTTCGTGGGGGGGGTCTCACGCTCCGTGGGGGGGGTCCCACGCTGTGGGGACGGCTGTGGGGGGGGTCCCACGCTCTCTGGGGGGGCAGGACGGCCCCGGGGCGCGGGTCACGCGTGGGTGACCGCCAATTTTAGGCTTTTTTTCCCCTTTTTTTTCGAGGACCGGAGGGTTGGGGGTGGGGGGGGTGTGCAAAACTGCTCCGCCCCGCGGGCCACGCTTACCTCCCGGCGTGGTGGAGAAGAGGGTGCCGCCGGGGGTGGTGCAGTAGTCGGGGGGCAGCTGCGTGGCGTCGCTGAGGGCCACGGTGCGCGTGGGGATGGCGCGGCTCTGGCTGGGCGGGCGGCCGCCGGCGGACGCCATGGCCCCGCGCTATTGTCCCCGGGGCGGCGCCACCGCGGGGCGGGCCCGCCGCAAGCCCCCGCCCGGCACACGTGGCGCAGCGGGCAGCGCGCCGGCACCGACACCGCGAGGACGCGGGTTCGGGGCCCGGCTCCGGAAGGCGGCGCCACGTGGCCGCCACGGGTTGGGGGAGGGGGGGGTTTGATTAATTTTTTTAATTGTTCTGTTGTTATGTTTGTTTGTTTTATGCTTGGATTTTTTATGCTTGGATTTTTTTATTTGTACTTTTTAATTTGTATTTTTTTATTTGCATTTTATTTTTTTTATTTGTATTTTTATTGTATTTTTTAATTTGTATTTATTTTATTTGTATTTTTTATTTTATTTTTTATTTTTATTTTATGTTATTTTTTATTTTTATTTTTTATTTATATTTTTATTTGTATTTTATTTGTATTTTTTAATTTGTATTCTTTTATTTTTATTTTTTATTTTTATTTTTATGTTTATTTTTTATGTTTATTTTTTATTTTTATTTTTTATTTGTATTTTTATTTGTATTTTTTAATTTGTATTCTTTTATTTTTATTTTTTATTTGCATTTTTATTTTTTTAATTTGTATTCTTTTATTTTTATTTTTTATTTTTATTTTTATTTGCATTTTTATTTGTATTTTTTATTTATATTTTTTATGTTTATCTAACTTTTAACCTTTTCATTCTTTTCTCTTTTTTCTCTTTTTGAATTTTTTATGTTAACATTTTTTTATTTTGGGGCTTTCTACCACTTCTTATTTATTACTTTTGTGAGTTCATTATTTTTTGCTTGTATTTTTTACTTTTGGACTTTTAACCTTTTTTATTCTTTTCTTATGTTTATTGTTTTGAAATTGTATATCTTTTTTAAACTTTTGCACTTTTTACCATTTCATTATCTTTTATTTTTCTATTTTTAAAAATTTTCTTTATATTTTCTGTACTTTCTTTTTCCTATTCTTGTATTTTTATTTTTTTTATGTTTGTACCTTTTATTTTTGTACCCTATACCTTTTTATCATCTTTTATTTTTGTATTTTTAATCTATGTTTGTACTTTAAATTTTTGCTTTCTTCCCATTTTTATTTTTGTGGTTTATATTTTTGCATTTTTTTTATCTGTGTACTTTTTACCTTTTTGTTTTCTTTTTTTAATTATTTTTTCTGTATTTTTATTGTTGTCCTTTTACTTTTTTTTAAAGGTTTTACATTTTTCAGTATTATTTTATTATTTCATTTTTTATTTTTTCTTTGCATTTTTTCCTTGCTTTTTTCTTTCTTTTTTTTTTTTTTTTTAAACTTTTGTACATTTATTTGTATATTTTTGTGTGCTTATTCATAGGATTTACCTATTCTTTACCCCCCCACACCCTCCTCACGGCTTCCACCCCCCCCATCCCACCCCGCTGCCAAACCCCGAGCAAAAATAAATCCAGGACACCCCTCCCACTGGCACCATCGCCCCCCCAGCTCCCGGGGCAGGCGTCCCGGGCCTTATTTTTTATTTTTAGCCACCCGCCACCCCGGCTCGGCGGCCCTATGCAGCGGCGGATGGGCGAGGCGGTGGCCAGGGTGGCCAGGAGGGTGAACGAGGTGGTGGAGGCCCGCGAGGACGCCCTGGGTAAGGCCGGGACCCCCGAGTGCAAATCCCCAAAAACGCAAAGCCCGGAGGCAGCTGGGGAAGGGGACGGGGTCGCAGCCCTCTCCCCAAATCCTCGTCCCGCAGCAGAGAGGCCTGCTTGGGAAGAGGGGGTGAGGGAAAGGCGTGTCCCGTCCCGCTGTCCCCATGTGGGTTTTTTTGGAGGACGAGCGCGGCGTTTGGCAGCCGCCGGCCTGCACCTGCCCCCGGCCGTCACTCGGCTCTCCCCGGGGTAGACCTGGCCGACTGCAAGCTGGTGGCCTTCCCCGCCGGCATCTACAAAGCCATGAGGAGCGTCGCCGAGGGCATCCACCGCATCTCGCTGGCCAACAACGAGCTCAGGGCCCTCGCCGGCCGCTTCGCCACCACCTTCAGCCAGCTGCGAGGTGAGGGGCTGCCCCCACAGCCCAAGGAACATCACCCCACAGCACACTCCTCCCGGTGTTTGTGGTCCCCCGGAGGAGTTTTGTGGCAAAAAGTGGGCAATCTGCGCTTTTCTCCCCCAAATTCTCCGCCTTTTTTCTCCTCCAGAGCTCAACCTGGAGGGCAACCTCCTGCACCGGCTGCCCGAGGAGCTGGGGTCCCTGCTGCACCTGCGGGCCATCAACCTCGCCCGCAACAAGTTTCGGCGCTTCCCCGAGCCCCTGGCGGCCGCCCCTGCCCTGGAGAGCATCGACCTGGAAGGGAACGAGATCGCAGGTGAGATGGGGAGAGGATGGAGGTGGAAGCTGGGGGTGCAGGAGGTGCCTGTGCAGCTCCTCCTCGACCTCCTCCTGGGCTCCTCCATTTAGTTTAGCAGCAGGAGGGTTGCAGAAGGTTTGGGTTTTGGTGCTGGTGCCCTCACCATCCCAACCATCCCAACCACGTGTGGTTCCTGGTCCTGCGTGTCTTCTGCTGGGGCTGCCACCAGGCTCTGAGCCGGGCTGACGGTATCTGGAGGCTCCTGAGTCACCCGCTGGGCACTCAGAGGCCGTGGGTGATGTTCTCCAGGGAGACAGGAGGACAAGCAGCTCAATTAATGCCTGCCTGGAGCCCCTGCGCTCCGAATCCGGGCTGTGAGTGCCACCAGCTGCCCTTTTCATCTCAAGGAGCTCTCAAGCTGCAGTGTAACCACGCACAGATTAGTGCCAGGGCTTTTAACTCCTTCCCTACTCATCCGAGGGGCTTCTGGAGCTGTGTTTTTGCTCCTCGAGGGTGATGCCACCACGCAGCTGCGTGCACCTAGTCGGAGCTGTCATCCCTTCCCTCGCCGATTCCCCGGCAGCCTTTGATCTGAGCTAGCTGGTTTTATTTCGCCGTTATTATCATATTCTGCTCTGAGGAAAATTACTGTTGGCTTTAATTAGAAAAGAAGCTTCTTGCTTTTTTTTTTTTTTTCCCCTTGCTGCGTTTTAATGCCCGTATTCTCCTTCTCCAGCCGTTCCACTCGGAAAAGCAGGAAGAGGAGGGGGGAGAGGCTGTAAACACGGGCGCTGCAGCTCCCCAGCACCCCTTGCTCTGTTTTTTTGGGGGGTAAAAACGCCAGCCCTTTCTCCAGGAATCCCCCCTGACATTCTGTCCCCAATTTTCTCCCTCCTGCAGAGGTCCCGGTGGAGGTTCTGGCCTCCATGGCCTCTCTGCGGAGCCTCAACCTGCGCGCCAACCCCGTGTGCCCCGACATGCGCCTGCTCGTCCGGCCCCTCGTCCCCTTCGAGCTGCTGCTGTCACCCGAGGGCGACGTCCCCGAAGCCTGACACGTCCTGCCTGCTGCAGCAGGACCTCCCCGCGGCCTCCACCTGCTGACACCGCCCGATTAAACGTGTGTTGCACGCACTTTGCTCGCTGAATCGATGAGTTACCTCCTCCATAAAACCACCCCGCAGGTGCCCGCGGGTCCTGGCGCTGCGTTTGGCACCCTGGATGCGGTGGCATGTCCCCATGGGGCTGGGGACATGGGGAAGGGCCTCCACGGAGCCCCATGATGGACACACACGTGTGCACTGTGGTGTCCCGAGGTTTTCCCATGCCCTGGTGTCTGCGGAGCCAGGAGGACGCCGGGGGGGCTGCAAAGATGCAGGGGGGACACACAGGGCGTTAGGAGAACCTTCAGGAGGTGGCCCTGTCCCCATCCCGCTGGGACACAGCTTTCCCTGCCTCCCTGCAGGAGCACACGCACTGGGGGGGCTCGAGATGTATCCAGGCTGGGGGTTCCCTGGGGGGCACCCACACCTGGGCTGCCCCCACTGTGGGGGGGACAATATTTGCCCCTGTGGACTCGCCATGCCCTAACACCCCGTGGCAGGAGGCCTGGGGAGGGAGCTTTTTTTTGGGGGGGGGGGACACCCCAGCCCCCAAGGTGACAAGATCTGCAAAGCTTCTCCGGCTCCATCCTCGCTGAGCCGCCCGTGGGTACCCCGGTATCCATGGCGATGGGAGGATGCCCCCCCCTCCGCCCCCCCAGCCGCTGCCGCAGCCGCAGCCGGCGGTGACGGTGGCACGGGAGCGATGCTCGGCGCTGGAGACCCCCGGCCGGAGGAGAGCTGGAGCTGGAGCCCCCCGGCCCCATGCAGGCGCTGCGGAACCCGGAGCCCGGCGGGGGTGAGTAGTGAGGCAGAGGTTTCCTTCCCCTCCCTGATTGCGGTTTTTTTCCTTCCCCACCGACCCAGGGAAGTCCCCGCCACCCAGATATCCCCTGCGGAGAGGAGGACGTGTCCCCATATCCAGCTTGGGGCAGGGGGGCTGTTTTTTTCTCACCCCTTCCTCCCGCTCCCTCCTCCCGGAGCATCCTCCGGTTTCTCAGCCGGCACTGCTGCAAGAAATCGCAGCCCAGGGAGATAAAGTCGGGCAAAGTTTCGGGCTTAATCAAGGTGTCGGGCGATGCTGCTGCGGGCTCGGTGACTGCCCGGTCCAAAATTTCCCTTTTTCAGCCTTAAAATCGCAGCCTGAGTCTGCACAGGGTGAGCCCCCCCCTGCCCAGCATCCCCCCCAACCCCTGCTGGGGGCCGGTGCGCGGACCTGCTCCCCCTGGTAGGTCTGCAGCCGCAAAACGATGTCCCCCTGTCCACCAGGAGCTGCCCTGGTCCCAGGTAATTATCATAATTACATATTGATTAATGCTGGGTATGGGAGGAGAGTGCACGGGCTCCTCTTTCCCGGACACCGGGGATGCTGATGGACCAACCGGGCTGGAGACCACATCGCTGCATCTGCTGCGTGGTCTGAGCGTTGCAGCGTGCCAGGAGATGGGCTTCTCCCCACGCCCTGCTCTCCTTGCGTGAGCCCTCAAAAAAGGAAAAAACCACCAGGAGAACAAGATGCCCGCTGGGTTTCTTTAAACTGTACATCCAAAATTCATTCTGAGCTTGGAGGAGCATCCACAGCGCGGAGCCAGCCCGCCTGCTGGCCCAGCCCCCTGAGCTGGAGGCGGTGACACGGTTGGGATTCCCCATTTCTGAGGGCATCTCCCCACCTTCCAGGGCAATCAGGAAAAGCAGGAAAGGGTCGCTTCATCCCCTTCCACCTCCATTTTTCTGCTGTCCCTTCCTCAGAGCCTTCCAATGGCAGCTGGGCCAACGCCAGCGAGAGCCACCTCCTGAAGGAGAACTACACCTTCTTGGCCTACTACCAGCACTCCTCACCCGTGGCCGCGGTGTTCATCCTGGCCTACACCTTCATCTTCCTCATGTGCATGATTGGCAACATCCTGGTGTGCTTCATCGTGGTGAAGAACCGCCAGATGCGGACGGTCACCAACATGTTCATCCTCAACCTGGCCATCAGCGACCTGCTGGTGGGCATCTTCTGCATGCCCACCACCTTGGTGGACAACCTCATCACGGGTGAGGCAGCAGGGCAGCGGATAGGTGCAGGCAGAGATGTGATGGGGAAGTGATGGGAGACACCACAAGCCGCCTTCTCACCCTCCCTAGGAGGCCACCTCCAAAACTCTTGCACATCTTTTGTGCTGAGGACGAGGAGGGCAGGTGGTGGGCCATGTCTGATGGAGGTCTGAAGCCATAACGTTGCTTTCCATCATCTTGAGTGTCACAGGCCACAGCCAGGGGCAGAATATTTCTGTATTTATTACCACCTGCAATTTATTGGTTGCGGCCCCCTGCCCAGACAAGGCAGGATGTCGCATCCTCCAGCTTCCAACAGGCCACGGGCATTTTTCCACCACACCATATTTTGAAGATAAAAAGGGTTTCGGTGGCTTTGTGGCCCCACAATACCACCCATGTTCCTGCTCCAGGGCTGTGCTTAACCAGTGCCATTCAGCACCTTAATGAGGGAAGCAAATTAAAGCCCTGCAGATCAAGAACCCGAAGGCTGGTCCCTCTGATAATAGCTGGAGTCCTGCAGAAACGCAGGAGAAAGGGCAAGGGGAAGTATTTATGATGTCACCTAGCTCGATAACCTTCTGAAAAGTGTAATACAAATCTTTTAAAACATTTTTTTTTTAATATCTGTACTGCTAAAGGCCATCTCTGTATGAATAACAAGCGAAAAATACAGCTCCCCTGCTTAGGACCAGGATTTAGCATCGCACGGTGGATGGGGACATCTAGAGGGAGTTGCTGATGGACACGGCTGAGCCGAATGTGTTCATCCTCAGGGGTGATGATGAGGTAGGGGATGACGTGGGGACGTGGGCCAGCCCACCACCCCCAAAGCTTCCTCTGTGCTTGCAGGGTGGCCCTTTGACAACACCATGTGCAAAATGAGCGGCCTGGTGCAGGGCATGTCTGTCTCAGCCTCGGTCTTCACGCTGGTGGCCATCGCTGTGGAGAGGTATGTTGGGGTGGGGGGCTCCTGAGACCTCAGCCTGCATCATGGTGGGGTAACCCAAGGCTGCAAAGACCTCCCGAGGCTAAGGAGACCTCCTGCTGCATGAAACCCTCCCCTCCCATCACCTTCCTTCCCCAGAGGTGTCCCACCATGGGCACAGCCCTCATCCCAAGCTTGGCGCCCACAAGGCACCACATCCCCGCTCTCCTTCACCTCCCGAGGTGCCCACAAAGGTGTGGCGATGGCGAACATGAAACCCAGGTCAAAGCCGTGATCGTGCTTTTGGCCACCTCCTTGGGGTCCTACAAGGAGGTCCTACCAACCCCGCAGGTTTCGCTGCATCGTCCACCCCTTCCGGCAGAAGCTGACGCTGAGGAAAGCCCTGGTGACCATCGCTGTCATCTGGGTGCTGGCCCTGCTCATCATGTGCCCCTCCGCCATCACCCTGACCGTCACCAGGGAGGAGCACCACTTCATGGTGGACACCTACAACAACTCCTACCCCCTCTACTCCTGCTGGGAGGCCTGGCCCGAGACTGAGATGAGGAGGATCTACACCACCGTCCTCTTCTCCCACATCTACGTGGCCCCCCTGGCCCTCATCGTTGTCATGTACACCCGCATCGCCTTCAAGCTCTTCAAGTCGGCGGCGCCCGCTCACGGCGCCCGGCCCGAGGAGCCTGAGGGGAGGAAGGTGTCTCGCAGGAAGGCGAAGGTCATCAACATGCTCATCATCATGGCCCTCTTCTTCACCCTCTCCTGGCTGCCCCTCTGGACGCTGATGCTGCTGATGGACTACGGGTGCCTCAGCGAGCGCCAGCTCCGCCTGGTCGCCGTCTATGTCTTCCCCTTCGCCCACTGGCTGGCCTTCTTCAACAGCAGCGCCAACCCCATCATCTACGGCTACTTCAACGAGAACTTCCGACGGGGCTTCCAGGAGGCCTTCAGGGCCCCTTTCTGCTCGCCACCGCGTCGGCGCCACCGCGGGCCCTACGGCGCCCGCAACCGCGTCTTCACCCTGGCCCGGGCCAGCGACTCGCCCCCGCACTCCGAATCGGGGCCCCTGGCGCCTCGCCGAACCGGCGTCCCCGCTTGGGATGGCTGAGCAGCCATGGCCACCACCCTGCCTGGTCACCATGGGGCCCGGTGGGGACATCATGCATGACACTCTGGTACAGAGGAACCCCAATGTTGTCATGGTTTGGTGGCCTTGATGTGGGGCATGAACTTCCAACCCAAGGGCTTGTTGTGGGGAGGAATGAGGATTAAAATAAATGCACGTCTTGCTGATGCCATGTCCCCGAGTCCCACCGGTGTCCCCCCTTTACCCGGTCCCTGCCCCACAGCAGCGGAGAGAAGGTGTGTGAGAGTGGCCATGCCAGGAGAAACCATGCCATGCTGTTGATGCCATGTGATGCCGTATCTTGCTAGACCATGCCATCCCATGCTGAGGCGGCCTTGGTGGACCACACAACACTGCGGCAGCCTTGGTGGACCATGCCATGCTGTGGTGGCCTGGGTGGACCATGCCATGCTGTGGTGGCCCTGGTGGCCCACGTCAACCCATGCTGTTGAGGCTATAGTGTGCCATGCTGTGGTAGGCTTGGTGGACTGTGCCACCCCATGCTGTGGTGACCTCGGTGGACCATTCCATGCTTTGGTGGCCCTGGTGGACCACGCCATACTACGATGGCCTTGGTGGAACATTCCATGATGTGGTGGTCTTGGTGAACCATGCCATGATGTGTTGGCCTTGGTGGACCATATCACCCCATGCTGTTGTGGCCACACTGGACCATGCCATGCTGTGGTGGTCCTGGTGGACCATTCCATGACATGGTGGCCTTGGTGAACCATGCCACCCCAGGCTGTTGTGGCTGTGTGGTGCCACGCCACACTGTGGTGACCATGGTGGACCATGCCACCCCAAGCTGTGGCGGGCTTGGTGGACCATTCCATGCTGTGGTGGGCTTGGTGGCCCCTAACATGCTGTGCTGCTCTTAGTGGCCCATGCCATGCTGCGATGGCCCTGGTGTCCCATGCCATGCTGCGGTGCCCTTGGTGCCCACAGGCCCAGCACCCTCCTCCCCTCAGCGCCCTCCTCCCGCCTCTGCACACGTCACTCCGCGCACGTCACCCTGCGCCACGTCACTCCCCGCGGCGGGCGGGCGGGGGCGGCTCCCCCCTCCCCATCCACCCCCCCCCCCTCCCGCCCCCAGGCGGGCCGCGCATGCGCAGTGTGCGGCGCCGCGCTGAGGCGAGCGGCGCATGCGCAGAGCGGCGGCGCGGCGAGGGGCGTGAGGGGCGCCATGGCCGGGTACAGCGCGGAGGAGCGCGGCGCCCCGCACAGCGCCGGGTACCGCCTGTTCCTCAGTGAGTGCCCCCGCACCCCCAACACCCCTCCCCGCATCTCCCCAACCCCTCCCGGGCAGCCCCGAGCCGGGGGGGGGGCTCTCGGGGGACCCCCCCAAGACCCCCCCCCTTAAGGCCTGAGGCCTGGGCCTGGTGCTGGGCCTGGGTGTGGGCCTGTTGCTGAGGCGCCCCGCTTGCCTTGCAGAGGACGCGGCCGGGCGGTACATCTCCCCCTTCCACGACATCCCCCTGCGCGACGGCGGCGCTGAGGTGAGCGGGGGACCCGCTGGGGATGGGGTCTGTGGGTGTCGGGCTCCAGGGGGGCGCTGGGAGAGGGGCAGGGGTCGCCCCCCCCCCGCCCAGCCCCGTGTTCGTGCCCAGCGGGTGACGCTGAGGCACCCCGGCTGTGGTTTCCACGCCTGGAGACACGCAGGTGTGTGCTGCGGGCACGGGGTGTGCATCACGCGCGGGCTCTAACCGCTGTAAGGTCGTTTTTGTGCCCATAACCTGCCCGGCGCCAGGCGAGGATGCGGAGTTGCACCCCAGGACCTCAGGAGGAGCGGCTCGCCTGCCACGCGCTGCTCGCGCCCCGCCAGCGGTTAGTCGCTTCGGGCTCTTCGAGACCGCTGCCCGAAAAACCGAAGCAGCTCAGTTCTGGGGTCTGCTCTCGGCGTTTTTCCAGGGATAACTCACGCTCCTCACCTCTGTAGCTTGCTTATTCGTCTAACAAGTACTAAAAAGCCTCGCAGCTCGAGGAACAGCGTGGGTTTGGATGCTGAAAAGGACACGCTAGAGAGCCACGTGTGCAGGTTAAAGAGTAGTTTTCCTGTGTTCTTGCACACTGCAATACTTTGGCATGGTCTTGAATCCCAGTGTGAATCCTTCCTGAGGCTTTCTCATCCTCCTTGCTATTCCCTGCTTTGAATTTCTCTTCTTACTAGGGAGGGCAAGCCGTAGGGGAGCACCCTTACATGTGGTACCTCTGCCTTGTCTGAGGGCCCTGTTTGGGTGGGCGTAGAGAGGGCACAACGAGTGAGTGCCCACTAGGCTGATCTCTGAGGCAAGCTGCTGGGCGCTGTCCTGCCCAGGCCAGTGCTGAGAATTGCTCTCATGGGGAAATGGGCGTAACACGGGCTGCTGAGGGGAAGGAAGGAGATCCACCAGGCCCCTTGCTTGCTGCCCGTGGCCAGCAAAAGGAAAATGGTGATCAGGGAGGGAGGCGAAATGCTTCCTGCAGCTAGTTGGGAAAGCAGGCATCCAAAAGGTTACTTGGAAGGGAATATTGAGGTGGTGTCACACGTTGCAGACGCTCGTAGGACAGAGCTGGGAGCAGCACAGGGTGAGGAGGGTTTCGGTGCCCTGGTAATGATTAACACGCAGAAGGGGACGACTGACTTCAGGCACAGCGTGCTGCTCGCCAGCGCCTCGGTGCCAAGTCATTGAGAGAGAAGCGAGCTGGCATTGCACAACTGATCTCGCTGGAGCTTGTTCTTTCTGTAGCTGGAACGCTCTGCAGGGATTTTGCTTGTTACTTAGCAGGTTCGTTAGCTGCAGTAGGGAGCCCGGCTCAGAGCACGAGGCTACCTTGCTGCGTCTGCTGCCTTGATCTTTATCCTTAGACTTCTGGCACTGAGCGGATTATCGCGGGGAGTTTTTTCAGCCTCGGGCTGGGATGTGCTGACCTCATCTGTACCTGTGCGTCCAGTCCCGAGGAGCGACCTTGGCTGCCCGTTGGGTGTCCGGGGCTGAGCCAGGTCTGGGACTCGGGGCGCTGGAGCTGGGGGCTGGCCAGCTGTGCCCCCAAGTCATCCTTCCCGCCCTGCCCAGCCAGCTGTGGTCATCTCCTTCCTTTCCTCAACTTACCTATAAGTACAAATAACGTATATGCTTTTCCGTTCAAATTGCAAATGATCAGTGACCCCCCCGCAATTAAGAGGGTGCAATAAACTCATTAGGGAGGCGCGTGATGTAACAGCGCTCGTTGCACAGTAGCAATCTATTTGTGGTGCAATACAGGTGCAAGGGTTTTAGCACGCCCCGTGTTACCTTTGCAATGCTAATGCTGCTTACCCTGGGGATTAGAAACCTGGCGGATGCTGGGGAGCAAGGTCTGACATTTTATTAAAGGCCGTAATCTCCTCCTGCAGTGCTTATTAAGATTCAGGTGTGGAAGAGCCCTGGTCCTCTGGGCCCAGCTGGAGTCAGGGGTTACCCATAAGTGAGGTCCTGCCAGGTGTGGGGAGAAATATTTGGGAGCAAAGCTCTCAGTCATTTGGGATGTTTTGTAGGTACACGTGTTATTAAGGACATGGCTACTCCTACAGGCATCTCCTGCTCTAAATGGCCAAGCTGGCTCTTGCTGTAGGAGCTCCACGTTTCCTATTTAATGATCACACCTAAAACCTCAGCTTGTCTCACCTGGTGTTGTTTCTATGCTGCTGGTGTCAATTCACTCCGACGCACTGGTCTGTGAAAAGATGACAGGGATGTTCTCAGGAGGCACCTGGTGGAAGGTGTGCAGAAAGCTTGCAATCTAGCCTAACCTCATGGGATTAAAATCTGAGTAATGACATGTGACAGGTGTAGGCTGTGGGACTTCTGTCAGGTGTTTCAGAATTGGCACTGGGGGGAGGGGGAAAAGCAAAAAGTTCTGGTTTTCTTGCAGTCTTCCTGGTGTTCGTGCTTGTGTGTCTGCTCTGGTATGGTGTGACAGTGAGGTTCCTCCCCATTCACTGATGTTTTGCTTTCTTCAGAATGTGTTCAACATGGTTGTGGAAATACCTCGCTGGACAAACGCTAAAATGGAGGTAAGTTATTACTACCAGTCCTGCCTCAAGTGCTTCAGCTGTCTGGTCTATGAATAATCTGGGGCTGTGCTGCTCCTCTCCTTCTCCCTCCTGCCTCCTGAAGAACAGTCGAGCATCGTTGGTTCCATCACTTGAAAGACGGTGATTGAGTCCCAATAAATCAGGCCTTTCAAAACCCACCTTCCTGCAGAGTTGGTGCCAAGGAGGTTCTCTAGATGCAATTCTGGCTTCTGATGTAAATATTTGCCTAATGGTAAAGGCTGAAGTCTTGCAGGAGTTGTAACCACTTAGTATTCTTCTGTGGCTCCTGCCTGAAGTGGCGTGTAACCGGTCTCACTCCTGTGTTGGGTTCTGACGTCGGTAAGCCTGCTGAAATCTGCACCCAGGGGATGCAACAGGAAATGGGGCTGTCCAGGGCTCGTGTTGGCCCCAGTGTCAGCTCCTGGCTCCCCAGCCTGTCAGCTAGCTGCCAGCTTCCTGGAAAAAATCACTGCCGTTTTCCTCGAGAGCAAAGTAGAGAGCCTGATGTAACTTCTCTTTCAGATTGCGACAAAGGACCCCTTAAACCCAATTAAGCAAGACGTGAAGAAGGGAAAGCTGCGCTACGTAGCCAACGTGTTTCCCCACAAGGGCTACATCTGGAATTACGGTGCTCTCCCGCAGGTGCTGTACCATGTCGCTGTGCCTCGCTCTTCCTCGTGTGTCTGTGTGTGTGCCTCTGACCCCTGCCAGCTGAAGGGCTGAGCTGGAACTCACACATTTGCAGCTGCACCTGTAGCCTTCCCAACAAAGGGGACCTGTTAGGAAAGCCGTGATGTTTGCAGGTAGAACTCCAGGGAGAGGCTTGTAGCTGGGGCTGTAAACAAGCTGTTGCAAAACAAGAGGGCAAGCAGCTGCTGCGAGTGAAGTACAGGCAGAAGGCTCACAAAGGGCATCTGGCAGTGCCACGTGCTCCCTTCCCTGCCAGGTAAAGCTTTAGGATCTAGTTTTGAGCTAATGGTACAGGATCTAGGTGTGCAGCCCCGAGGCAGTGAAAATCTGAGTATTGTTTGTGTGGAATTACAGCATTTGGACCCTTTGGCCAGTTGTGTGTTAGTGGCCCAAAGAAATCAGTGCTTCAGGGGAAAGGGTCTGAACTTACAGCTGCCTGGCAGAGACGTGTGAGAGAGATTGCGGGGAGCCCTTCAGCGCCACAGATCTTGGTGACCTGAATGCTCTGGCTGCACCACAAGGTTTTGACTATCACAGTCATGTCCTGGCATGCAGGGGGTTGGGAAGGGCGTTCATTTTTCTCTATCTGAGCAACCTTAGAGGTAGGTGCTCCTCATGGTGAGAGTGGACCCTACGTCCTCTTGCTCCTGATCAGAAGTGTGTTGTAAGCAGCTGTTAATTTCGGAGGCATGGCTCCCATACCTTCTGGAGCCCCCTCTTCCAACCTGTGAGTGCTCACAGCTTCAGGTGAGAGGAATTAGGACGCTACGTGGCATAGGGTATGGGACCCCAGGTTCCCATTTCTGCTCTGGTGTAACGGTGTCCTTTAATCCTTTGACCAGAAGGAAGCAATACACCCTATCTGTCTTCCACCTCTGTCGCACTGCTATCTGGAGTTCAGGAAGCTTCTGTTAAGGAATGAATAGGGAGAGGAGCAGGCAGGCAGCCAAAGCAGTGAGTACTCTTCCTAGATGTGAACTTCACCTTTATGCGGCTATTGAGCTAAGGAGGAAGTCTGAAAAGTTGTTGAAAGGTTTGTCAGTGGGAGGGAGTAGTTTGCCCCTGGCAAGATAAGAACTTTGACTTGGATTTAAGCTGCATTTGCAGGCAAGTGAAAAACCACAGCGCGGCCATTAGCCCTGAATGCAAGTGTGAAGTGGGTCGTCATCTGTGTCTTCCAGGCCATTGCCTGTGTGAAATAAACCTGCCTTTTGTTTCTTCTTCAAACAGAATTCACTCAGTGTGGGGCTTTTGCTTTGTTTCTGCAGACTTGGGAAGACCCAGGGCATAAGGATGAAGGTACTGGCTGCTGTGGAGATAACGATCCCATCGACGTGTGCGAGATTGGAAGTAAGGTAATGCATCCTGAAGGCAAATGTGGTTAAGGGGCCCATTGTTCAGAGATGTTATTCCGCTCTTATCTCCTGTATCTTTTAAGAATGGGATGTTTCCTCTCTTGTCTTTGGAGATGGTTGATGAGATTTTTAGAGCAAAAGCCTTGTGAGCTGAGGCTTGCAAACTGCTGATAAGCGACCGATGGCAGACTTACGGTACGGGGCTGCCTGCTGCACTCCTGACAGCTTGCACTGCCTCCTGGTGCCTATTCTCGGACGTGTGGGTGCTGCCAACAAGTCTTTTGTCCTTGCAGGTCTGCTCTCGAGGGGAGGTGATCAAGGTGAAGGTGCTGGGCACGCTGGCACTGATCGATGAGGGCGAGACAGACTGGAAGATAATCGCTATCAATGTTGAAGACCCTGAGGCGGGCAACTATAATGGTAGGTGGCAGGGGGAGGAGCGGGTCTGCTCCGACCCCGTCTCCACTGGGTGCCTGCAGGAAGCTTTCAGGGCAGGAGATGGACTTGCTCCTGCTCTGCCACCACGCTTATCAGATGCGATACTGGCTGCGAAAGCAGAACAGGACGTTATCGTCCTCTAGCAAAGGGATACGCTGCTGTTTATCACAGGTTAGGAGACCTTTGCACGGCATGGGATCTCGAAGAAAAGGCAGGCTGTCGAGCCCGTCCTGCGAGTGGAAGGAAGGGGGGTTGCTCAGCAAGTCGCATCAAAGCTGTGTAAATGCGTCCGTGCTCCTGGGGGAAGCCGGGCTTTGTTCTGACGCTGAGACACCAACTTCCCTCCCCACGTGCAGGCATCCGCTTTCTGTCTGTCCTGCAACCTGTCCAGGATGTCGCCAAGGCTTTGCGGGGAGGGGCAGCTCGAAAGAGCAGGGCGGTAGCGGGGTGCCTTGTGCTGTTGGGTTGGGGTCGCAAACCTTTTCTCCCTGCCTAGATATCCATGATGTCAGGAGGATGAAGCCTGGGTACTTGGAAGCTACGGTGGACTGGTTCAGAAGATACAAAGTACCTGACGGAAAGCCAGAAAACCAGTTTGCTTTTAACGGTGAATTTAAAGACAAGGTAGGGTCAGTGTTGTCATTACCCTGACCTGCCCAAAAACTGAGCTCTGGGTGCATGGGGACTTGAACGAGTAGTTGCTGACGGCTGGGGATGCAGCTGCCTTCGTTCTTCCTGCTCCAGCCTCCCCTCCTGCTTGTTTACGGGCTGGTGCTTGTTGGGATCCTAGGAGAAAAAGCACAGGGTTATTGCCCCACTACTGCTGGGTACGACCAGTCTGGCTTCTAGCTGATGTTCGCGTGAGGTCCCGTCAGGGCTGGCAGCCTGTCAGAACCAGGCTGAAAAACACGGGGATTATTTGCTCCTGCTCTGGAGCAAAGGCCACTTGATGTCACCCTTTGCTTCAACGCGCAATAGGCTGCGGTGGAACAAAGCCAGTGCCCAAGGGAGGCAGATGCAGGAGTGAAAATGTTCGTTCAGGCCTAAATTGTGACACTGGCCGAGTGTTCCCCCTGCCCTTTGAGTAAGGGCTGTGCCTCAGCAGCACCATTCCTTTGCTTCTCCTCGTTCTCTGTGTTAGTCAGGTAACTTCCTGCTCCCAAACGGGAGCCCTCCTCAACTCGTGGTGCTGGGCTGGGTGTGCTGGGCCATCTCGTTGCCCCTCAGACTGGGTGAAACTGGAATGGAGACAGAAAGCGGGGACAAGGCTCCTCGCACGTGGTGCTGCAGTGTTGTAGTTGGCTTCGTGCTGCGTCAGACCAGGATATTTACTGCTGGTGTTCCTGCTGGGACAATCGCCCGTGCTTCAGCTTCCAGCTGACCTGTTAGCACTCGGGTATACGCTACTTCTTTTAAGGGAAAAAGCTGTGATCTGCTTGGAACTGGGCTCATTTTCAACTAGCTACAGAGCTAGATTAGCCGGGTGACTCTTCCTGTTGATACGAGCAGCACTGGAGCCGTTTGCCTGGAGCGGAGGAAAGCTGGCAGGTTGGTCAGGCCCAACTGGCTGCTGCAGACAAACAAGGAGGAGCTGTGGGGCGGGGTGTTTCTGTAAGGCAGCAGTGGCCCAGGACTCGAATATCTGCCTTCAGTTTCTCTTGGCTTTGGGCTGGCTAGGCGACCTTGGCACGCCCGCCCACCTTGGAAGTAAAACACTTATTGTAAAATCGGTGTTGTTTCAGCTGGTGTGTGCCGGGAGGTTGCTGTTGTTCCCAAAAGGCAAAGCGATGCAAGAGGTGCTCCAAGAGGGCTTCAGTTCCTGACTCTGGGAGGTGTTCTGTCTAAAATCAGCCTGTAAACACAGGCCTCTTTCTCCACGTAACTGCTAGGCTGGGGAACATGGTGGAGTGCTCGCACCTAACTATGTTTGTCCTCACCTTTGTCTTTAGGATTTTGCAGTGAACGTCATCAAAAGCACTCACGAGCACTGGAAAGCTTTGATAGCTAAAAAAACTGACGGAGGAGAGATCAACTGGTAGGTTAACGCCGGTCGCTGTGCTCGCTCCTTCCCCGTGAGCCCTGATGAAGCTTCCTTTCCTGACTTAACACAATTTCTGTTGGCTGCTCGCTGCCTCAGCAGGCAACCTGATAACGATTCTCAGTATTCCATTGTCTCATGCTCCTGGGGGGAGGCTTGGCTTTCACCTTCTCACGAGCGCCCTTTCTCTTGCAGCACAAACCTGACGGTCTCGGACAGTCCCTTCTGCTGTAGTCAAGAGTGTGCTAAAGCTACTGTGGATGCAGTAAGTCCCAGCTGGGGTGTCCCAGCGCCAGTGGCAGAGCAGTGTGGTTTGTGTGGGGCCGTAAGCTGCCATCTCAGGAAGAGGAGCCCGACCCTGTATGCTTAGAAAGTTTTTGGCTGACTGAGCGCAGCATCTGGTTCTGGTTAAGTAAGATGGATGTGGAGCGAGGCAGACATTCTTCCAGAGGCTTCTCCTCGCCCTTAGTCATCTGGGAGAAGGAATCCAATCCCGTGTGAAGGGCTGCATTTCTGTCCTGCAGCTCGGCTCTCAGCTGCTCAAAGAGCGTTTAAATATTTGGCCTTTGGAGAGCTTTGCAGCACGGGGTCACCCTGTGGGATCAGAGAGCCGCATTTCGGAGGCACCTGCAGCCAGGGACCGTGCCTGCTTTGTGAGGTTTCCCGTGTAAGCGCCCTTACCCTGATTCAGGGCTCAGCTGAATCTCCTGAGGCTTGTGAAATCACCAGTGCTGGCAACCTAAAAGTGCTTGGAGGAGTAGGGGGAGGAGAATCAAAACAGAAACGCTGCTTCAGAGCATGGGGACGTGACTGGAAACCAGAATCTCCCCGCAGACATTTTTGGAAGTGGAGTGCTGGCGGAGGGTGTCACCAGCCAGGGCCCCTTGGCTGTCTGCTTTTTAAGCATCAGGTGAAAGCTCCTCTGAGGAGTTCCCTGAGAGTCCTTTGTGTCTCTTTTCTACCTTTACATCACGCATTTAAATAAAAGAAGCAGAGGGCGGGCTGCAGATAGCATTAGGGACGGAGTCTGGTTGCGGTCAGCAGCAGGTGGCCCCGCAGCGCGAGGGGAGCGAACGCCCACGCCCAGGGCAGAGCCCCAGCGGCACGCCGGGCACGTGCAGGGGGGGCTGCATGATGACAGGACGCGTCCTTCACTGCCTGCCACATGCTGATTTACGCCGCTCAGACCCTAAACTGTGCCCAAAAAAGATCTGTGCGGCCCTAGGGGGTGTCCAGGGAGCCCCAGGCGGGAGGGAGGTGGAACAGTTGCTGCCTGCTAATCTGCTTCTCGTTGCAGGCACCACCCTGTACGGCTGCCAACCCCATCCCACCAGAAGGTAAGCTGGAAAGCTGTGCTACGTCCCGAGGCAGGCTGGGGGTTGCCTCGGAGGGATCCTCAGTGGGAAAGGGAGGGTTTGGCTCTAGCAGTGGGGGAAAATGAGGGACCTTGTCGGGCCTGGCTTGTTTCGGGTGCTGTTTGATCGCTCCGATACTTCTGTTGTGGCCTCGTTTCATTGAGACGTGGGCGGTGAGCAGATCAGAGCTGCTGCAGTTTGCTCCAGGAGAGGTTGGATGTGTAGCAGACCCTTGGAGAAGAGCACTTCAGAGTTCTGAAGTGCGGTGACAGCAGGGTTTTAGCGGCTCCTCTGAAAGGGGTTCACCAGCTTGTCAGTGCAGGGGAAGCACTTGATCTCCACGAAGAGGAGAGGCAGAAAATGGCCTTGAATTCGGTTGTGCAGTTGCTGCTGATGGCATTTCTGTCACGGAGCGAGCAGCAGCTGCCGGCTGGTAGCCAGGCTCTCTGCGTGTCAGCACCCTGTCCCTCAGGGGGGGCGCGTTGTAGGAAAATGACAACTGCGGGACAACCCCGGGGGCAGCTGTCCCCTCTCACACCTTGTCACCCAGCTGTCCTCCCAGCTCATAAAGCTGCGAAGGAGCTGAAGCTGAATCAGGACTTGTGTTTTGGGGCGTGAGGGAGGTGGCCTTACCTTCCCGAGCCGGGTTGCACCAGAACCTGTGGGGTGTGTGGTGGTGGCAGTGGGGTGGGTGAGGCTGAGGACTAACCCCCCCTTTTTTTTTCCCCCATACAGTGGACAAGTGGTTCTACTACCCCAAAAACTAAGGCGCAGGGACGGACGCTGAGCCAGCTGCGATCCTCCAGCGGAGCCCCCCTGCCCGCTCCCCCAGCCCCCCAGCTTCCATGTCACCGAGCAGCCCCTGCCTCTAATTTATGCCGCCGTGAGCTGCCCCCAACCCCGCTGCATCCAGCCGGGGGGGGGGCTCTGGGATGCTCGGCTCCCCCCTGAACCCACCGCCTGTACCCCACAGCAGGTGGTGGGGGGCGAGGCCGGCCCGGTACGCGTAGTGTGGGCGCTGGAAATAAAACTACTGAACCCGCGCTGCGCCTCCGTGCTGGGGGGGATGAAAAAGGGGCTGAAAGGGGGCGGGGGGGGGCTGAAAGGGGCCGGGGCGGCGGCGGGGCTCGAACCCGCGGCCCTTGGGGAGAGGGGGCGGGGCCAGAAGGGGGGCGGGGCTTAGGGCGTGACGTCATGCCGTAGAGCCGACGTGGGAGCCAGCGCGGCGGGCCGGAAGCGGCCGTGACGCCATTTCCGGCGGGGAGCTGGCGGAGGAGGAGGCGGCGGCGGCGGAGCGGGGCCGGGGGCGGCCGCAGGTGGGGGGGGGCGGGGGGGGCTTTTTGGGTCCTTTTGGGGCTTTTTGGGTCCTTTTGGGGCCGTTCCGGGGCTGTGGGGCCGGCCCGCTCCGCGCGGGCCCCTGAGGGAGGCTCGGTGCCCGGCGCGGTGCCCGCAGGCCCGGCGCTGCCCCCGCCCCCCCCCTCATCCCGCTGTGTGCCCGCAGGTGTCGGTGTGGGCCCGCAGCGATGTCGTTCCTGCTCGAGTGGCTCTACAACGGCTTCAGCAGCGTGCTGCAGTTCCTGGGTGAGCCCCCGCGCACCGGGACAGGCCTGGGGAGGAGCCGGGTGTGAGGGGTTATCGCGGGGCGTTTATGAGCAAAAATGGAAAATTTCCATGTTTCTGGGCAAAATTTCCCTGTTTAAGGACCCCCTGTGGGCAAAAACTGCGCTGTGCCCATCCCATGGGACACTTCCCTGCTGCAAAAACAACTGCTTACGTACAGAGCTCACAGAATTCCTGCAAAATAACTCATAAAATGCCAGATGTTTTGGCAAAATCCTGGCAGGACTTGCCACTTTTGCCACTCTTTTACCCCTTATTTATTCCGGAAGCTCTGCCGGGGATTGGGATTCGCGTCCCCAGGTGTCCCTGCGCCGCTCGATGTGTGTGCCTCTGCTTCCTCGCAGGGCTGTACAAGAAGTCTGGCAAGCTCGTCTTCCTGGGCCTGGACAACGCGGGCAAAACCACCCTGCTGCACATGCTGAAGGATGACCGGCTGGGCCAGCACGTCCCCACGCTGCACCCAAGTACGTGGGGCGCCGGGGGGCTTCTGGGAACACTGCTGGGACTGCAGGTCTTGAGGGCACAGCTGAAACGTGTCGGTGTCCCAAATATAAAGGGGGGAGGTGGAGAATTCGGTGTGGTTCGGTGAACATCATGAACCCGTCCTGCTGAGGGAGAGGGCTTCTGGTGAAATATGTACTGAAAGATGAGCACTGTGCATTAAAACATCTCCCTAAGTGGGGAGGGGGGAGAAATTATTCCCTCCCGTTGTGATTTCACGTGATAATCCCGGTGGCTGAATTCTACAGAGAAAGGAGATCTCAGATAAAAAAACTGTGATGTTTGTATGTGTCCCCTAAAATCTCTGGCCATGGCACCTTCTCTCTCTCCCTGAAGCACAGCCTTTATTTTTTTTTTTTGCCTTTCAGCATCAGAGGAGCTGACGATCGCTGGAATGACCTTCACGACTTTTGACCTGGGTGGACACGAGCAAGGTAAGGGCCGGCTTGCCGAGCTGGACACACCGAGTGGGGTCAGCCCCCCGATTTCCCCGAGGTTCTCCTGCCAGCTTAAAAAAAATCTGCCAAAACGTGATGCTGGAGAGAGCTAGCAATTAGCACTACCTAATTATTTGTTGCCTGGAAGTGCTTACGGAGCTATATGTGGAAATAACCCCCTGGCTGCAGGAGACCTGTTATTTCGGTGGCTGAATGCTCATGCTCTATGCTGCCAGTTTGGGGAAAAAAAAGCTGCCAGCTCACGCTCTGCTGCCTGAAATATTTTTAGCTGTAGAAGACTTGGATGTCACGGGATTATTCTTTTGAACAGTGGCTGAATTTTTATCTCTGGGCTTAGTTTGTCGAATTTCCAAAAGAAAAGCCAATCTGCTTGCTTTTTTTAACGCACACCCCTCAGCTGCTCCAACCCCAAGGTTCCTCGGGGGCTCCAAATGTGCCTTCCCCTTCCACGTGCTGCCTCCCTCCACCAAAATGAGCCGGCAGCCGGCCGGGCAGGGCTGTCCTTGTGCGGTGTCCCCGTGCGTGTCCCCTGGAGGCAGGCTCACAGCGCGCTGCCTGTCGCTTGCCTTGCAGCCCGCCGCGTGTGGAAGAACTACCTGCCGGCCATCAACGGCATCGTCTTCCTGGTGGACTGCGCCGACCACTCCCGGCTCATGGAATCCAAAGTGGAGCTGAACGTGAGCCCGGCTTTTCTTTTCTGTCACCCTCGAGTTGCTAAACGAGACAAATCTCTTCTTTTTTTGGGTTTAGCTTGTGCTTTGGACTTGCCCTCCCAGTGCGCCTCTTGCACCGGCGGTGTCCAACGTGGGGATCTTTGGTGCAGGGGGTGGAGCAGGCTGGGTGCTCTCACTGTGGGATCCTTTAAACGATGTTGGAAACAGCCCCCGTGTTTAGCTGCAGCCTTCTTCCGCCAAACTTTTGGGAAAAACCCCACCCACGGGAGCGCTGTAGCACCAAAAAGCAACCCCTGTTTGGCCGCAGAGCTCAAAGAAGCGATGGGCGCTGCCTGACTCGTTTGTCTTGCTCGCAGGCCCTCATGACAGATGAGACAATATCCAACGTGCCAATCCTCATCCTGGGCAACAAAATCGACAGACCAGAGGCCATCAGCGAGGAGAAGCTGCGGGAGATCTTCGGCCTTTACGGACAGACCACGGGAAAGGTAGGAAGGGGAAGGGGAGCACGGCGGCGAGCAGCGCCTGAGGAGGGCTTGCTGGCCGGGGGGCGGCGATGCCCAGGGGGAGGACGGGAGAGCTCTGACCCCTGGCTGGGTTTCCGCAGGGAAACGTGCCACTGAAGGACCTGAACGCGCGCCCCATGGAGGTGTTCATGTGCAGCGTGCTGAAGCGGCAGGGCTACGGCGAGGGCTTCCGCTGGCTATCGCAGTACATTGACTGACGCCCGGCGCGGCGCTCCTCCGGACTGATCCCCTTCCTGGCTTCCCGTGGGCTTCCCGAGGCCGCGCCAAGCCTTCCGCACACGTCCTGCCGTTGACCGACAGCCTCCCGGCTGCGGCCGCCCCGCCGCACAGTGGTGACACGCAGCTCTTTTCCCCGGCCCGCCGGGAGCTCTCCCGGGGATAACGGGGCTGGCGGGGCCGGGGCGATGCGCTGCCGCGTGCCGCGCCGCCGAAAAAGAGCGAGATCTCACCACTGTGGTCAAATTGACTCAAAGAACACCACGGAAAACGAAGCAATTATATTTTTTAAAGGAAGCGTTGACGTAAGCGGCGTCCCATCTAACTTTTTAGGTTAACGTTCATCCTGTTTAGTCCAGAGTCCGTTTAGGGTTGTTTTTTTTTCTGTTTTTTTTTTTTTAAATATATTTAACGATATTCTTTAGATCTTTCGCAAATTGCCGAACAAAGCATCATGGTATTAGAAGTCCTCAGTAAACCAACCCAGCAGGCGGGCTGCGAGCCCAGGGCACCGTGGGGACGGCGGCCGAGCTGGCGCGAGGCACCGGGCTTTCATTTCGGGGAGGCGAGAGCCGCGGAGCCGTGCTCGGTGCCCGTAGCGCGGAGGTGTCTGACATTCGCATATCGTAAGGTGGTTAATGTAGGCTTAAACCAGTTTCTTTTCTACTCTTCTTCTCTTTTTTTTTTTTTTTTTTTTCTTTTTTTTTTTTGTCGGAAGTTCCATGGCTGTCTAGCGCTCACGTTCAGTTCAATAAAGACGTGTCTTTCTCCTCCAAAGGGGTGCGGCGCCTCCCTCTAGCCCGGCTGCGCGGGCGCCTGGGCGCACTCGGTGCTAACACCCCGATCCATACGGGGCCCCTCGCCGCAGGAGCTTCAGCTGCAGATTTGGGACCCGGATGGACGGGAGGCACGGAGCCACGCAGGATGGGGCCGAGGGAGGCAGGTGAACGGGCTGGAGGTCGGTCTCGATCCCCGAGCACCCCAAACCCTGAGCTCCAAGCCCCCGGGGGGGCAGCACGGCGCATTTTAGGGGCTTTGCTGCTGCTCCCTGATGCACCAACCCCCCTGCATCCACACCGCTGCATGGCGTGCGGCGCTGCCGTAGCGCGGCTGCAGGGGGCGGTGGCTGCTCGCAGCGCCCCGCGCACCCCTCCTGCGCCACGTCGACCGCCCCGCCTCCGCCGCGGGGCCGTGACACCCGCAGCCCGCACCAATGGTGGCGGGAGGCGGTGCCGCACGTCACGCGGGGAGCAGCAGCAGCAGCAGGAGCAGCAGGCCGTGGCGTGCATCGCCTGCGTCGCCACCATGTCGGCAGGAGCTGCCCTGCTGCGTGGTCAGCGTCGGCGACGGCGCCGAGCCCTGCAGCTGCAGCGGGGTGATCCTGTGCCGCGGCCCCGGGCTGGTGCTGTGCCACGCCGCCGTCTTCTCGCCCTTCCTGCAGCCCGGCCCCGAGGCCTGGTCCCGCCACCAGGCCCTGCTGGCCTCCGTCCTGCCGCCTGGCCTCCGCGTCCGCCTCCTGCACGCCGCTCCCCAGCTCAGCGCCCCGCCTGCCCTGCGGGAGCACGAGGCCCAGCCTCTCGGCTTCACACGCTGCGAGGCCTTCGCCCGGGCGCTCGCAGGGCTGGCGGCGAACTGGTGTGGCGGCGGGGAGGACGAGGGGGAGGCCGAGCAGGAGGCCGCCGCCGCCTTGCCCTGGTTCACTTGGCTGCGGGCTCCCAGCCTCGATGCGCCGGGCGGAGGCTGGACGCCCTGGGTCTCCGCCGGCGACCTCCACAAGGGCGCGGCGCTGCTGGCCTGCGGCTCGCCCTTCGGCGCCCTGTGCCCCGACCTCTTCCTCAACACGCTGAGCGGCGGCGTGCTGAGCAACGCGGCGGGCGAGGGCAACGCGCTGCTGCTGACGGACGCCCGCTGCCTGCCCGGCACCCAGGGCGGCGCCGTCCTCCTCGGCCCCGCAGCCTCTCGGCCCCGCGTGGTGGCCGTCATCGCCGCCAGCCTCCTGCGGCGCCGGCGGCCGGGGGCTGGCGCTGCTCTGCTCGCTGCACGCCGTCCTGCAGAGCAGCCGCAGGCTCCTGCGGCAGCTCGGGGAGCCCCCGGCCCCTCCGGCCCCGCTGGCGGCGGTGCCTGGAGCCGCGGCGCTGGGCTGCGTGGCGCTGGTGGAGAGCGGCGGCTCCTGGGGCTCGGGCACGCTGCTGGCCCCGCGCCTGCTGCTCACCTGCCGCCACGTGCTGCAAGCCGGCGCCACGCCGCGCGTCACCCTGCGGCCCCACGGCGGCCGGTGAGCACAGCCAGCGAGCAAAACCACCCGTTTCTCGTATTACCACGAGTTTAAGCCCTAATTGTGTTGTTTTTTCCCCCAAAAAAACATTCGCAGGGCCACCGTGCTGCAGGCCCGCCTGCTGTTCGCCGCCGCCGAGGCGTCCCCGTTCGACGTGGCCGTGCTGGAGCTGCAGGAGCGCGCCCCCGGCTTCCAGCCCCCCCGCCTGGCCTCCGCCTTCCAGCCGGGTAAGCACAAGCACTGGGGGGGCCACACACAATATTTGGGGTGAAAATAGGGCATTTGATGGCCCCGAGCTCACCCCGCTGTCGTGCAGGGGAGGCGGTGCTGGCGCTGGGTTTCGGGGCGCTGGGCCGGGCGTGCGGCCCCTCGGTGACCGGGGGGGTGCTGTCGGCCGTGGTGGGGGCCCCCCCGGTCATGCTGCAGAGCACCTGCGCCGTGCACCCCGGCTCCAGCGGCGGCCCCCTCCTCGCCGCCAGCGACAGGACGCCTGCTGGGTAAGCCCCTGCCCTTCCCCTCACCCCCCCCAGCCCCTTTTTGGACGTGTCCCCCCCCCTCGGTGACATCTCGCCCCCTCCCCGAGCAGGGATCGTGGCCAGCAACGCGCGGGACAACGCGGCGGGGGCCACCTACCCCCACCTCAACTTCTGCGTCCCCGTCACGCTGCTGCAGCCCCCCCTTGCCCGCTACCTCCGCACCCGCGACCCCGCCGCCTTCACCCCGCTCGACGCGGGGGACGAGGGGGCTCGGGCGGCCTGGAGGCTGCAGCAGCGGCCCCCCAGCAAGCTGTGACCCCCCCCCCAAAAAAAAAATTGGGGGGCTGTTTCTATAAAGACTGTGACTCAAGCCCTGCTGTCCCCTGGTGCCCTCTGCAAGCAGAGTGGGGAGGATGAGGGTGTCCCTCCCCCCATATAGGGGAACCCCCTGGCCTCATGCATTTGGGGAGGGGGGTTGGGTGTGGTATAGGGTGGGGGGGGGATATTTGGGGCTGCCAGGAAGGAGCGGGCAAGTGTTGGACACAGCACGGGGCGTTTATTTCACAACACCGCAGCAGCGCGAGCACAGCACGGAGATGGAGGGGGCAAGGTTAGGGGGGCAGCTTGGGGGTGGGGGGTGGATTCTGGTTGGTTTTGTTTCTTTTTCCCCATTTTCTGTCCCAATTTTCATTTATTAGTGCCGTCGCTGACCACGCTAGGTTCTACCCCCCCCAAATAAAATAAAATAAAATAAAAAAGCGCAAAGGGAGGGGGGTGCGAGCTCGGCCCCACGCCGCTCGCTTGCTTCCCCCCAACCCCCCCAAACCCCCCCTGCCCGCCGTGGGGCCGGCCCGGGCGAGCGCCCCCTCGCCCCATCCCACCCCTGGGGCCGGGGGGGCTGCCCCCCACGCGCTGTTCTGGGGGGGGGGCTCCGGGGAGGGGAGGCTGCCCCCGCCCCGGGCCGTGCCTCCCCCCCTCCGCTTCTACCAGATGTAGCCTCCGTCGTCGCCCTCGCCCGCCTCGGCCTCCTCTTCCTCAGCCTCCTCAGCCGGCCTCCTCGGGCTCCTTCTCCTCCTCGTCCTCCCAGCCCACGCTGCTGCCGAAGTCTCCCGAAAAGCCGGTGGTGTCCTCTGTGCCACGGGGCAGGGAGAGGCTCGTGGAGGGGGGCAGCCTTCGCCCTGCCTCCCCGCTGCCTCCCCACCACCTCTCCTCGCCTCCTTACCGCAGTCGGGGCGGCCGCGGGCGCGGGTGCCGCTCAGCTCAGGTGCCGTGCTGCTGGTCCACGCACCAGCACTCCCCGCCGCCCGGCGCGCACTGCGCCCGCCGGTAGTACCCATCCTCGTCGCAGCTGGGGACGAAGGCGCCTGCGGGAAGCCGGGAACCCCCCCCCCGCCGCGCCCCGAAACACGTGCAGTGCGGGAACGGCCCCGCCACGGAGCCTCCGCCGCAAAGTTGGGAGTTTTGGGGGTCTCAGAGGTCCCCCCCCGACTCACCCGGTGCCTTTTGGGCGGCTTCTTGCATCTGCAGCCTCTCCAGCTCCCGCAGGCACGGCGGCTCTGCGGCAGCACCGCGCCGTCAGGAGGGCGTCTCCCCCCAAACCCCACAGGCGTGCACCCCCCAAGACCCCGCCTGCACGCCCCCCGCACGCACTTTCCCTCCAGAAGCAGAAGCACCACTCGGCGGCGGAGACGCGGCCGTCCCGGGAGGCATCGCAGGAGTTGAAGAAGGCGCGCACGCACGCCTCGTACTTGTCCAGGTTGATGGCCGCCAGCTCGGGCTGCTCCAGGTACCGGTCCCCGCTGGTGTCCAGCCGCCCGAACATCCACCCCACCGCCTCCTTGCAGCCGGCCGCCAGCGCTGGGGGGGCAAGGACGCGGCCCCGTGGCTCACCCGGCCCCGCGGGGACTCGGGGGGGAGCCGGGGAAGGGGGTCGCGCAGCGGCGGGACGCACCGGTGCCAGGGGGGCCGCTGCCGGAGCCCGTTGTGCTTGGCGTTCTCCCGCAGCAGCTGGAACCAGTCGCGCAGCCGCTCGCCCAGGTCGGCCGAGGTCCTGCCCCGTGCACAGCTCTGCAGGGCACCAAATGTGGGTGGGGAGGGGAATTTTAGGGGGGTGCTGTGGTGTTCTGGGGGGGGCACCCCCTCTCCGAACCCGCGGTCGCCCCCAAAATGCTCACCCTGCTTGCTGTCAGCGGGGGCCGGGCAGGGGCACTGCCCCTTCGCACCGCGCTGTCAGCTGCTTGCCAGCCAGGCACGCCTGCTGCTCCAGCTTGCACTGCGAGGCGTGGGGAGGGGGGGGCACACCGCAATAATTACGGGGGGACACGTGGAAAGCCCCCCCCCTAAAATATCGCCGCCTCTGCTCACCGCCGAGCTGTACGTGTGGCCGTCGGAGCCGCAGACGGGCGCCAGCGGGGCGGCGTGGCAGGGCTTGCAGCCCCCGCGCTGCTTGATCCTGCAAAGGCAGCGGGCGCTCAGGAAGCCCCCAGGGGGGCTGCCGCGACCCCCCCAAAAAAAAATAACGCCCCCCTCCTCTTCCCCGGCCCCGTACCTGTGCTCCAGCTTCTTGCGGCTGATGCACATGGCGCGCTGGTAGCCCTGCGCCACGCACACCTTGTGCCGGCTGCATTTCACCTTCTGGCACGGGTCCTTGGTGGTGTCCAGCGCTGCCTGGGGGGGGGGGGGCACGGGGTTTTGGGGAGCAAAAAGCCGCGTTTGGGTGCCGTGTCTGTCCCCTCTCCCCCCCCAAAAAAATAATAAAAGCAGGGCAGGGTGCTACCTTCATCCGTGGGCTGCCCGTCCTCCCAGCTCCTGATGTAGTCATCCTGCGGGGCACAGGGGGGGCAGCTGCCGGGGGGCCCCCCCCGCGCCCACGGAGCCCCCCGGGGTGCTGCAGGGGGGGTGCGAGCAGCGTCCCCGGCCCGGCAGGAGGAGCAGGTGCATGGCACGGGGACACTGTGCGCGCACGCAGGCGCTGCACGCCCCTGAGCCTTGCACGCGGGCGTTGCACACGCATGCACTGCACATGCCCGGGCGCTGCACGCTAGACGGAGGCACTGCACGCCCGTGCACGGCGCACACGCACTGCACAGCGGGTGCTTGCACCCTCATGCACCGCGCCCCCATGCACCGCACAGGCACACACACACACACAGCCCATTCATTGCACACCCCCGTGCATTGCACACGTGCATCCCTGCACGCTGCACATCCCGCTGCATTGCACAGGCACATCCTCATGCCCTGCACCCCCCCGTGCGTTGCACACCCCTGCACGCTGCACGCGCACCTCCCCGTGCATTGCCCCCCGCGGTGCATTGCACATCCCCGTGCGTTTCCCACCCCTCTGCATTGCACACGAGCATCCTGCTGCACCGCACCTCCCGGCGCACCGCACGTCCTTGTGCATCGCACACCCCCACTCGCCGCACACCCCCGTGCATTGCACACAAACCCCCCGGTGCATTGCACATCCCGGTGCATTGCACATCCTTGTGCACCGCACATCCCCGTGCATTGCACACAGACACCCTGGTGCATTGCACACCCCGGTGCATTGCACATCCCTGTGCATCGCACACCCCCGTGCATTGCACACAAACACCCTGGTGCATTGCACATCCCGGTGCATTGCACATCCCCATTCCTTGCACACCCATTCCTTGCACGTCCCCATTCCTTGCACACCCCCGTGCACCCCCTCCCCGCTCTCACCTCCACCTCCTGCGCTCCGGGCGGCAGCGGTATTGCAGAGGGGGAGAGGCCGGAGGCTGGGGGTGAGCCGGGCGCCCCGCAGCCCCCCGCCGCCCCCCGGCCCCCCGCGGCTCACTCACGTCTCGGAAGCGGTTCCAGTGCCGGATGCGGCCGCCGTACTGCGCGATGGAGGACAGCCACTGCTCATCCTCCAAGAAGTTCCCTGCCGGGGCGCTGCCGGTGCCGGTGTTGGTGCCGGTGGAGGTGCCGGTGCCGGTGTTGGTGGCGGTGTTGGTGCCGGTGGCGGTGCCGGGCAGCAGCAGCAGCAGCAGCAGCAGCGGCAGCCCCCGCAGCGCGCCGCAGCCCCGCATCCTGCCGCAGCGCCGCCGGGAGCCGAGCGGGGCCGAGCGGGGCCGAGCGCAGCCGAAGGGAGGCGAGGGGCGGCGACAGGAGCCGACAGGAGCCGACAGGAGCCGAGCGCGGCCGGGAGGGGCCGGGCGGGGGGCGAGGGGCGGCGCCTGCACCTGCGCCGCTGGGGGGGGGCGAGGCCTGCGGCCGCCTCCGGCGCCCAGCGCCAGCCCTCAGACCCCAACACAGCAAACCCCAACTCACCAGAGCCCAAACCCCAAGTTCCCGGCACGCCACAGCCCCCAGACCCCAATGTGCCAGACCCCAACGCGCCAGCCCTCAAGACCCCAAGACACCACACTCCAATGGACCAGACCCCAACACACCAAACCCCAACACACCAAACCCCAATTTCCAAAGATACCAGACCCCAACACACCAGACCCCGACACCACATCCCAAAACACCAGCCCTCAGACCCCAACACACCAGACCCCAAGACCCCAACACACCAAACCCCAACACACCAGGCCCCAAACCCCAATTCCCAAAGACACCAGACCCCGACACAGCAGACCCCAAGCCACCACATCCCCAAACACCACCCAGCTCTCCTGCCACCAGCGCTTTCCCGCTCACAGCTGGAAGTTTGATTACAGAAACCATCAAGCAAGCGGAGACAAAGGCTTTGCCTTTGAAGGGAATTAATTTATTTGGAGATCGACATCACACGGGCGCGCTGCTGGAGCTCCGAGCAGCGCCTGACCCCGATACCACGCTCCGGGGAGCTCTCCTGGATCGCGCACGCTTCTGTACAGCGCGGCCTTCCTCCTCTGAAACAGGCGACAGCAGGGAGGTGCCCCCCAAAGCCAGTTTTTCCAGCTGTTTTCTTGGAAAACGAACCCGTCTGCAGTTCCAGACTCCTCGCCCTATGAAAACATGGTGGTGGTGGTGGCGCACAGGGCGGCCGCGCTGCTGCTCAGCAGAAGTTGAGCTGCCCCGACGTCGCGTAGTAGCCGGAGGCGTCCGTGGAGAACCTCTGGGAGAGCCGAACCGCGTCCAGCTGCACCTCGCCGAAGTAGAAGTGCTCGAAGAGCTGGAGGAGAGGAGAAAATAAACGTTTCGGTGGCTCCGAAAGCAACGAGCTGCTCCTTCAGAATGCCTCTCCTCGCAGGCTTCCCTTCAACAAAACCGCTCTGAAAGATTTCCAACCCTGGGGACCACATTTAGCCTTTAACGCCATCAGCATACGGCACGAGCTCCTCTTTTGGAGCAGCATCAGTGCCTACCCACAGATCACAATCCCAGGGCTCAAGCACCTGCAGGATGTGGGTTTCTCGGTGCCGGAGGGCTCGGCCCCGGCCCCAGAGGGGTGGCTGCTGGAAAGGAGTTATGCCAGGGGAGCATCTCCGGCAGGGAGAGGAGGAGACGAGGAGCCGCGACCTGCCACCATGCAAACTCCATTTGATACGATTAAAGATTTATACAATTAAAGATTAATTACCTTCCCCAAAGCCTGCGCGCTTCTCGTTCGAGGCCTTGGGATAAAACACCTCATGAATAAGAGATGTCAGGAGGAGGCTGCTCTCCCCTCTCTCCCCCTCGCTCAGCCAGGGGGACAAACCCTCCCCTGCCCCCCCTGCCACCACGTCCCCGCCGGCACCGCCCGGGTCACGGCCTCCCCATTTGCACGCTGCTGAGAGCGCAGCAGCCCTCGGCCCAAAGCACTTTGCAGTCCCTCGGCTGCTGCTTTTTAATTTTTTTTTAAATCCACCACCTCTCCCGTGTCCGAGCGTGTGCGCGTTTCCCGGTGAGAACACTGCTAGGACTATTGATTTTTGGTAATGCAGCTGTACTTGCTGGGAGTAAACATGCTACAAGATTTAAAGGACAGCCACGGCCTTTTTTTTTTCCCCCCTCTGCTCTCGTTTTGAGCCAGCTTCTCGCTGGTGCTTCTCTGCTCGCTTCGGCAACCAGATGCTGTGCATGAGGATCAGGCCAAGATCCACCTTGGGCAACTGGGAAAGAGGCCCTCAAATGTCATCCTCGGAGCCACCAGCGCCTTCCCGACAAGCAGCCACCCCGCTCTCGTCCCCCAGGGGCTTGGGAAGAGCTTTCCGAGGGCTGAGCCTCTGCTTTCGACTTCCACTTCTGTTTATCCTGGGGAGAAGCCAAGCAGAGCCGAGAAAGATATTTATATCTCCCACCACGGAAACGCTCTGGCTTCGGAGGAGGCCAAGGAGATGCCTCCTGGATGAGCATTTCTGCTTGGTTTTTGTGTGTTTGTTTTTTTTTCCCTTTCCCCTTGGAAAAGGAGCTCAATGGAGGCCGCCACAATTCCCACACCTGCTGGTGAACCCAAGGCTCCTGGTCCCTGCCCCACGGTGCCAACGCCTCAAGAGCTGGGAAATTTGTAATCAAATCACCCGTGTGCTGTCCCCTGGACAGCAGGCACAGCTTAAATTCTTCAGCAACTTGCAGGCCTGCCTTCCTCCCGGCAAAGCTCCCCTCCGCAGGGATGCTGCTGGCGTGCTGCAGAACCTTTGCTTCAGCTCAGGGCTTCGGGTCCTTTCCCCTCCTCGCTGCGAGAGCCATGAAAATTCATTGCGCTTGAGGAAATCAAACCCTAGTTGCTATGGTGAAAGGCGTTCTGCAAACTAAGAGGCAAACACAAGCGGGACATTTGGAGGTTACAGGAGCCTTGCACGTCTTTCCGACAAGAATAAAGGGAAAAAAAAACCACACGCTGGCGCATTAAAGGCTCTGCTAACCTCCCAGCCCCAAACGTGAGGGATTTACAGCACAACTTCTGTAAGGAAATTCACAATCAGCCGCTGCATCTCCCCCCGGGAGCTGGTCCCCGCGGCTCCCTGCACCCCGTTACAGCACACCCAGCGGTCGTTTTTTAAGAGCCGGGCTGTGGCTTTGCTGCAGCGATGGCAGGAGGCAGCGCTGGGACGAGGAGCTGCAGCAATGTGACCTCCCGGCTCTGCTCACAAAGCCACCCAGAGGAGGAGCCGGGCCACGGAGCCAGGAAATTAATTCAGGCAGGCCCGGGAAATCAGCTGGCAGAAGGGTCAGGGCACCTTTGGGACGAACCGCCTACTTTTACTAATCAATGTCTTCTTTCTTGCTTGCTTTTTTTTTTTTTCTCTCCTGCACTGGGTCTCCATCTCTATTAAGGAGCCGCCGTAATTCAACCCCTGCCAGCTCCAGGGAGAGGCAAAGAAACGTCCTTTCAGATCCCAAAGGTGATGCTGCCTCAGCTGCGGGTGATCCCGGGGGAAGGAAGGGAGCCAGGAGCTCCCCAGCCCTCTTCCAGCACCTCGCTGAGGACAGCTGGGCAGCCCCCATCTCGCCCAACGCGGGATCTTCAGCCCTTTGGTTTCATTTCTGCTTAAAAACCCAATGGGAATTTAGCCTGGGCTGCCCCTCCACACGTTGCTCTCCAGTTCCATTCACTCGCCGCAGCCTTCGTGTCTTCGCGGGGGGAAAGAAATTAAAAAAAAAAGCGAGGAAATAAGAAAGAAAAGCCCGGAGGCGGCCAGGCCCTGTCTCCGGAGATGCCTCGGTGCCAGGGCTGTGCCAGCTGCGGCGCCGGGCACGCAGCCACCCTCGGGGACAGAGGAGGAGGAGGAGGAGGAGGAAGCAAGGCGGAGGGGCTGCCAAGCCCCATCCTCCTCGCATGGGGAAGGAGCTGCCCTCTCTCTCTGCTCGCCAGGGGATGTTTTGCAGGGGATGAGCGCGAGTTCAGGACGTGACCGGGGTGCTCAGGGGAGCTGCTCTCTTTGGGAGCAGGCCGAGGAGCCTTCCTCACGGATCCGCTTCACGACAAAAGCGGTTCCCACTCGTCCCACAGGAGCTATTTTCTGAGCCGTGTGGGAAGGCTCCGGCTAGGAGCACAAACAGGAGCGGCCGAACTCCAGAACAAAGGAGTTCTGCAATCAGACTCCGATCAGGGCTGCCGAAAGCAAAACGCCAGCTCCCCGTGCTGGAGGATAAATGCCGAGGGCACCAGGGGGCTGGGAGGGAGCTGGCGTGTCCCTGCAAGGTCAAAAGCAGCCTGGAGCTATTTCTGACTCACGGCATTAATTAATGCCAGCGGGCGTCCTGCTGCAGGCACGGGGAGGCCGTGGGGCCGCACGGAGCGAGCAGGTGAGGGAAGGCTGACGTTCCTCGCTCCGAGGCCATCACCAGCCGCTCCTGTGGCCACCTCAGTAGGGAACCGGTCAGGTTCCAGCACGGTTTTTCCATCCTCAAGTGGCGTGGCCAGCAGAGGGAGCATCGTTGATGCCTTCCGAGCCCTCCAGGTTTTTGGGCTGGGAGCATTCAGGCCGGAGGACGGCTGGATTTTACCTCCCTCTTGAGTCTGAGGGCAAATTTAACGCGCACCAGGGCAAGGCCGGGAGGGACAGGGCGAAATTTGGACGCACACCTCGGGAGCTGAGGCCCTGCGGGGGCTTGGGGCTTCCAAGGTGTGCCACCCGCCCTTTCTGGAGCCAGTTTCGGGGCACCAGGAGCTGCCCAAACCTCGCAGACCACATCCAAACGCAGGGACTGCGTCCATGGCCTCCCTGCCTCGTGTAGCATGGTGCTGAGTCACAGACAGGGAGAGCTTAACCCAGTTCTGTCCCTCTGCCTGTCCTCTGCGCAGGGAAAATCAATCAGCCCCACTCCCCGCCTTCACGTCGCTCTCACAGCCGCCTGTAACAAATCCCCTCACCCAGCAGAGGTTGGGATTTGCTCGCAAGCCACTGCTGCTTTCCATTTTTGCCTCTCCGGGCTCGCCTTTTCCCTCTGGATCCTTGCAGGAGCCAGGCAGCGCAGCATCAGCCCGATGCTGCCAGCTGGCAGAGCAGCAGAGGCTGCCTGCAGGCTCAGCCCAGGCTGCAGCGTGCTCCTCTCCAAGCGAATCAATCGCAGAGATTAAATAAATAAATAAATAAATACAAAAGAGCATGCGAAATGGCAGGCGGGTGTAGCAGCAGAAATAGGAGTGAGGAGAAGACGAGCAGCTAAGTGCTCCTCTCTGGTGGGAGCCAGGCACGAGCCCGGAGCCTCCCGGGTAAAAACAGGAGCGGAGCGAAAGGCAACACGAACACCCACCGAGCAATACCCGCAGCTGGCTCCGTTTCCCTCCTGGTTTCATACTGACCTTGAGGATATTCCGGGCATTAAACGCCTCCCGTTCCTTGAGGGCTGCTTTCCCAGGCGCCGTGCTGCTGCGCTCCTCAGCTGTGAGGGGAAAAGCCAGCAGCAGCATGAGGCTCGGATGGGAGCACGGGGTGTGCTGCGCCTCACCCCCTGCCCTTCTGCCTCCCCAGAGCCAGCTGCCAGCTAACAAACCCTCCCTGCCCGGTTCCCCGTGGGAAAACACTTTGGTTTGAGGGAGAACAAGGTGAATAAGGCAGGAATTCCTTACTGAGTGTTAGCTGGGGCACAGAGAGCCCAAGCCCTCACCTTGGACACATTCCTTTCTGCTCCAGAGCTCCTGAGTGCTACTGGGCAGTGGCGGTCTGGAAGCTAAGACAAAGAATCTTTGAAAAGATCCAGAAAGGACCCAGAGCACGCCTGCCTTCTCCAGCTGGCTGCTTTGTCATTTTGTCTCAAGTTTTATTTGGCAGCATCCCCCCCAAAATCTCAGGTCTGTGATGAAGGGGGAAAAAAAATCCCACCACTAATAAAAAATTAAACCCTGAAAAGTGTGAAAGCCTCCAGTTACTGAGCAAGGTGTTCCCTGCGCAGCAGCACCAGGTGAAATGCATTTAGCAGCAGAGAAGAAGGGTACCCACCACCTGGATCTCTCCTGAAGAGCGTGTTCATGACAGGTGGCGTGCAGTTTCACCCTGTCCCACTCTTTCAGCATCAGGCCGGAGGCCACGAAGCGCTCCACCAGTTGATCAGCGACCGCCTGCAGCCTGGGAAGGCAAAAAGAGAGAGGACAGAGCAGCGTCAAGGAAGGAAAACTCCGGTGTTGGCGGCTTTTTGCTTCTCTGCTCCAACCCCCAAACTCCTGAGCAAGCAGAACCAGAGCTGGCTGCACTCAGTGGGGAGGCAGAGCCCGGGGCTGCTGCCTCCTGCACGGCCCCTGGTGGGCTGCCGGCAGCCTCCTGACAGTCCCTGGGCTCTCAAAAGTCCGATTGCCGTGGCTTCGTGCTGCCTGCTGGCTCCACGTCGCCGGTTTTTAAGATTAGCAATGACAGAGATGAAGTGCCTACCATTACGGACAATCCTAAAACAAATTAGCAGAGAAGAGCTCAAGTGAAAATGGTGCTTTATTACATTAGAAAGTTAATCAAGGAAATAAAACTAATTAGAATGAATTATAACGGAAATTATTTGCCGGGTGGGAGGCATCAGAGCACGATCTCGCTCCCGGTCTGAGCCATGACATGTGCAGGAGGGCTCGCCAACCTCTCGTGCTGTCTGCAGCTATGCAAACCAAGGCGGGCAAATCACAGCTCCTGCCTCGCAGCTTCAGCCGCTGAGGATCACCCGAGGATCAGGAAGGAACTCCTCCCCTCCCCTCAGCCCCGCGAAGGCACGCAGCTCGCAGGGGCTGCGGCAGAGCCGGAGCCAGCACGGCAAAATGCCTGCCTGCTGCTCTACCCCTGTACCTGCGGCTGAGGAATCGCTGTCAGCCTGTGGTGCCCAGCTCCCTGAGCAAAACCCCGCGGGTTTTAGCAGGCTAGGGCTGCGTGGAGCTGTTTGGTAGCATGGGGTTTTCTGAAGGGATTTCTGTTCGTCCCTTCTTTTTTATCACCGGTTGCCCACCACGGTGCTGCAGCCTCAGAGGAAGCAGAAGAAATGCCCCGTGCTCTCCATCAGCACAGGAGTGTCTTCTTCCCCCTCTGCAAAGCTAAATGCTTCACTTGCTAACAGTTCGAGAATTTTATTAGGAGAGAAGTGCCAGTTCCTTCAGCTGTGAGGGATGAATTAACTCACAGGCGAGGGCAGGACCAGGCTGGGCTGGGGATAACAGATTTACAATCACGTGGCCCTGTGCCAGCCCGTCCCTAAGCAAAAGCAAAAAAAGGTGTTGCAGGACACAAGCCTGGCAGCCTCCAGCAGCCAGGCAAAGCACGAGACCTGGCTTTGGCCCAAACCCCAGCTAACGCCCTTCTCAAAGGGAGGAGATGTTACCTCAGCAGCGAGCTGTTTCCTAGGGGCTTCGCCACTTCCAGTTCCGAGGCGAGGTGGATTTGAAGACTTTGTTTCTCCAAAATGGGAAAAGCCTCCCTGTCAGCCTGCAGCATCAGTGCCTACCCACCCCAGCTGTCCCCTGCTCTCGCTTTGAGCCCTGCTCAGGCTCTGCAGGAGCTCTCCCCACCCACAGCCTTATTTTCAGAAGTGCAAGCAGGCTCGCAAGCACTGCACCCCTTAGATGGTCCCAAACTTGGACACCCAGCAGAAAACGAGGTCCACGGCTCAGCTCTGACACTTCAAGGGCTTTCTACAACAGACTGACCGAAGGGTATTTGGGTTATGCAGCCTCTGTCCCACCTTTCTGAGTGCTTCATCCCCGTGTCTCCCTGTATTTCCCTTCTCTCTCCTGGTTGTCCCGGCTCTCCACCCTCCCAGTCTGTTTTATCTCACCTCTCCCAGGGCAGGACCGACTTCAAAGCGGAGGAGTTGAGAGGAAAAGACCACTTCAATCCCTCCTGCCTCCCAGCAGCTGTTACGCGTTCATTTCCCCACCCGTTTCCTTATCCCACGTCCGATCTCTTACTTCAGCAGAGCCTCCGAAGCCTGGATTTCCCCAGGGGGGTTTAAGCAGGGCAGCCACCCCCTGCCTTCTTCCCCTGGGGGAAAGGAGATGCCAGGACACATCCCTTCTAGCCCACAGCCTCCCTCCTCCCCTGCTGGCTCCTAGCAAGGGGTCAGACACCAAAAGGCAGCACTGCCAGAAAAAAAAAGAGGGCTACAGACACTGAGGGCTGGAGGAGAGGAGGGCACCCACCTGTCCGAGCCGTCCTTCATGCGGACCTTGGCGTAGAGGACGTCGGTCATGGCAGGGTCATCGTTCATGTACTCCACCCCAACCACCTCCACGGCCAGGGGCCTGCCGCCGGTGATCTGGCTGAAATGGAAGAAGCCCCTTGGGTTAAAGAGCGAGACGTCATAGCTGCTCTGGGAATACAGCGTGTAGTACCCCTCACGCACACTAAATACGTATATATCTCTATATTTGCTAAGGGAAGGGGATAAATCACATTTATTGCTGCTGTTAAGCACGACTTTGAGCTTAGGTGGGGCTTAAATGTCATACAGACCCCGTGGGGCAGTGAACTCCACTGCAGAGCTCTTTCCTTTCCCAGATATTTAATGTTTTTTGCACTGGGGTGGGGACAAAAACAAGCACAACAAAACAGAAACCAGAGAAGGCTGCCTGATTTCAAGAGCTCAGAAAGCTGCAGCTGCTGTTGTCTCGTCGTCTCATGAAACACCACGCTCCCACAACTGCCTGGGTTACTGCCAAGGTCTCGCGGGGCATCCGAGCAAGGAGAAATAAAGAGGAGTCAACAGCACCAGCGTGGCTTTGCTCTCACCTTGCTCGCTTGAGGTTCTCATAAAACCTCCCAGGTGGGACAGGGGAGGGCGATCTCCTCCTCCAGTTTGTTTTCTGGGAGGAGAGCAGCACGCGTGCGGTCGTGCACGTGAGGACTGCAAGCACCTGAGGCCAGGCACCCTAAAAAGGGACAAAAAGGGCACATCTACCTTCACACGGCGTGGCTCGCCTTCGCAGAAGTAAACAAAGGCTAATGAAGGCTGGTGTGGGTGGAAGGGAGCCTAAATTAATTTTAAGCGTGCATTTATTTGGCTGCGGCCGGGGAAATAACCTGTTCAAGCCCTGGAAATGTGCTTGCAGCTCTCAGGTTGCTGCACGCCTGGTGATTCCTGCTGCTGCTGCTCAAAACGTTCAGCTTTTTCCTGAAATTCTGGCGTTTAGATACACTCACTGCTGGGCTGCTCTCCTCCTCGCTGCTCCTCGTTAAGACATTTTGCTTCTTCCCCCCCAGTAAGCGTGCCAGCCCCCTGCCCCTGCCTCACTCACTCCACGAAGTCCTCCTTGCAGCGCTGCAGCAGCTCGCAGGCCTTCCGGATCTCCTGCTCGTTCAGCAGCACCAGCGTCCCCAGGGTCAGGTGGAGCTTGGCAGGGTTCTGGAACAGGCTGCTGCTCACCCCGTGATCCTACAAAGCAACCAGAAACAGGGCCTCGCTCACCCCATCCCGGACACGCACCTCTGCCGGGAACGAGCAGCGAGCCACCAGCCTCGAGCTTTCACCCAGAGCCTTAATTAGCTCCTTTTTTCTGCCTGGAGCCTTAATTAGGGCTCAGTGGGGCCCAGGGGGACTCCCACCAGCGACAGGCTCAGCACAGGGCAGCGCAGACACGGAGCCGGAGTGAGATGTGGTTTTGTGCAGAGCAGCTGGGGCCAGGCGCGGTGACAAGCTCTAAGTGGTCTCTAAATCCTGCCTAAACACAGGCTGCACCTCGCTCCGCCAGCACAGCTCGCAGCAGCCCTGATAATTACATTTTTCTCGTTCCCGCGCGCCCTATAGTTTGCCAAGATGAATTAAGTTTAAATTCCCTTTAAAAAAAGGAGCTACGTGTTGTTGCCGGGGAAGAACTGCTCCCAGGTGGAGCAGTGCTTACACTCAGCCTTCAGAAACACACGCTTTTGTTCTAGGGCGTTTATAAAAGCACCTTGAGGACGGTTAGCACGCCCATATTACACCAGTGATTTCCCCTCCGCGGCCGTTTCCCATCAGCGCATTGAATAACCTCCACGTCAAGCTCCAGAACCACTCACCCTGCCGCTGAAGCATTTCTCTGGAAAAAAACAACCCCCAAAAAAGCCCGCTGATGAGAACGACAGCTCCCAAGTTCCCACCTGTGCTTCAGAGCTGGAGATAAAACCCTCCTGGCACTTTAGGACTGCAGTCCCTCCGCCCCTCAGAGCTCAGTGCCCCACAGCTCAGCGCTTTTTCAGGTGCTCCCCAGCCCACGGGCAGCGTGTGCCTGCCTGCCCCTGCTGCCGAGTGTGTTTTTTGCTGACTGAGCCCCTAAATCCCGGCGTGGGCTGCAGAGCTCAGCACCACGCAGCAGCCTGCAGCAGGCTCCTGAGGTTTGGCACATCCCAAAGAGGATGCCTCCGTCGCTCTCCTCACCTCGCAGAGCCTTTTTGCTGCCTTTAACTCCTCCTGCTGCTAATGGGCAGGCCACGATTCCCCTCCGTCAACCTTCTTTTCAGGGTCCCCGTAGCCAGAGGACGTTTGGCCCACCCCAAAACAACAGCTTGGGGAACAGAAACTGGGAGAAAGTTGGATTTACCCGTGCTGCAGCCGACCAGCTGATATCCCTCCTGTAGCCGGGAGGACTGCGTGGTAACCAGAAAGTCGTGCACAGGTCAGGAAGCAAAACCTCGCCCTTGTTTTTGGGGACAGGGAGTGCCAGTCTGCACCCTAAACATCAAGCTGCCCCAAAAGCAGCCTCCTGACAGCCGGCAGAGTGCTGAGAGCAGCGCAGAGCAAACAGGCCATGACCCAGATAATCCTCCTGGCTTCCTCCTTGGTATTTCAGGCGGCTCCTGCTGCCACCCCAGCTCCTTCCCCAGCACACGGTGGGCATTACCCACAGCACAAGTGGCAGCAAGGAGCGGAGGTGGGCCTCCAGTCCTAATGAAAGCCCTATTCCCAGCCCCAGAGCTGGGAAGCTGAGCAGCAGGGAAGGGAATCCCCCGTATTTGACGGGGGAATCTGACAGCCGTGTGTTTGCAGGAACTCGCCGGCAGGTACAAACACATCAGGCTGATCCCATCGTCCCTCCAAAATTCACTGTTCCCTAAGGAAAAATAAAAACCTGTTCCCTAAGGATGCACGATGTCATCGTCGCAGAAAAACAACTCATTTCCACTCGTTTAGGCTTCCAAAAATCCCCACACACACTCTTTCCTCAAATCTCCCTCCCACTTCTACCTTCGCTCGCTTAGCTGGAACGTGGAAAGGGTTTTATTCAGAGCCTTCCCCTCCTTGCAAATCCCAAACAAAGGAGCGAGCCAGGAACACAGCTTTCCCTCAGAACCCACTGAGGGGCTGCAGGCTGAGAAACCCCTCAATTCCCTGTCCCTTTCCCTGTGAGGTCCAATATCTCGTCAGCAGTGTTGGCTATCCACAGGCTGCTGTGTGTTACAGCGCTCTCATTCCTCTTCCACTCTACACCTGCACGAGGTTCAGGCTGCAAACCCTGCGTCTGCACAGCTCTGGAAGACCCAGGTGTCCTCAGCCTCAGCACAAGGCTCACCTTACAGCGGGTCTCGAGGACAAAAAGGAAAATAAAGTTAGAGAGCATGCAGCCACCGACAGAACCCCAAGCTGTAGAATGGAAATGAATGGTTGTCATAGAAACTGCTTCGGAGAGGGAAGAGGAAGAGCGGCTCACAAGTGCTCAATGGCCAGAAAAAATCCTCACACGCACACACCTGGGCTTTTCCCCTCCTTGCTGTTATCGGAGAGCTCCACTCAAAGCCTGGAGGCTGCCTAATTCCCCAGCGGTTTACACCAGCAAATTGCGAGAGGCAGAGAAGCTCGAAACCTATTCAGGTTCCTCTGAGTACCCGGAGAAATCCCGTCGCTTTGGACAAATCTCTAAGCTCTTACTGCTCCGCGAGGCACGGCTCTGAATGACTGTTTTTCATTCCTGACGTGCCTTCCAGCAGCCCCTGCTGGGAGATGAAGTGGCAGTCAAGTGGCATTCGGGGCTGCAGGGCGCTGGGGAGGCGTGCGGGGCTGCAGTGCCCTCCTTCAGCACATCCACGAGCCAGGTGAGGAGGGAATAAAGACATGGGATGAGGGCGTGAAGCAGGGCAAAGATGAATAAAAACGGCTCCTTTTGGGAGATGTTACACTGAAAGGATTCGCCTGACACGGAGGCAGCCTGGAGTGAGTAAGCTCGGATAAGCAGGGTCCAGGATGGTCGGGGGGGATCAAGCAGAAGGACTGCAACAGCCACAATTCCCTTCAGAAGGGTTAAGAGGAACACCAGGCTGAAAGCAGCAGCCTCAGCCCAGGGCTAACGGCACAAACAGGCACTGCCAGAGCCCCACGCTGGAGTTAGCAGCCCCCCAAAAAGCCCCCTCTCTCCCCGCAGCTGTGGTGTTCCCCCACAAGTACTGGAAGCAGCAGCCAACAGAGGGAGCCAGGCCACCACGGCCGCCAGCCAAGGCTTTTGCAGCCAGCTCCTGGGCTCGGTGGCCAGAATCAGCTGCATTTAGCACCCCGAGCTCCTACAGCGGCAGGGAAACAGGCAGCAGGGGGAGAAGGAGTTAAATCAGATGAAGACCCAGGGAAGTGAAGCTCCTGAGCTATTTGCAAGATTGCAAAACATAATAATTAAATTAAAACATAAAATACAGAAAGGTCCGCTGCATTATTTAGAGGCTTTCTGATTAAAAAGAAAAACCCCACAAGAAACAACCCTCTTCTGAACCTGAGGATTTTGTCCCACCGAGGAAAATCTCTAAGGAGGACAAAATATTTTACCAACAATTAACTGAGGAAGCCATTCCACATTCCGGATTTGGCAACAAATTCACAGCAGCCCCACCAACTTCAGTGAAAAGCCAGAAAGCTGCTTCAGGACACGAGCCTGCTGCAGGGCCCGTGTTTGATTTGGGATCCCCAGCGGGTGCTGACCTTTGAGCATTTCTCCAGCACTTCCTCCTTGAACTGCAGGAACTTCTCCTGGACCTCGGGCTGGGTGAGGGCGAAGGAGAGGAAGTGCGTGAAGGGCTGCTTCTTGCGGAAGCTGTCCAGGAGGACGTCGATGCGCGTCCGGGCCGAGATGACGCCGCCGCGCTGCTGCCCCGTGATCACTGCAAGGGAACAGAGCGGGGCCTGAGGAAGCTGCAGGGAGGCCGCTGGCACCCACACCCGTGGGAAACAGGCAGCAGTTAAACGGGCAGGGGCTTTGCGTTGGGTTTCTCCACGGGTTTTAAAGTATTGATGCGGCGCGGGTAAGAATGTTTCATCCTGGAGTCGCCAAGGGAAATTAGAAATTGGAAAAAGCTGCACGACAGCACCGCTCTGCTGCCAGCCCGGGGCTCGCCAGAGACGTGATGGGAGGTAAAACCCCCAGCCACGCACAGAGAAAGCTCTCCAGTCTCCTTGCTCAACTTAAAATGCCTCACATGGCTGTGCTTCCCTCTGCAAAGGCAGGGTGCTGCCATCAGAAGCACCCCCTGCTCTCCAGAAAGCCAGCTCTGTGCGTCGAAAAAAAAACACAACAGGGAAGAACCGCTCGCTTCAGTGGCTCTTCAGATTTCGGGAGCGTTGAGAAGAGAGAGGCAAGTCTGAAGTTCGTTTTGTGTGCTGGGTGTATGTTACAGCTCCTCGCCAACGGGAGTAGCAGGAATTGAAAGAACAAAAGAATAAAAACGAACCACGCGTTTGGGCCCAAGGTTCACAAGCTGGCCATCTAAGTCTAAGAATCGACTTCACTGAGGGCTAAAAATGGATCTAGTTTTCCCCCAAAACCTGATACTGCTTTATTAGGGTTTATAGACAGGGAAAAACCTCAGAAGTGAGGTGATTTCCCCAGGGCCATGAGGTGAGCCAGGCCGTGCCAGGAGCAGGAACTAAAGGAAAGCTCCTCCTGCTCCCTGTGCCCCCTCAAATCGTGTCTGTGTGAGAGCTGCTGACAGAATGCTGGTTTTAGGCTCACCGATTTCCCCTTCGACTCCAGGCTTGGGAATGCTGATGGAGGTTCGAGTCTCTGTTTCTAGCCTCTTCTTGGTTTCTCCTTTCTTCCCGATTATGTACCTGGAGGCAGAAAAGTGGAAGAGAGTCACTCGCTGGGCCTCCCCCCAGCAGAGGTGCCCGGGCCGCAGATGCTGGCTTTATTAACTCGGCCTGTGACAGCTCTTCCAGCAAATCCTGCCGCTGCCCCTTTGCCACCTGTGTTTTCCCTTTGTCCCCCCCCAGTAAAACTATTCAGCCCATAAAACTGTCAAAAGGAACTGGATGAAGCTGTGAACACCGCAGGCTTCCCAGCGAACAGCAGATCGGAGCCAACAGTCGATTCCAGGCACGTGCTTTCTCCCAGGGCTTTCACGAGCTCCCCCTGCCAGGCTGCTCACCCCGGCTCCTCCTCCCCTTCCTCCACCCTCCCGATGCTTTCATCTTCAAGGGAGGAGATGCTCGGAAGCTCTCCTGCCAGCAGCAAGCACCACCTGCTGTCTCTGTCACAGCAAACGCCGGGAGTCGAGCGCAGCACAACTGCACTAGGAAGGCATTGCCAATTCTCCCCTCCCAAAATCGGGACAGGCACAGAACAGAACACATTGCAGAGATCTGCCACTTACCCTGATCCCCCCCCTCAAATATTCCGCACAGAAACGTTTCCCCAGCCAGAGGGGAAGCCAGAAACACAGAGGCTCACTTGTATAACGGGCTGGGGACCTCCACTCTGCACTGGAAACCTTTCTCAGTCTCTTCCACCACAAAGGCATCGCAGGGTTCATCTGCACAGTCACCAGGCCCTGCTGGAAAAAGAAGAGCAGCCCTTGAACGACCGCTGCACAGCCTGGCAGCGCTTTATGTAGGTCAACAGCCTCACAATCTTCTTCACCCAAGGTTAAGCAACCCCCCCTGGGTTGCAGCTAAAGGCTTTTTAATTCTGCCAGCTGTGAAAAGCAGAATGAGTGCTCCCGGACCTGGGGGGCACAGGGAGGCAGGAGTACAGCCCAAGTTTTCTCCCCACTGCAGTTTGTGGGAGAAATGCTCCTCGTTCAGGTTCCTCTCTGCTCTCCCGGCAGGGTGGGCACCATCAACCCGCTGAGACAGCGGAGCAGGAGCCATGGGGGCCATGGCAAAGCGTTCCTCTCCCTTTTTAACATCTCACCCCGCCACAGAGGCAGGTCCGTGGGGACAAGGAGAGGTGTCTGAGGGCACGCCAGGGCCGTACCCGGGTGCCCCACCTGCATAGAAACCTTCGTCCTCCTCCTCCTCCTGCGGGTGGGCAGGCTCCTGCACCAGGTTCTTCCTGTAGACGCGCCCGCCGATCTGTATCAGGGTGGGCCTCAGGACGTCCATGGCGCTGCGGGAAGAGAGACAGCGTGTCCCACAGACTCCTGCCACACAGAAACCCCGAATTTCCCCTCCAGCCGCCCCGCTGTGCTAAAACAAGCACTTTGTGTCGAAGATATTTGGGTATTGTAGGTGATTTAAGCCCCCCTATGGCTGCAGCACCTCAGTGCATCGCCTCGCAGGGTCTTTGCGCCATGCAGAGCTAATGTGGGGCTTTTTTTTCCACAGAAATGTCAGAAATGGCAGCTCTGTGCCAGGCAGTGTGCTGAGCCGGAGGGCGCTGTGCCAAATCCTGCTGGTTTGCCCCCAAAACCCTGGGGAGCTGCAGGGTGGAGAACGTGGCAATGGAAACAGTGGGGTGAGCTGTGGAGGGTGTCAGGTGTCAGAGCTGTGCACTGAAATCAACAAATTGGGGAAAATTCGGGTGTTTTTAGTGTTTTCACCAGAAATTCAGGCTGGAGCACCTGAGGGGACACAAACGCCAGGGGGCTGCTCCCCGGGGTCACACTGCCCCCCCGTGCCGGGGCTGTGCGATTTAACACTTTTTATTCTCCAAAAACCCCCAAAATCGCGCAACGACGGCGCCGTGGGGGGGGCGCCCTGAGGCAGGCCCCGTTGCCATGGAAACCGCTCCCCCTCCCCCGCCCCGCCCCCCGACACCGGAAGTGGGCGGGGCCTCCCGCCCACCCGCCGCCCCAGCATGCACCGCGAGCGCGATCCCGCCCGCCGCCTGCGCCAAGCCGTGCGGGCGCCCAGGTGAGGCCCGCAGCGGGCCGCGGCCACCGGGGAGCGGCGGGAGGGGCGGCCGGGGAGCCGGGGAAGCGCTCGGGGAGACGGCGGGGCCGCCGCCTCAGCCGCACTCACCGCCCAGCCGCTCGCTACGGAAGCCGGGGAGGGGCCCTGAAGGGGGGGTGCGCATGCGCGGTGGCGCGGCTGAGGCGGTGGAGGGGTGGGCGGGGTGTGGGCAGGAGGCGGCGCGGCGCATGCGCGGTGGCGCGGCTGAGGCGGCGGAGGGATGGGCGGGGTGTGGGCAAAGGGGCTGCGCGGCGCATGCGCGGTGCGGCGCCGCCGTCCCCTCACAAAATGGCGGGCGCCTGAGGCGGGCCGGGTCAGGGGCGGCTCCGCGGGGTTTAAAATAAAAATGTGCGGGGTCGGCATGAGGCAGCCCGTGCCTGTAAACGTGTCCTCTGGCCGGGACTGCTCCCTCACGGCCGGGCCTGCCTCACGCGACGTGAGGGGAGCAGCCCTGAGCTTGCTGCGGACGAGCTCAGGGGTTTAATTCCGAACCAAAATAAATAAAAACCCGTGTTCTGCACCAAATCCCTGAGCGCTTTCCAGAGCTGCGTAGCCTAAAGAGTCTGCTGTGATGTATGAAGTCGGTGGGGAATAGAAACGAGTTGAGTAGGATCATGGGGCAGTGCGTGTCAGTGGCGGCCGTCGCTGCTCATAAAAGCACAAAAAGCACAAAAAATGGTGATTTTTGTGCTGCCAGCTACCTAACAAGTGCCAAACGCCCCGTTACTACACATGGATAAACCTCTTACAAGGCACAGAGAGGCTCACACCACCAGCAGCTGAGCTGGCGTTACCGTGGCAGAGGGACACAAAAGGGCCTGCAGCATTTTGGGGCCAAAAACTGTGTTTTTGGGAGTGCAGGCGTGTCTGATGCAACATGCAGAGGGGTTGCTGCAGCTGAGGTGCGGTGTCGCTGCCCTCGGGATGCCCTCTGGGAGCTGGCAGCCCAGGCGGTACCCAGGAGGAGGGCTTTGGCTGTGCCGATGCTCTGCAAGCGCTGTCCCGGCCCCAAATTTAGGCAATTTAGCCCTAAATTAGGCCTAAAAGTCCAACTTCCTAACCCTGTTCTGCTCTTCCTCCCTCTCGCAGGCTGGGCCGGGCCGAGATGGCCGCCTCCTCCTCCTCCTCCTCGGCCGGCGGGGTCAGCGGCAGCTCGGTGACGGGATCCGGCTTCAGCGTCTCGGACCTGGCGCCGCCGCGCAAAGCCCTCTTCAGCTACCCCAAGGGAGCGGGCGAGATGCTGGAAGGTGACCCTGCTCCCCCTGCCTCCCCCTGCGGCCCCCAAGGCGCTGCCAAAAGCCCGGGGAGGAAGGAAGCAGCGGGGCCGAGCGGTTTTTCCCATGGCCCCACCTCTCCCCGCAGCCACCCGCGAGGAAGTGACTTCTGGTGCTGTCCCCTCGCCCTTAAACCCGCGTTGGAGCAGGAAGCCCTCGGCCTGGGAGGGAGGGGGGCAGCGTTAATTGCTCATTGTTGGCCGGCCCTTTGATGTCGGCTGGGAATTGCTGGGAAGGTAGCTGAGGCAGGAGGAGTTTTTTTGGCAACCCGCCTCTGGTCGGTGCCCGTGCGGCCCTCTTCGCACGAGACAGCTGGGAACCGAGGGCTAACGAGAGCTTTTGTCCCCCACTGTGCCCGTGTGCCGCTCTGTTGGAGTAATTCTGAGCAAAGACTTGTTCGCGGCACTTAATGAGCCCTGGAAACAAACTCTGGGCAGGGTTTGGGGTTAAACCACCTCCTTTCTGTTCGCAGATGGCTCGGAAAGATTCCTCTGCGAGTCCGTCTTCAGCTACCAGGTCGCATCCACGCTGAAGCAAGTGAAGCACGGTAAGCGCCGCGCTGCTCAGCACAAAAAAAAAAGCAGGGCAGGAGTCCTCCTGCGAACCCCACGCTCTTTTCACCTCCTTACCGGCCTCACGTTCCCCTGGTGTGACGTGGATTTTTATGGCAGAGGCAGGGATGGGTGAAACACAGCCTCAGCAGCAGCTGGAGCAGGAAATCCCGGCCCTTTTGGCCCTTTTGCTTTCGGGTGTGACCCGGGGAGGTCTTCTGGCCGTGTGCAGGGGCTGTGGGAGCAGTTCTGCCTTCCCTCAGCTTTCGGTGGGGTTCAGCTGGGAATTCTAATTGAAGGGCTTCACTGCAGCGTGGCTGCGAAGCGCAGTCACCTTTGAACTCCTCCCGCAGATCAACAAGTCGCACGGATGGAAAAACTCGCCGGGCTGGTGGAGGAGCTGGAGGCGGACGAGTGGAGGTACAAGCCCATCGAGCAGCTGCTGGGCTTCACTCCCTCCTCGGGCTGAGCGCGGCGAGAGGGGGCAGGCAGCAGGCGCCGCCGTTTCTCGGGGTGCTCGCAGCTGCCGTCAGCGGGATCAGGCTTTTTTGGGGGATTTTTGGGAAGCTGCCGGCGGAGATCCCCCCCCTTGGAGCTGCCGCTCAGGTGGAACAACGGGACTCTGGAAGTCTGCGGGGGTGCAGGCTGGCAGGGCTCGGGTCGTGCAGCTAAAAAAAAAAGGGGGTGGGTTTTAAAGACCGGGGTTTTTAAGGACTGCGCTTCCCGGGGGGCTGCTGGAAGGGCCGGGCGAGGGGCTGGCTGCGAGGAGAGCGTCCGCACCGCTCGAGCCAGCCCTCTGCAGAGCAGCAGGGCCGAGCCCTGCCAGAAACACTCCAGCCCCAGCCCTTCCTCTGGGGAGCTGACAGGATGAGACCCGTCCCGGGGCAGCCGAGGAGGGGCAGGCGGTGGCTGCAGCAGCACCTGGGGTGGTGCTGAGGCTGCTTTCTCTCCGCTGCTCTCTGTTTTGTCTGCGCAGAGTGCTGCAGGAGCCGTCCCCTCAACACCCCGAACCCCTTTTCATGACGTGTTAGATGGTTCTGTGGTAATAAAATCAAATAATGCTGTCTTTGAAATCGGTTCTCTTTTCACAGCTTGGAGGGGGGGCGATGAAAGGAGCCGTCAGCTGCTGAGGGTGGTGTAATGGAGTTCTGAGGCACCTCGGCTGTTGTAATGGTAAACTGAAATTCAATTCAAAATATCCGGAGAGAAATTGAGGCGCGCTCGCTTTGTGCTCAGAAGTGGATTGGGTTAAATCAGCTTTTAATCCTGACTTAACTCCACGAGCAGACAACCCTCCCTTAAATCCACCCGTTGGAGCCCTCTTGTTTTCCATCTGCACCTCAGGGCTGTTCTGCAGCAGAGCAGGATTTCTGTTTTCTGGCGAACCCGTTTCAGCCTGTTCCTTTGCCATGTATCAGCCAGCAGGGGGATAGGATCCGTGCTGCACGATGTCCTCCTCCAGCTGCCTGATTTTTCCGTTTTCATTATCTTACTTACCAGATGCTTTTTTTCTTGTATTTTAACTCGGCGATTTCAGCTCAGCCACATCTGGATTGAAACCGCGAGGCGACCAAAGCTGTACAGATTTCAGCAGTTTCACCAGCGCCCTGCGGTAACGAGAGCGAGGAGGCAAAGTGTGCGGCCACGCTTTGCTTTTGGGTCTGTTTATAAATCACTCCTGGCGTCGGAGCCAACTTTGCATTACTCGCAGAGGGGCACTGAGGTGACAGGTAGCAGAAAACCCTACAAAAAGCACAGGCTGTGCCCTCTTCGCCAGATTTCCTCCTCTTACTCAGCGTGACCCTCACCCGAGGAGCCGATTTGCTCTCCCAGCTCGATCTGAGCTGGGGTGGGTTTGGGAAAGAAGGGAGCTTATTAATTCTCAGCGTGGTTGTTCCAAACCAGCTTGTTTTCATCCTTTTCCCCCCAGCCTCCCGACCCCACCTTGGCCCAAGCCCCCCCCGTATGGCCGGGCTGCGACACCCGCTGGGGCTGAGCCTCGCCCGTCCTACGTGCTGCGAGCAGCACAGCTGGAAACGGAAAAAAAAAAAAAAAGAAAAAAAAAAAAAAAAACAAACCTTGGGTTTTTCTTGCATGAAATTAAACTTTTCCACCCCTGCAGCTGCGGGGGTGTCAGGGCATCGGTGCCTGCAGCAGGCTCCACACCGAGCGCTGATTTTGCAGTGCTCAGGTAGCCAAATCTCCCTAGATCAGTGCCTGACAAAGGGTCCCGAGCCCCCTGGGGCTGAGATTTCCCCCCCTGAGCCCTGCACAGCCCCTTTCCCCGCTCCCTCCCCATGTTTTTCAGCCGTTCCTTGGTGTTTGCGGGGGCTGGAACGAGCAGCCCCAAGGAACAAGCCCTGCTCCCCGCCGTACACGGCTTGTTTGTGTGTGTGCAGCACCAAAATAGCCGTGTGTGTGTGTGTGTGTGTGTGAGAGCTATTGGGAGGAAGTGAAAAGTTCATCGTGTACAGTATGACCAAGGCAAAAACATGTTGTGGGGCCGTCCCTCCTCCCGCTCGGTAAACACTTTATGTAAGGAGAACCGGAGGGCTGGCTGCAGAGCTCCCTCTGCTCCAAGCACGGGTTGGGAAACTCCTGGAGAGCCCCATTTCTGCTTCGTGCAGCTGTGGGGCAGCCGTGGGGACGGCCAGACCTCTTCGTGGGGTTTGGTAGCACCGTGCCCCGTGCCCGCAGCTTGGAGGGGGGCTGAAATGGGCTGAAAATTCGGAGCCTTGGCCGCAGCTGGGAGCGGAGGGGGAAGGGAGCAAAAAGTTGAGGCGGGGAGGGGAGTGGAAAGGGAAAGAAAAAAAAAAAAAAAACAGCAAGAAACCACGAACAAAGAGCCTCGTTCAGGGCTGCTCGCTGGTTTTCCTGTGGGTGCCGGCGGCAGAACGCCATGTACCGGCACGGCCCCGCGCCCGCCTCCTTCACCAGGGCCAAGGCACGCGCCGGGCCCGAACCCAGCGCCGTGGGGTGCCAGCAGGCCCCGTGGGGCACATTTTGGGGTGCTCGTGGGCAGAGGGGGTGCACCGTGCCCCCCTCTCCACATCCCCCTGCTTCACTGCCATCTCCCCAAGCAGCTTTTTGGCACTCGCTTTAGCCCTTCTCCCCCACACACCCCACGCCATTTAGCATGCAGAAATCAAGCTGAAATCCCCCTGAACGCAACTTTTGGGGGCTGGGGGTGTCAGCAGCCCCATGTGGGGGCAGGATCCCAGCCCCACGCCCCGTGGACGTGCGCCGAGGCACTCGCCGAGCCCCTTGCACGGCTTCCCCCCCCGGCTGGCCCCCGCGGCGCGGAGCTGTGGCGTGATGGAGCCCAGCTCCCCGGGAACAGCCTGTCCGGGACAAGCTCCGGCACAGCCCGTCCCGTGGGAGCCTCCTGGCCAGGCTCGCTCCTCGCTACGTGCTCAGGAACAGGGCGGGCAGGCGCCGCCACGCACTGATTTTGGGCCCAAAACCACCGCTTTTGGGGCTCCGCTGCAGGGGGGGCGCAGAGAAGCCAGGGGGGTGTTCTGCCAAAGAAAGCAAAGTATTTACGCTCAGCTGGGGGGGGCTGTGTTTGAACCTAAGCTTATTTTTAGCAAGATGTGGTCCCTATTACTCTTCTTTTTTTCACTCCTTTGCCATTTTCGCCCGTTTTGACCCCATTTTGTTCCCAGTCTATTGGACGGGCAGCTTGGGACTGAGGAGGGGGGGAAACCCTGAGGTGAATTTTGTTAAAACCCAGCTCCCCAGCACCACCTCAGCGTCTCCAGGCACATCTGAGCCTGTTTTACCATACTGCACAAACACCACTGCCTATTTTTGTCAGCTGGGGCAGCGACCACCTCATTTTTGCCCCTTTTTAGCCCTTTTTTAGCGGGGCTGTTCCCGGGGCTGGTGGTGCAGGGGTGCAAACACACAGCACCCAAATCCCTGGGGACACGGAGTCGGGGGGTGTTTACCCCTACTGCTGAGGGAATAACATCACAATTTGTGGTTAAAAAAACACTTTTTAGGGCATTTTGGAGATTTTTTGGCTGTGACAAGCAGCGCTGCCCCCGGCCCCCACAAAACGGCAGCTCCCGGTCCGCCGGCACGGGACGGAGCCCTGCCGAGGTTGGGAAGGCGAGAGCGGGCGGTTTTTTTGCCAAAACGCCGAGTTTTGGGCAAATTTCGGAACCCGGCACCCGGCGGGACCCAGCGCCCGCGGCCGGCCGGGCCCTGAGGCGAGGGGCCGGGAGGGGGGGGGGGGGAGGGGGAGGGGGCGGCGCGTGCCCGCTGTCACCGGGCAGGAGAGACGCCGCGGACGTGCCCCGCGCTGCGATTGGTGGAGGAGGCCGGAGGGGGGCGTGGCCTGCCGCGCCGCGCCTATATAAGCGGCGGCGGCGGCGGCTGCTCCCTCAGAGCGGTGCGGCGGGCGGGAGGAGGCGGAGGGGTACGCGCGGCAGCAGCGGTGGCGGCGGCGCTGCCAAAGCCCTCGTCATGGCCGGGCTGTGGGAGCGGCTGGCGGGCGGCGACAGGGCCCGCATGGAGAGCTCCGACTGCGAGTCGCTGGGCAGCGCCTCCGGCTCGGAGGGAGGTGAGCGGCGGGAGCCGTCAGGAGGCGGCGGGGGGGGGGCCCTGAGGCGCTGGGGCCCGCTGAGGCGGCGGGGGCCCGCTGAGGGGGGAGGCCCTGAGGGGATCCTGTGGGGGGAGGGGAGGGGGGCAGCAGCACCACATCACCCCCTCAGCCCCCAGTGTGGTGGGGAGCCTGCCTGGTGCTGACCCGTTGTCCTCCACAGAGCCCGACTCGGCCGACCAGGCCTCGCTGCCGGACCTGGACCTGCTGCTGCACGACCCCGAGGACGAGGTGCTGTGCGCCCAGCTGCTGGAGCTGGTGCAGGCCACCCTGGGCAAGGCGCCGCTGGGCGCCCGGCGCTGCTCGCGCCTGCTGATGCCGGCCCAGCTCGTGGCGCAGGTGAGGACGGAGCTGCTGCGCCTGGCCTGCAGCGAGCCCTGTGGGCTGCGCGGGGCCCTCCTCGACCTCTGCGTGGAGCACGGCAAGGCCTGCCACGACGTGGGGCACATCGCCGTGGACCCCGCCGTGGTGCCCACCTTCCAGCTCACCCTGGTGCTGCGCCTGGACTCGCGCCTCTGGCCCAAGATCCAGGGACTCTTCGCCTCGGGGCCCGCCTTCACCCCGGGCTTCAGCCAGGCCTTGAAGCTGAGCACGGGCTTCAGGGTCATCAAGAAGAAGCTGTACAGCTCCGAGCAGCTGCTCATCGAGGAGTGCTGAAGGGGACCCGGCTCACACAAGTGCTTCGGAGGAGCTGTCACTCAGCGAGCTGGCCGCAGTAGTTTAGGTTAGGCTGGAGTAGGGTGTAGGTGGACGGAGCCGGGGCAGGCGGGGGCCCTGCCAGGCGGGCGCGGGGCCGTTTGGTGCTCGCCTCACTTCCGTGGTTGTAGGCTGGTGGTGGTGACGGCACTCCTGGGCTCGGCAGCGGGGCTGCCGCGGGGGCAGGCGCTCCCCTCCCGGTTAATTCTTTGTGTGTGTGTTTTGTAACAGTGATTGTAATCAATGGGGTTTCTGGGGGAGGGCGCACGTCGGGGGGGGAGTGACGGCGGAGCGGGGCCTGGATCAAAGACAAAACTCCCCCGCCGGCAGCTGTGGGGGGAGAGGGGCGTGCGGGGGCTGTGGGGACGGAGGGCAGGACCCCTCACCAGTGCACCCCGTGCGCGCGCTCCGTTGGTTACAGTTGACACTCGTACACTTGATGTTCAAGTGCAAGACTTCCTATGCAATTGTGTTTTTTACTTTTCTAATAAAACTGGTTCGATTGATAACCTGCTGCCTCCCTGTCTTCCCTGGGCTGTGGGGGATGATGCAACCGCCTCCCCCATGACCCCGACCCCCCTCGTGCCCTGCAGCCGTGGGAATCCCGGCCGGTTCCCACTGCAGGAAGGGGCAGCGGCCCGGGGCACGGGGCTGTGACTCAGGCAGGGCTGAGTCAGGCTGGGGTGGCAGCGCCCCGTCACCCGTGGCCACAAGGAAGCGGCTGGGGGGGAATTTGGGACAAAACCGGGAGCGTCTGGGAAAAGGGGTGTGGTGGGGGAAGGTGGTGGTGGGGTTGTGAGACCTGTCCTGGTCTGTGCAGGCAGCACTTCCCTTAGACACTCTCCTGAGCCTCCTCACAGCCATGCTGCTGAGTGCATCTTCCCCCTTCAGGTCCAAAAATTTGGGCACTTCCAAGGGCTGCTGAGCTGGGCTCGCTCCTCCCTGTCCCCACGCGAGGGCAGCCCCATTTTTGGGGTCAGGGAGGCCGTGGCACCGGCCCAAAATCCCTCTGGCAGGTGCCCTGGCTCGCGAAACCCCAGCTGGAGCAGCCGAGGCGCTGCAGAACTGGCAGTTCTTGGCCCTGCTGTCACGGGACAGAGCAGGCAGGGCCCCGGCCGCGGTGTCAGTGGCATCCCGGCTGCTATCTTTAGCTTTTTCCACCTATTTTTACACCGCGCACGCCAGCAGGGGCTCACCCCGCGCCCTGCCAGCCCCCCGGGGGTGTCGCGGTGCCACTTCTCAGCTGCCTCTGACAAGGAACGAGCCCGGGCTTCGCAGAACACCCAAAAAAAAAAAAAGAGCCTGGCAAACCCAAACCCATTCTGTGCCCCGAACGCCCCGCAGCCACCCCAAACATCCCCGGCACAGCTCCAGCCCCGTAGCCCAGCCGTTTACAGCCCCTATTTATAGGAGGTGCCCTTTCCGTGAGCCCCGGGTGGGACAGCGAGAGGCTCCCTGGAAGGTGCCAGAAGGCCCCGGCGGGGCTTTATTTAGCCGCTCGGTGGGGACAGGGCAGGCAGAGGGGTGGCTGGGGGCCCCCGAGGACACGGCGGGGCTGGTTTGGTGCCGGCCAAAACCCGGCTACCCTCCGCAGCACCCACAGGCCTTCAGCGACGGAGACCTCGGAATTTGGTGAAAATCGGGGAGAATAGGGAAAATTGCCTGCCCCCATTTGATCTCCCCCCTCCCCGCTTGCAGCACAGCCCCGGGGCTGACCCTGTCAGCCGCAGGAGCCGAAATTTGGGAGGGAGAGCGGTGCGTGCGCAGCGCCTGGTAGCCAGGTCTGGCTTCCAACCCACCCGGGAGAGGCTACAAATTGGGATATTAAGTTATTAATTTAATTGCTCGCACAGAATCGGCTGTTAGCAAGCTGCTAGCAGCCACTAGCAATAATCCCATCCTAAATAGCAGCAGTTTGCTCCTTCAGGGGGATTCAGGGTGATGCTGGGCTTTTATTTTATTTTATTTATTTTTTTTCTCCATGTGCCTCAGAGCAGGGGCTTGGGCCAAGCTTTTGGGCTTGAATCTACTTTTCCCAACATTTTAGAAGCCTAAAAGACCACTTTCCCCACTGCAGAGCGTGGAGGAAGAGGCTATTGCTGGGAGGAAAATGATGCACCCCCCAAAAACCAGCTCAGGCTTGGGTGGAGGAAAAGGGGCAGCTGAAGGCACAGGGCTGGGGTGAAAAAGGCCGTTTTCTGGTCAGCCTCGGTGAGATTTCCCTGCCTTTGCTCACTGCGGTCTGCACACGGGGGACGAACGTGTGCCAGCTCAGGGAGGCTCCTGTTGACTCAAGTCTCTTCCCAAGCACAATTACGGAAAGAAAAACACAACCCAGGCCAGCCCCGGGACGCAGAACAGAGCCGCGAGGCTGCCCTTCCTGCCAGGGTCGGGGCCACGGCCGTGTTTTGGCCTTCCCCTTCTCTCCATTTTCTTCCCAGCATTGTCGCACCCCCTCCCTCTCCCACAAAGCTCCCAGTGCTCCTCAGGCGCTGGGGCTTGGCGGTTCTGCCTTGCTGTAGTCAAAAAAATAAAATAAAACACACGAAGTAACCAGGGAGTTACCTGCTTTGCGAGCAGTTTGGTGGACGCCACCGCTCCCCTGCTCCTGGGGACAGCGCCTCTGCTCCGGCCTCGTTTCCTACCAAGCCGCTTCCACTGCCACACCAGCAGCACAGCCGCAGCCTTTCACGATATAAACATTTATTTATAGATGTACAATTTGATAATTAACTCTAAATCAAGAAATGCAGCTTCAGGAGCACCCGTTAGGATCTGCGCTTTCCCGCTCGCGTTATCCACGGAAATCTACTCGGAACATCCCAAGGTTTGTGCGGGCAGGCCCTGGGCGAGGGACGCCGTCCCGCAGGACGTTCAGCACCTCTTGCACACGTGATTTTTCCTTTAATTCCCCCCCCCACGAGCTGCACGTGGCCGTGCTATATCAACACGCCTGTGCTTCCACCCCGTGCCGTCCACAGACGGAGGTACCATTACAAAAAAAAAAACAAAAAAAACACAAAACAATAAAACAAAAGGAGGAAAAAGAAAACTTCTAGAATCAAGTCCATGCTGTGGTGGCTGTGGAATAAGGCTGAGTTAGCGGGAGGGCTGATGCTTTGCAAAACAAAGAGCAAAGGACAGAGCACACGGGCTTCTAACGCCGAAGGAAGGAGCCCACCTCAGCGCTTGAGCTCCCAGCCCTTGCACCCCACCACCACGGGGTGCCGGGGGATGGCTCTCACAGGCAAAGCCTTTAGGCAAAAATTAACTGTCGGGGCCAAAAAGGGATCCAGTTTATCCCACGTTCACCTCTCAGACGGCTCACGCTCCCATCCAGGTCCCGCCTGACCAAGCCAGCAAAGCCGAGGGGCCGGGGTGCAGGGGGACCTTCCCCCAGCGACGTTTCCTTCGGCAGAGGCGATGCAGGGCTCAGTTTTGTACCACCAGCAGCATTTCGTAGGTCTGCCCGAAGAAACGCAGGCAACAGCACGCCATGGCCACGCTGCAAACAGGAGAGCTGCTGGGCGAGGGCTGCAGGACAAAGTGATTAACAAAGGGACACAGCTCGTGGAAAGCCCTGCTTACAGGCAGAAAGCTGCACACTGATTACGAGGCAAAATTAAAAGCAGACTGGAAAAAAAAAAGAAAAAAAAGGTTACACACAGACATCAAGCGAACAACAGATGAACTAAAACCATCCAGGACAATCCTTTCCTCCGCTGAATGCGGCTCCAGTTGACCTGCGGAAGCTTCTGCCAACGTTGCGAACCCAAAGTGCAAATCCGGGCAGGTTCAGGAATTGCTTTTCGCCCCCTGCAGATTTGGAAATGCTTTTATTACAGCCCAGAAGGCAGGCATCGGCATCCCCAGCCACGGAGCGCCGCTGTCCTCGAGAAAGCCAAGTGCAGTAACCGCAAAGTGATTTGAGCTCCGAGTGCCAGGCAGAGGGGGACACCCGGGAGGAGACACTGCCCGCTTCCCCGCTGGCCAAGCTGGGCAGAGAACAAAATAATTTAATCACCCAACCCCTGCATAGTTTAAAAGTACACCGTATATACAGCTATAAATTAATTCTAAATAGATTATATTTCTTTTTGTTGAAAGTTTCATCACCAAATTGTCCGATTTCTCTCTCCAGCGCAGTCGCCAGGGTCTCCTTTTGCTCCGTGGCTTTGCTTTTTTGGCTCTCTCACCTTCCAGGCCACGCGCTTGTCCCGACGGCTGTGGGACCCTGGGAGCAACCAGGCCGGTGGTGCTGGAAGGGGAGGAGGAGGAGGAGGACGGGCAGCTGCTTCCTGTCCTAATTGCTGCCTGAGACGTCGTGACGGCGGAGACGGGCAGAGAGAAGAAAGAGGGCAGTTGTGCGTTGCTAATTCTCCGATTCCATTTTAATATCGGGTTTGATTCCTTAAACACAAAGTCCGCCACCTGGGCTCAGTGCGCTTCGCCGAGAGTCTTCAGGCGTTTCCAGTCTGGGGACGAAAGCAGTAAGGGTGTGAGTGCCGGGGGGCAGCACACCGCCACTCCACCCGGCCCCGCATTTTGGGAGGCTCTGCTCAGGCCACGGGCACGCAGCGGTGCCCAATTCCTCCAAATTCCTCCCCTGGAAGGGAGGCAGGTGGGCAGCAGCAGGCTGGCGTGAGAGAGGAGGCGCGGTTGTGAGAAGAGGAGTGGGAGAAGCGAGAAAAGAGCGGTTCCAAGAACGGGGTGCAGGCAAAAAAGGGCTGAATGCGACCCCGAGGATTTGCTTTGAGGGCCTTCAGGCTTTCAGACATGCTCTGTGAGGCAAGGAGGGTGAAAACAAAGAGCAGCCGCACTGCTGAACCTCTTTACTCGTGTCTGGGAGTCAGCTAGCTGGATGCCCAGCGCCCCCAAGAAGTCCTTGTAAGGCTCAGTAGTGTCCATACAACTGAAACGGGGTGCTTGAAGCTTCCCCTTCAACTTATTTTGTACAGAAACTGCTTTCAAAAGGCTTTGTGGCTAGATGGGGCCACCCTCAGAGCGTCTGGCAGGTGAAATCAGCCCAGATAATCAGGCACAAAAAGCACTCCAGGCTGTGCCCAAGAGCTTTCATCAGCTCCCCCACGGCCCAGCGCTTCTGCCCTCACCTGCACGATCCAGCTCGCCCTACCCCCAGCTCCCCAACCCACCTGTCCTCCACCTCAGCCCCTTTTTTTCCCCGTGGACACACGAAGCTGCTCCCACAACCCGCTGTGAACTCCAACGCCCTGCTTTGTTCTCCTCCAGGGTCAGGGGAAGGCAGAGAGGGGCAAGGAACATGTTTTCTATGAGCCCGCTCCCCGTCACCACGCTTCTTTAGTGCCACAGGTGACGACTTTTTCAATGAAACAGACAATAAAGCAACAAAAAGGGTTCATTCAGAGGCGGTGGCTGGCTGCCACGGCTGGGAAAGGCGTGGCGAGATAAGGAAAAAAAAAAAACACTTGAGCCAGCCCAGGCGTGCAGCTGACAGGAGCTCGGCCGAGTCGCCAGCACGCCTGGGGCTTCGCTTTGTTCCTCGAGAACCACCGCCAGCAAAAGCAGCGAGCTTGGAGAGAGCCGGGGCGCTGCCATGCAAACTAAACAGCATCAATCTCCCCGGCCGGGAGCACAGGCTTGGCAGAGGGGGGCTGCTTCCCCCCCGCTACGTGCGCGCGTCCAGAGGAGACTCGGGAAGACTTGTGCCTCAGAGATTTCAGTATTAAGAGCACCGCAGGAGCGCCACCGGCTCGTACTTAGAGCTCCGCCGAGCGGGCCGGCGGCGGCTATCCGTGCAGAGAGGCCTGTACGTCTGACAGTCTGCTGCAGCTGGGGGTGCCCATCTTCTGCGCCCGCTGGTACAGCTCCGAGTCCCCGAAGTAGCGTGCCCGGTACAGCAGCCCTTCCTCTGCAACGGGAGAAGTGCGGCGTTAGGAGCACGGAGCCCCCTCAGCAGGGGCTCGCCGCTCAGCAGGCTGCAAAGTGTGCCTACGTGGTGTTAAAATGCAACCTCAGCGCAGCTCGGTTGGGTTTTGCTGCAGCAGCCAAACCCCTCTGCCCCCGAGCCCACGCCACTCACTCTGCTGCTTCTCCTTCCAGCAGTTGTTCCGCAGGTTGGCGATGTAGTCGTCCTCCACGCTCCTCTCCACGTTCTTCAGGTTGCTGCCCGTGTACTCCTCGGCAAAGTTCTCAGCCACGTAGTAGACGACTTTCAGGTGCTCCGTCACCCTCCTGTGTATGTGACCCACGGACCTGGCTCCGGAGAGAGGTCAGAGCAGCGTCAGACACCTGAAGGGCACAGCCAGAGCCCCGCGGCTCCTCGCCAAGGATTGCTGACCACACGCATCACCCCCATCCTCCTCCGCCCCCAGCGCCTCACAGCTCGGGAGAGGAGAAGCCTTTCTGGTGGAAAAGAAGCCATACCCTACCCCTACTCCCTCGGATTTGCATTTCAGACAAAACCTTGTTCTTATTTTCTCCCCAGCAAACCTAGAGACACTCACCGGGGCGTGCCTGCAAGCCGCAGCACAGGACCTGTGCCCAAACACTGGATTCATCGGGCACGGCTCCAGCTGGAGCCGTGCCCAAAGTCTCCCATAACAAATACCAGCTGGCTGCTGCATCAAACGCCAGCCTGCCTCCCGAGCCAGGTATAAACAGCGACTCATCGGGCTCGCCCTTCAGCCTGCGAGCGGGGTGTGCAGGAGCGAGTCACACACCCCTGCACGCTCCAGCAGGGTGAAAATACTGAAAGGGGAGGCAGAAGGAACCAGAAACCTGCTACCCGGAGGCAGGCGCGCAGTTCGGGCAGGCAGATGCGATGAGGCACTGCTGAGCGGGGTGCCACTGACCCAGGCGGGTCTGCCAGCAGGAACCTGATTTTTGGAAGAGGTTTACGAAGGGAACCGAGTGACACGTGTTTCTTTACGACTCTGCCATTCTCAGCAACAGCCTCCTATAAACAAGGGGCACTAAAACCTCCCCGTGCCATTAAAACCTCGCCAGGTTCAGCAGCTTGCCTGCGGCACGCTGGGTTGGGCACAGTGAACTCGTTTCCTGCCAAGGAGCAGCTGAGCTCAGCATTTTTTTTGTTCCTTTGCCTGAGCAAGAGCGCAGCACCGCCTGCTGGCACAGCACGCTGCTGCTCCAGCTCCCTCAGCCTCACCCCAAAAACACGGCCGAGGGGCTGGAGCAGCTCGTTTGCTCCTCTTGTCCAAAGCCAAAGTGGGAAATCAGGAGTGGGGGCGATGTTCCAGCTGACAAGGCTGGGAGCAAATCCCTGCCTGCCTCAGAGCTGCCCTGCACCCAGCGCCCTCTCGCCTCACAGAGCGCCTCCTCGCCAGCCTCAAACTCAGAAGCAGAAAGACACGTGCTTAGTTTCGTGGCCCTCAGCCACAGAAGTGACATCCCAACACTCCTTAGCCTCTCAGGGCGACCCTGAGCTGCGCCTCGCCCCAGTTTGCTCCATTTTTGGCTCTAAGCACTAACGCCAGAGCCCTCACCTCAAACCCGAAAGCCGAGCTGGGTTTTAGAGCATTTAGTTACATTTTGGGACGAACAGATCCGACTTTCATTTTTCACACCCTGATTTAACTCTACATCTTAGCCCCACTGGGCTACAGCTTCCCCAAGGCCTTCACTCCTGCAGGCTGCAGAGGCTCCCCGTCAGAGCCCCAATCCGTCAGGCCAGCGAGCCCCTTCCACCCCAAGACCTGCCTGGAAACAATTCGGCCTTCCCTGAGCTGTGAGACATCAGGGAGCAGGAGCAGGAGGAGATAAAGCAAAGAAAGACCAGGAGAAGCAGAGCGCCCAGCTCCCCAGCACCCACCCCGCTGGATAGGCTCAGAGCAAGGGGTACTAACGGCCTCTGGCTCAGGCTGTAGGGAGGGCTGGAGACCATCATCTGGCTGAGCGCAGACACGATGATCAGGATGAGGATGGGCATCAGCTGGACAAACAGCCCCAGGCCACCCTGCGGGGACAGAAACGCACAGTGGAGCACCATCCTGGAGGCCAAGACCCCAGAGCATCGCTTTCCCTCCCTCCCAGCCCTAACGCAGCCTTAATTCCCCTGGAGCACGCTTCCCCCTTTAACCTCGAGAAGAACTCCTCGGGGAGTTCCCAGTTTTTCTTTCTTTCTTTTCCTTTTCAAGCATTTTACTGGCTATTAAAAGAGCGGGGTTATGTTAAGTCCCACAGTTTCATTTCTCCAGGTCAGAGGGCTTGGAGACATATGCAGATTCTGTGAGGGAAAACCCCAAAATAGCTCAGGCCATAAGGTTTTTTCCTTGGTTAATTACACCTCACAGACTAGAAACACCCCATCTCGCACGGGGAGATGAAAGGGAGAAGGGGTACGTGCTGGGAGGAGCCACATGTATCCGTATTATCTGAAAGCTGGATCTGCCTTTTAAAATCAGAGAATGAAACGAGAGAGGGAATGCTTCTCCTCTGCTAAAAACAAGTTCGGATCACTGCTGTCAGCTCACATCGAGGTGGCACAGATTCAAGGCACACCAGTGTTTTCCCTGCTGGAAGAGAGTACCGGGAGAGCCACCCGCAGTAAATTGCAGAGTGGAAATTCTGCAGGCAGCTAACTTCCCACCGCTGCAGCTTTCTGTACGGGGAGCTGCCAACGAGCAGGGCTGGTGCACGAAGCAGCCCCGCCAGCTCGCTGCTGATCTGTGTGCTGGGAAAAACTTTCAGGCCCCCTGCGTGCTCTCTCTCCACTTACATCCCCCTGGTGCTCTCGCCTGTCCTGCCTCTGGTGGTAGGTGTATCGCATCCTGCCGTTGCTGTACACGTGGACGTTACCTGCAGGCAAAAAAAGAAGGATAAAAAGGGTCAGCACGTGTCAGACGGTGCTGGCTGGCTAGGAGGGAGCCACAAATGGTGGCTACACTCCATGCCAGCCTCACCGATAAAATTGCACCACTAAAAGTTGGCTGTGTGCTAAAATGTAGGACGAGGAAGCGTCCACTACCGCAGGCAGTCACGGAGGGATCCCAAACAGCTCACCAGAGGTGGCTGCAGCAGCTAGGGCACTCCCTAGGAGACTGATGGAAGAATTTACACAAAGGGGTTTATCTTTTGATTAACACCAATCGGAAAAAGAAAAATAAATAATTTTGTTAGTTTTTCCACCTTAAAAGCAGCTTTTCCTCGTTTTAGATGGCAAAGCTACAGCTGAAGAGGGAGGCCAGCTGCAAAACTGCTCCTGGATTCTCAAGTGAGGAAAAAAAAAAAAAAAAGACTGAGCAAGAATGGCAACTCGCTGGTTTTCCTGGAGTAGCCCTGCCTTTCTGACAGGCAGAACAGGAACGCTGCGAAAGGTCGCGTGATGCCTGTGCATCATTTTTGTTCTAATGTTCAACCCAACCTCGTAACAGTGAACGTCTCCAGCGTGCAGACAGACTGCTGAGCTGGGGAAGAAGTCCAGCTCTGCTGGAATTACCTGCTGGGCCCCGAGTTCTCCAGGCTCCCACCTGGACGATCTAGAAAACCCTGGGTGCTTGGGTCAGTTGTGAGGGAGAGCTCTCACCCAACTCGGCTGTGGGGAGGAGCGCTGCTCTGCTACCACTCCTCGCCCTGCCCAATAAACCCTACAGCACCGTGACTGTCAGAAGGGCCGGGGCCCTCTCGGGACAGCGAGGTTTAACGCGCTTACTGGAGGGAAATCCACCCCCGAAGAACATGTTGAAGAGGTCCTCGGGGGAGATGTCGGCCTCGAAGCCGCGGTGGAAGTCTGCGTGACTGTGTCCGTGCCGAGCGGGGTTGAGCTTCTCGTCCCCGTACTGGTCGTATTGCTTCCTCTTCTCCGGGTTGCTCAACACCGCGTAGGCGTTGCCAATGGCTGAAATATGGACAATTAGGAGGCAATTAGCTTCTCGCAGCCCCAGATGCTGCGCTGAGCCCTGCGAGCAGGCACGGCTCGCCTCCCTCAGCACCCACGTGAGGTTCTCAAGCAGCCTTTGGCGGCACAGCTCTCCTGCCTGGCACGCTGCTTCGGCAGAAGGAAACCACAGCGAGAGACTCGGCCTGAAATCAGCCCAAATAACCAAGCTGTGCTGTATGGCTGCTGTGTGCCTTCCTAGAGAAACCCCCGCAGGTGAATGAAACTACCCGGTGCTACACAAATGCTGGCAGCAGAGCTGCCACGCGTTTCATTTCGTTAAACCTGTTCCTTCTTTTGAACAGCTGATCCCAAACCATTCAGCCATGAGCACAGCAGAGCGTGATTTCCGACGATAAATCTTATTCCAAACTAGCATTAAGCGCACTTGATGTCATTGCCTGAAACCAGAACTACACCGAATTTAAGTACAGGGTGCCTCACTGACAGAGACTTTAAGATCCCAAGCAAAAGCTGGTGAGATGTGGGCTGCAAGCTGTGAAATTCGCAATTTCCAGGTTCCACAGGAAGGTTTCCACGCAGGCAGCCCGCTGGCACCCACCTGCTTCTGGGCTCCTCTCCCTGCACATCCCAGTTCAGCCCTTCCCTCGGCACCAGCCCACCCGGGAGCCTCTGTAGGTGACTGCCGAGCACGTCCCTTCCCCTCCCCGCGTCGCAAGGACGTGAGGAGCTCACGGGACGGGGGCTGCCTGCTGCCTTAAGGGCAGGAAAGGGGGACCCGTGCCCTTTGCAGGAGCTTAACTCCAAGATTCAACATTTTCCCAGCAGTCAGACCGAGGTGTTTGGTTTCTTCTTGGATTAGAGATTTGGAGAGTGGAGGATGTCGTGTCAGTACGCTCGCTCTGAGCCTCGGTTATAATTAGTGCCCGCACAGCAAACGTTTCTACGAGCCGGGCAGGAAGCTAGACCACAAGGACTGGCTCCAGCACACGAGCCCGTCCTTTCACACCGTGTGATTAAGCAATGAAAATGGGGCAATTTGGGATCTTGTTCATCGTCTAGCCTTCTGCTGACCAAGCTCCACAGGACACCTTGTTCCCAGTCAGGATTTCAGCTCCAAGCGGCTCGGTTCAGCTCTTTGCCCAACGCCAGCCGAAGGCAGTGATGCAAACGAGGTTCAACACAACTGCAGCCGGCTGGGACAAGGTCCCGGGACCAGACCTGAAGTTTTATCAGCTGTCACTGGGAAGACGAATGTCAAGACTTGAGCTAACACAGCAACGTTGGAAAAAAATTAACTCAAGCCCTCAGAGCCGTGCACGTTTCCCCCTTCGCCCTCCGGCAGGGAGCAGCTGGACTTTGGCGAGCCCTGCAAACGAGAGGAGGCTGGAGGATAAAGGGCACCTTGCCTAACGCACGGCTCCCGGCACGTAGCTCTTCTCAAAGCTCTCGGCAAACATCGTTGGTCGAGATTAGAGGTGAGGAAACCTGCCTTTCGCCACCTGGTGAGGGCTTTCAGATAAACTATCGGCCAGCGGCTCACAGCACAGGCAGATGCTCCCTGCCTAACCTGGCCCCTGCACTAAAAAAGAGTAGCTGAGGGGCAGCTCGCTATCTGCCAACAGCAAGGCGCTTATCAGTCATGGATTGAAGCCTTAAGAGGCTCGAACAAACCTTACATAAGACTTTTACTGCCGAAATTTGCCCACTCGGAGCTCGCCCCTCACCGCTCTCGTGGCAGGCCAGCCTTGCTCCCTGCTCCTGCAGAAATCTCGCGCTGCTCCAGCCCCGCTGCGCCCATCGTGCTGCTCAGAACCCCACAGGCAGGTGGCACCCAGGAAAAAAGCCTAGGATTTGGGTACGGGCACAGAGGGAAGCGCCTGCGGGGCTGTTTGGGGGGATTACTGTCAGAAGAGGCCTCGTTTTACTCATGAGTGGAGCAGTTCCAGGGGAGCACAGTGCCCTGATCACCAGCCTGCTCCTTTATTTCCCCTCACACAGCTGAACGCAGTTCTCGTGGTTCCCACAGTTCTCTACTGCATTTATTCTGGCAGAGGGGATTTCCCTGGCCCACAGGCAATTACCGAGCACTCACAACCACGAGCCAAAAGCTCAGCTAAGCGGGCTTCCAAACTCCTCCTGCTGGGACTCCTGACGCAAGATGCGGAAGACGGAAAATAAAGGAAATGAAAAAAATCACGAGTGCTGGCGAATCAGCCACCTTCCCCGCAGCCTCAGAAGCGTGGCACTACTCCCAGACGGACACAGCTGCTGCAGCCTGCTTCCGTACGTGCCAAGCAACAGCATCGCTGCTGGAAAACGACTGGTTTGAAGCTACCTGGCTGCCCAGGAACTATATTCCTCCTGAGCGATTTGTTGAGTGCTTTATTTCACTCTGCCTGAATCATGAGGTGGTTTTTAGGGAGTCCCTGCTCGCCCAGCTCAGCAGCATCACCTGCTGGCTGCGGGTAAGTCACAAGGTGGGGAGCTGCGTTACCTTTAAAGGCCTCGGTGGCCCCTGGCGCGTGGTTCTTATCGGGGTGGAACTTCAGCGCCAGTTTCCGGTAAGCCTTCTTCAAGTCCTCGTCTGAAGCTTCTCTGTTGACTCCCAGAATTTCGTAGTAGTCTTTGCACTGCTTTACCCTGCCGGGAGAAAAGACACGGGCAGTGAGTTTCGGCCACGGGAGCTGCTTTGCCTTGGATGTGTCGACGGTTTCGACCGACGCTCGGTGAACTCCGCTTCACTCATCCCGGATTCCTCAGAGCTGACCCATTTTTCTCACGTGCTCACCCGCAGCCTGCCCGTGCTGCTGGCGCACAAACACTCCTACAGAACGGGTCGGGCCAGGAGAGGTGGAAGGGCCTCTCCTCGGGCACTGCTGGCACAGGCAGAAGAACACAGCCCCCAAAACATGGGCGCGATGGATCTGGGGCTGCAGGGACCACAAATGGCAGGCCGGGATCTGGAGGATCGCTGGGTTTTTGGCGTCCCCCTGCAACGTTTCAGGCCCAGTTAATTCAGACTTAAAAACTACCACGGGCTGAGCGGGATAAATGTGTCCTGGGGGTCTCCAGCAGGAGCTTTAGGAGCATCCTGAGCATCTCCACCAGCAGGGTGAGGAGTTCTGTGAGGGTTTGGGCTCTCAGCGTGACCCGAGCAGCAGGACAGGGGGAGAGGCCGCCCCGAGGCCCCCCGAGCACGCACGCACCTCCTGACGGCATCCGCCTGGTCCCGCGTGTAGCCCCGCGGCGCCTCCCCCGCCGCCTCCCCACCGCTGCCCGGCCGCCCCCCGGGGCCGGGGCCGGGGTTGGGGCCGGAGCCGGGGCCGGGGTCAGGCTGGGCCCCCGCCGCCTGCTGCTCCTTGTCCAGCTCCTCCAGCAGCGCTGCGGCGGGAGGGAGGCGAGAGTTAAACGGGGGGAAGGGGAAAAATGAAAGGGTTTGGGGAAAATGAGTCATTGCGGGGGGAATTAAATGTTCCTGGGGGAGAGAATTGGATGTTTTGGGGGAAATTAAAGACTTTTGGGGAGAAAATTAAAGGTTTGGGGGAATAAAATTCAAGATTTTGGGGGGAAAATAAAAAAAAAATTAAGATGAATTAGATGAATTTGGGAAATAAATAAATAATCTCAGAGAAAATTCAACGTTTGGGGGGGAAACTAAAGGAATTCAGCAACAATTAAAGGAAGTCCAGGGGAAATTAAAATAACTTTGGCGAAAATTAAAAGCCATTAGAAGAAAATTAAAGGCAGCCAGAGAAAGTTAAAAGGATTGAAGGGAGAATTACAAGAGAGCCGTTGGAAATTGAAATAAATTGGGGGAAAATTTGAGAAATTCAGGAAAAATTTAGAAGAAACACCAGGAAAATTTGATAAATTCAGGGAAAATTAAAAGAAATTTGGGGAAAATTTGATAAATTTAGGGAAAAATAAAAGAAATTTGGGGAAAATTTGAGAAACTTAGGGAAAATTAAAAGAAATTTGGGGGAAATTTGAGAAATTCAGGGAAAATTAAAAGAAATTTGGGGGAAAATTGATAAATTCAGGGAAAATTAAAAGAAATTTGGGGAAAACTTGAGAAATTCAGGGAAAATTGAAATAAATTTGGGGAAAATTTGATAAATTCAGGGAAAATTAAAAGAAACACCAGGAAAATTTAATAAATTCAGGGAAAATTGAAATAAATTTGGGTAAAATTTGATAAATTCGGGGAAAAATAAAAGAAACACCAGGAAATTTCAAGAAATTTAGGGAAAAATACAAGAAATTCAGGGAAAATTAGGAGAAACGCAGGGAAAATCGAGAAACTCCGGGAAAATTAAAAGCATCCGGGGGAAATTAAAGATAAATCAGGGAGAATTAGAAGAAACGCGGGGAGAATTAAAGGGATTCGGAGGAAAAGAGGCGAAACTGAGGTAAAATTACCGAAACTCGGCCAAAATCACCGCCCCCCCCCCCCGCCCCCAGACTCCGCCCCCGGACTCGCTTTCCCAGCACTCCCCGCGCCGCCCGGACACGGCGCATGCGCAGTCGCCGCGCAGGCCTCCCCGCTCCCCCCTCCCCCCCCGCCGGCCGCCCCCCGGTTCCCGCTCCCCGGTCGCGCCCCCCTCACCGCGGGCGCGGGGCGTGGGGTAGAGGCGCTGCGCCTTCAGCAGGAAGCGCCGGGCCCGCTCGGGCTGCCCGGCCCTGGCGGCCGCCAGCGCGATGCCGACGCAGCGCTCCGCCTCCTCCCGGTTCCCCTCCATGGCGCCCGGGCCCGGCGGGCGGCGCCGCCTGATGACGTCACCGCCTGGCCACGCCCCTAGCAACAAGCCCCGCCCACCGCGACGAGGCCCCGCCCACCGCCCACACCCCGTTCCCGCCTTCCAACCAGGCCACGCCCCCTCCCCGTATTTCCCCGAGTACACGCGCGCTACCGTAACAACCCCACACGGCGCCCCCCAAAAAAGCAGGCAGCTTTTTAATTAACTCGCAGCTCGTTAAGGGAATGAAAGGGACAAAAGGGGCACGGCGCGGCCCCGCTAAGGCCGGGGCAGGGTGAAGTCCCAGGCGGTCTCCTGGGCGCACTTCCACATGGCGCGCATCAGGCGGGTGAAGCCCATGTCCTTGGGCTTCTCCAGGCCCCGCATCAGGCGCTGCTTCATGATGGCCACGAACTCCTTGTTGCTCAGCTCGCCGTTCCCTGCGGGCACCAAGGACGAGGTTACAGGCACCCGAACACACAGCCACGCGCCCCAAACCCACCGCCACGCAGCCCAGGGGGAGGCCGCCCAGCCCCAACCCAGCCCCACGCAGGGCAGGGTGGGTTTCATGAAGGAGTTTCTCCATTTCCAAGTGTTTTTTTTTGTTTTTTTGCGTTGTATCCAAATATCCGAATGCAACTCGAGGCAGGGAAGCTCCCCTGAAACACCAGGAGGGGAGCAGGCTTTTGCTGCGTGCCTATAAACAGCCACAGAAAGCCCCAAGCCCTGCGCCTGCTCTTCCACCCAGTGCCTACCTCAGCGCCTTTGCTGTCAAAATATTTATCAGACCCCATGTGTGGATGCAAATGGAGAAGGTTGGGAGATCCCCAGATTCCCACTGAGCTCCAGGGTGCTCACCCCATCAGAAAACACCACAGATTAAAACAAAATAGATGCAGCAAAGGCACAAGGCAGCAGGTGGGGCTGAAGCCACGGGGCCGGCAGCAGAGCTCAGCCAGCCCCCAGCACCAGGCAGCTCCTGATGCCCTTTTTCTGTATTCCTCCTGCTCATTTCGTGCCCGGAGGCTGCTCACTCACCGTCGCAGTCGAAGAGCGCGAACACCACGTCGCACACGTGGTCCGAGAGCTCCACCTTCGCCACCGTCCTGGCCACCTGCTGCATGGTCACTGCAAGAGAGCAAGGGCAGGATTTGACGCCATTAAATATTAGTTTTATAACCCGAAAGCTATCTTTCTTTTACAATTTCAGGCGTTACAGTCTTACACTAGTTCCTGTAAGGAGCCATCCAGGTATTTTATGCAAGTTCAGGGCATAGCAGCTCTGGTTTTCCCTCCAGTTCCCAGAAGCACACCAGGAGTGATGCCTCACTTTCCCAGCTGGGTTTTCTCCCCCCTGCTTTACACAGTGTCAGCATCAACCAGACCTTGCCCTGAGGCTTTCCAGAGCTGGAAGCCTCCAGAAAGAAGAGAGCACCTCAAAACTTCCCCAGGCTTTCCTCCTCCAGCCACAGGGCTCTTAGAGCAGTGGCTGAGGCTCAAGCACAAGTTCATTAATGGCACGTAATTAAACAGCAATCGCGCTGATTTACCACCTGCGTGTAGACCTAAATACTCCAGGAATACATATTCCACGACCGGGCAGTTGCTAATTTACTGTAGGTGCTGAGAAAATTGGCTTTGCTAGGCTATTATCTCCTCACGGCACACTGCAGAAGCAGCAGCACGTCCATATTTCATGCGCAGCATCTCTCGCTCGTTTTTACTTCTAAATGAAAGGAAAAACCCATCGGGGTCTTTTAACTTCCAGCCTTGAGATGCGATGATCTAAAGGAAAGAGCACAGATGATTCCCCGAGAAGTCAAAGCTAAGGCTGTGGACACATGCAGGAAGAGAGGTGACACATCTGGCTCCCTTTGCAGTTCCACTGCTCCAAAACGCACGACCCAAGGAGCAGAGTTGGAGTTCTCTTCCATGTATTGCACATTTAGAGCCAGTGAGAAAATTCGGGTGCCAGTACTCGTGTTTTGGAGCAGAAATGCAGCATCTGGCTCTCATTCCTAAACAAAACCCCTCGCTTTTGAGCAAAGCCAAGACAAGGCTTGAGCAGCAACCAGAGGTCATGGAGACCCCTGCGGAAGAGTTTGCAAGAAAACTTCTTCCAGGACTGCTTGTCATTTCCAGCAACTTTTTCAAGTGCATTCTAAGCAGAGAAGACGCTGCTCCCAAGACTGGGATGAAGAAGAACCCCTGAATGCCCGGGCTCCGGCACCAGAGCCCGTGGTGTACCCACCAGGCTGCTCGGCCTCTGCACACACCTGACCCCAATTGCTCTGTTGAAGAGCAGCATTGTGTGTAGGGACATGGTTTAGAGGGTGACATTGGTAGCAGAGTGATGGTTGGACCAAATGATCTTGAAGGGCTTTCCCAGCCTTCATGATTCTGTGTTACACTGGTGAGAGGCTAGAGCCTGAGCTGGAAAACGTCATGTGGAACAGGTAGAGGAGGCTGCAGTTTGCTCGGTCCTGCTGTTTTGCCACCTAACCTTACCCATAAAAGGGGCCTAGAAGAAAGCTGGAGAGGGACTCTGTCGGGGAGTGTAGCCATGGAACCAGGAATAATGGCTCTGAGCAAATGGAGGGGAGATTGAGATGAGATGTGACGTGAGGAAGAAATTCTTCACTCGGAGCACAAAGCGCACGTGGGAATTAGGGCTGGAGATGCACCTTGCTTCTGTTCTTCTCCGTAAAGAAGGGAATGAAATTGCCTAAAAAGCAGTGTTAGAAATAAACCCGGGGCACAGGCTGGGAGGTGCAGGGCAGTCCTGTTTGGGCAGTCTCAGGCAATGACTGGCTTAGCCTTCTGCCCAGCACCGTGGAGCCCATGGGGCTGGATCCACCAGGTGTGGAGGAACGGATGGAAGTGGATCCACCTCTGCCGGGACAGGCCTCTCGTCACAGAGGAACTGCGGTCTCAGGACATTTTTAATCCATCAGACCAGGCTTGTTCGACCCCTCCCTAAACCCAAATACAAGCTGTGAACCTCTCGAGTTTTAATACCTTTATCAAGCGAGGCTCCAGCCATGTGGTAAAAGCTCAGCGCCGTGTCCACGTCGTTTATGTTCTTCAGAAACGTGAAGAAGCTCTCCACCTCCTCAAACGTCAGCCCCTGGGATGGAGAAAAGAGGGACTTAGTGATGGGAAAAGCAGACTGTGACACTGCTCAGGTAACAAATGACAGGGAATCAACCGCTCGAGCTTGCAGCTGGGGTCCCAACACTGCTACAAGCAGGTTTGTGTAGGCAGACTGTAGGCAGACGTGCCCGAGTGAGCTTTGCTGCTGGTGGCAGGGCTGGGTGTGTTTGCTCTACTTCCCCACACAGCACTCAGGCTGGGAAATGCTGCTTGTGAAGGCAGCGACCCCTTCAGCGGGACCACCAGGAGCTGCAGCACCCAAACTGCGCCCTCGTGGGCAGGAACAAGCACCCAGCCTGGGATTTATCAGCTTGTCAGGGGAATCCAGGCTCAGCCTCCTCCTAGTGGGAGGTTGATGCACTCAGACACTGCGAGTCCCGACTGCATAACACAGCGGGGTTCCGTGCTGGGGATGGAAGAGTGCACGCTGCAGCTGGGGCTGCGAATATAAATTTATATCCATCTGTTGTAACCCTGCTCGAGCTGTTCCCAACGACTTCCAATCAGGGCAGAAGCGACCTGTCTTTTTTTTTTTTTTGAAATATAAATCACGTTTTTTTACGATCTTCTCCCACAGACACGGTGCCTCTGGAATTGTAAGCAGAAGAACCACAGACAGTTTGCAACCTGCCGAGGAGTATTTCAGCTCGTCCCTGTCCTCAGCAAAACAAAGCACAGCCAACACACGTTGCACAGCACACCAACAAGTGCAACAGCAGGCTTTGGGAGCTGGATTCATGGGTGCAAAGTGCACACATGGACAATGTATAGGAAAAAATCCCCACTCACTGTACAGGGCACTGTCTTTAAATGTAAACCTGCTTTCCAAGCGGTGTGCTCACAGCTGCACAGCAGAATTAAATGATATTTTTCTTCTGCCAGGACAATATAACACACACTTTTGCACAAGATAGTGCAAAGATTCCTGTTTTGAACAATGTATCTACAGGAGAAAAGATCTTTGCAATTCAGACACCCATCTCCAACACCTCCCTGCTGAGCGTGGGACTGAGCAGAGCACTACAAATTTGGAACCCAAGGGAACCAGAATCCCTGTGGCCACTTTCAGGCCAGCAGAAGAAATTACACCCTGACTTACCCGACCATTTGAGATCTGCTGTTTGCAGCAGTGGCCACAAGGCCCCCCAACCACCACCGTAAGCAAAGGGCCCCAGCTCAGCATTTTCCTGGATTTTCCAGCAGGAAATGGCAAATATCGAGGCCATGCAGAGTGGCTCCTGGTTTAGTACCCTGGTTCCTGTTGTTTCAGCTAGCAACACCAGAAGTTTACATCCTTATTCCTGGTCCTTGTCACCAGTTAAAAACCAAAAGCCACGACTCACGGAGGCATCCTGCTATTCCTAGGCTTCTGTGTGGACACCTCCTGTAATCTCCACAGCAAAACCCCCGCTGGTGTTACGAAATTCAATGTCTGATTGATGAATTCGATTGCTGAGGCTGGCATCAGCATCTACTCCTTCCCAGCTACAAAAAAAACAGGGAAGGGAAGGGGTGCAGAACCGCGCTGACAAGTTGCCAGCCGCGATGATCACCATCAGTCAGCAGCCGGGGAGGGGAATTCATCTGTTCCCTGTCGATGCGTCTGTCGGCGCTGCTTGGGCTCCTCATAACTCACTCGTGCCTCCACTGAAAGCCCAATAAACATTAACCTGCCACAGGGCTCCCTCCCTGCTTCCTCGGGAGTGTTGAACTGTGTTTGCAAGGTAACGCTGGGTTAGGAAGCCTGCCAGGTAGGTTTACTTCTGAAAAAGGTGTTACATACGTTCATCTGATTCGTGTCAGTATGGAACATTCCTTCCCTTCCCTCCCAGTGTCCCAGTCTCCCCCTCATTAGAGTCAAATGATCAAATCTTCAGAAATATTCCTCAAATCCATCAGCCTATTTGCTTTTGTTATTCTGAACTCTTATTCCTAACAGTTACGGCCTTTTTGCCTTCTTTGTGGATGATTTAGCACTGCTCTAGGTGTGACTGTCCCTGGGAATGTTTCAACAATTTGTGCAGTGTCACTAAGAGAGCTCTTTGTGTTTGTATGTTCTTTCTCTGAAGTCTCTGATGTCTGGGGGTTTCAGAACAACTGCTAACAACCAGTGACTGTTGTGGCTTCTGAATGGGACACCGTGCAAGCCCCTGATATCTGGCCAGGTGGCCAGGAGATTGAGGAGAAGAAAAAAAGTTAAGGACTAAAAAACTTAAAAAGTTACAGGACTAGAGAGACGAGACGCCTTGCTCTGAAGCTGGCTGTTCCCTACAAATAGGAACACGACCTGGCTGCCTGGGGAATGAGGAATGAGGGGGAAACAAAAGCTCTGCCCCAGATGTCAGGTGTCTGACACATGGAAGGGAACATCTGCTAGAAGAATCCTTCCAAAAATAACGTCCTCTGACTGCTCACACACCGGGCTACTGGTTGGTACATATATAAAGCCACAGCAAAGACTTGACAGTCTGTGAGTGTAGCAGTAGAGCTGATGTTTGCTGTCACACAGGCATCACAGCTGCCAAGCTGCCAAGCACTTTTCCCCGAGAAATCAACTAATTCCTGCTAAAACTCAAGGGGAACAGAGGTATAGGGGAAAAAACCTGCAGTGTCTTGCTCAAAAATCGAGTAAACAGACTCAAAACTGCAGCCTCGGAAACACTGATGGTCAAAGAGCTTGGGAAGGGCGATTTCCCAGCATCGACAGGCAATTTCTTCCAGTTTTCCACTAGATGTTTTTGGCCTCACCTGCAGCATTTGCTGTGAAACAATGCACCACGAAGGCACCTGAGCTCGGGCCTCCCCGGGGTGTTAGGACAAATGAGACGCTTCCAAAATACCGATCCTGCTGACGAGGTTCTGCTTGAAATCAGCACTCTGGGGATGTCCAAAAGTGCTGAGCTTCTGTGCCGTGCAGGGAGAGATCAAAACCCGTTTGATGCTGTGCGTTCAGCCCCGAAGGAACGGCGACCACCGCAGCTCTCAGCAGCACCATCTGGATCCGAGCGCTCCCTGAGCTCTCCTGGAGCTCACAGAGGCCAAAAACTCCATGTTTCTGACCAGTGTTATGTAAAAGGCTTTGATAAATATTAATTTTTGAGAGGAGAAAACTCGCTTGCGGCAGAGGATCTTGATTTATCTTGATTTATGGCTTCCACGTTCACTCAGAACTCCTCCAGCTAAGCCCTCAGATAAACCAGAGGAGGTTTTCACCTGGCCACGTACTGGAGCACTGTCATCAGGAAAAGTCCCTGCAACCAACGGGTGACAAGGAGCTGCCCTCAGGGGCTGTCAGAGACCTTTTAGCGCATGTGTCCTGCTGTTTCAGCGTGCCCAAGTACTCCTCTGCAGCCCCAGCAGGAGAACAGGAGAAAAAGGTCACTGGTGCAGCTTTGTGTGAACCGAGGAGTCCTGAACATCGCAGGAGTTTAGGACAAATTTATTTATAGCCCCGAAAAGGGATAAAAAAGGACTAGACCCCAACACTTCTGTCCCATAATCAAGTGGCTCTAAAACAGTCAGACCAACCCAAAACATAGCAAAGACCTTCCCTCCATTCTCATTTTGGTTAACTGTATGTTTACAACCCAAACAATAAAAGAACAATCCATCTTCACCAAAGCAACATCCTGAAGTACCTCAGCACCCCGTGCTTGCCTTACCTGATAAAAGCACAGGCCTTTTAGCACAGAGATTTTAGTCAAGGTCTCTCACTAATTTAACCGGTACAGAATCTGCAGCCTTATTCCTCTCTAAATCATGGGAAATTCAAATCATTTTTCACCTAAGTTCATAAACTAAGTAATAAACTGCCCAGTCACAGCATCTAATTAAACCAAGGTCGAGCCAGTAACTAGGGACACTTCTTCAGCGTTTATTCTGGCTCCAGACCCAGACTGTAAACATAAGCTTTGAAAATTACAGCATCCATTTCAACAGGGACAAGCCCAAACCCTCATCAGGACACCAAGCAGCGCACTCCCACCTCCTGCATCAGATTTATCACCTGCGAAGTCAGCACGGCTCCCCACACTGCTCCAAAAGGCGCGGGTGCTTCTCCCTCCAAGACGGATTGCTTGCTGCAGAGGGACAGATCCTTGCACATCAACCTGCTGCTTGGAGAAGTAATTTCCTGCACTCAGCCCTGTTCATGGCAAACCCCAAATCTTTGGGGTTTCTGTCCCTCTGTGCCACGAAGCATCATTCAACCCCACGCAGTCTGACACCATCGGTGTCATTTCTCCTACAAGCCTACCCACGGAGCCTGACCACCAGCTCGTCTCTCAGCACGGTGCGGGGTGGCTGTCTCCTCCCCCCCAAAAAAAAAAGCTTCTCAGATTTGCTACCACCACTGACCTCTCCGTCTTGGAAGTGCTTCTTGAGCTGCTTCAGCATGACGGTGAGCTTCTTCGACTGCACCCCGCTGTAGGCCAGCAGCATGCTGCCGAACTGCCGCTCCGTGATCCGCCCGTCCACCGGGTCGTGCCTCTCGAACTGGAAGGGGGAAAAGAAAAGAAAATGGGCGTTAAAAAGGTTTGGTAACAAAAAATGAGCATCACAGAAAACGCTGCTTATAGAAGAAATCCTAATACATTTGAATATTTGCTTCCACCGGGACTGTTTCCATCAGTGAGTCAACATTTTATTTCCTGGGGCAACTTCTTGAAATTTTTTTGCATCTACTCCTAGTTTTGTCTTGCTGGGCTGTAGAGCTGGACTTGAAAAATCAGGCTGACTATTTGAACCTGAAACTTAGCTAGTGCCTGCAGGTCTCCAAAAGGGGTGGAAAACAAGAAGAAAATACTAAGGTGCTCTTCATGCGAGCTTCCAGCTTGGACATTGGAATAAACACCCAAACAACCGGGCTGTTGCAGCAACTTTTTCCTGCTTGCTCAAAGAGCTGTGCAGGACTAAGCTAAGCATGCAGGTAGAAGTGTGATGATTGCTTACAGAGGGGGCTGGTAGCAAACAAACCAGGACAAAGAAAAAAAAAACACTAAAACTTAAGCCACGTTGCAGCTTTTCTCTGCTGCTGACAAGCCTGAGGATGCCACCCAACACCACAATTAGTTTTCCAGCTCCTCCAGAGCAACCCATTCAGCTCGAGAGCACTGCTGATTTGACACGAGGTTGCTGGATACGTTGGCCATTTCTGCCTGATTTGCACTTAATTCCACCACTAACCCCAAAGACACGCGGGTCTCACATGCACGGGTTTGTGCATCCTGGCCCACGGAGCCAGGATTTAGGACGATGCACGAGAGCTGTTTCCAGCCAGGAGGATCTGCCTGACCTCAGGGACTTCTGTTTGAGTGGCCCAAGCAGGATTTGGGAGAAAGATAGTTCGTTAGCCTGCTGTCTGACGCAGGCCTTGGCATTTACTCAGACCACAAAACGCTGGCCTCTGCCCTTCTCGCGTGCTGGGGAAAAGAAAAAGCTGATCTGGAGGGGAATCGTGTGATCCTCCTTACTAAGGAGAGGCAGCTGGCTCTGCCACGCTTATGAAGAAATTTTACAATAACCAAGAGGCATAAAAACTGTCTGCACTGTTTCAAAACCAGCACTAAGTTCTACAACACTCCTAATTTCAACCTAAAAGACACGAACCAGCGCCTTTCTACCAGCAGCCTTCAAATACCCCAAGTTTTGGCACAGCAGGTGCTGCTGGGGGCGTTTCCACCACCCCTTGCACGATGAGAGGCTGGGCAGAGGTCAGCCAAACGTGCACCTTCTGCGTTTGGCCACTGCTCCACTTTTACAACGTTGATTTAAAATAATCTACGGGGTTCAGTGTTCCCCTCTGCCTCCTGGTGTTCGAGTTGCCATCAGCAACCAAAAATCAAAAAATCAGCAAAAACCCATCCTGCAGGGAGAGCCTCTCTCACAGCAGACCCACTGCAGGAGATGAAAGAGCTTCATTTATTGATTGATTATCACACAGCTGGGAGATTGCTTTAGATTTATCTTGTTTCTGGTCTTTAAGATGTAAAAAAATAACTTACTGAAATTTCTTTAAAGCACAAGACAACCCTGAGCCCTGGTTAACAAACCAACCCGTTCCCCTGCCCTATGGGCTCGGTGTGCATGAACGAGTCAAACACCACCCAAAGATTATTCACGTTAAATGCAAAAGCCTGAAAACGTTTATCTTACTTTAAATGAATGTCTCCAGCATTTAACCGAAGCACTCCCAGGTGCCTGAAGTCAATAGCTGGCAGGCAGGCGCTGCGCTCGTGTATGGGCAGGAACGCAGCACTGCTCCACAGCCGAGGAAGGGGACGGGATGGCAGCAGCTGAGCTGCACCACCGGTCAACAGCCAGGCTCCGACCTCGAATATAATCACCGCTGAGCCGAGAAAAAGCAAGTCACCAAGCAGTGGGTAAAGGAAGTTCAAAGCTTGCCAGCAGCTGGTGTTGGAGGTGCGGAAATTAATTACGGGAGGGATGAGCAGAGGAGATGGTTTAAAGAAAAATTCTGGCGAGAAGAAAAAAGGTAGTTTGTTGGCTTCAAATGATTTGTGAGAAAAGCCTGATTTTCACTTCTAAAACCAAACACTCGCCTGGAACAGCCCGTTCCCCAGCCACCTGCCTGGAAGCAGATGTGCTCGCTTTGTTTTCTCCTGCCTTTCTCCAGTGTCTGCTGGACTGCTGAACACTGCTCACCTTCTCCCATCACTTGGAGGAAAAGAAAACCCACGAGGACGTGATGCAGGACAGAGCATGCCGAGATCTATTACCAGCAAACAAGTTCCCTGATGGCCTTTTTCCCTTCCATCCATCTAAAGACAGGAAAAGCACAGCCAAAGCCAGCGCAGGGGCAGCTCCAAGCACTGGGACACCAGCAGGAAGCTCCTGCTCTGCCCAAGGGCACGCATGCTCATGACTAACAACACATTTTGAGTTACAAACTGAGGCTTAGGAGGGATTTATTCGCTCTGGTGGGTTGGTTATCGTGTCAGGACCACACCAAACGGTGCTCTCGGGTGAGCTGAGCTCCCAGCCACTGCCACTTGGTGCCAGCAGCAGATTCTGCATGCGCACACCCGCACGGCTGCAACCCGTAATAAAATGTTTTGATATTCATTAACGCTGCTGTGAGGCGTGGGGAAACCCAGCGTGCTCCCAGAAGGGTGGGAGGGCAGGGGAAAGGGGCACAGCCCCGAGCCCCAGGAGCTCCCAAGGCCAGCCTGAAGCAGCCTTCCTGAGCCTGGCGCATCGTTACCACACCTTAGGGCACCCTCTGCAATCATTAAAATGACTAAGCTAAATCTGAGAAGTGTTTTCAACACCCCCTCTTCCTCCAAAAAATCATGCAGGAAAAAACACATCCACGTTTCTCGCAGAGAAACTCGTTACACATCTCAAACTACGAGCTTCTAACTCGGCTTTCTGTCGGAATAAATGTGCCTAGCGACTTCTGCTTCAGCACATGGAGGGAAGGTTTCAAATGAGGAGAGCAGAAGGCAAATCAAAAGCGACTCTTTTCTCTGCTTCCACATGCCCTTAATTGCAGGGCTTCTCACAGACAGGCAGTACAAGGATCCACCACCAAACGACAGGCCCACGATCCCCCCGCTTCCAGCCCTCACTATTTATTTTGACCAGCCCCATCTACCTGCTCCTGCGGGAAATCAAACGCCAGCCTCTGAGAAGCACCCAGCCTGAACCGATTCAGAGGCAGCACTGTGAGAAGCGTCTTTATTAAAAAAATCAAGAAAAAACTTCTTAAGCAGGGCCGTCGGTTTCCTCCCCAGTGCTCGCTGGGTCAGATTTTGGTGCCAGACACCTCAGGGCAGGTTTCTTGTTTCGGCTGATTCTCCTCCTCTACACGTTCATCAGAAGCAATAGCATTAAAAGGGAGAAATCAGTGGGGTTTGTGGGGTGGGACTTGAATATAATGCACTGACTTACCCTGCGAGAGGAATACTAACTGCTGGGCTGCACGGACAGCGCCATGTCCCTAAAGTTCTAGGAAGGCTTCAACTGAAAAAAAACAATCCATAAATTCCCCAAACTCTCAATACAAGCACCTATAAAAGAAATGTATGTGTGCCACTTCTTATTTCCCATTCACAAAGGAAAAAAAATAATCTACAAGGGCTTTTGGATGGAGAAAAGAGCACTGAGGGATGATTTTTGAGTCGATTTATGCTGGTTAAACAAACACCCAGAACAGAAATATTGCTGATACTAATCCTGCCAGTATTAAGGGTGCTTGAAAAAGGTGACCTGCTTTGAAGGCGGTGCTGTGCGTGTAATAAGGAGTCAAAAGGATCTGGACGGTGATTTGTAGGGTAATATTCAGATTCACAATGTATGACCCTTTAAAGTAGTAGTTGCTCAAAGCTTTATGTGACAGGCTGTAATACATTATTTATCTGCAAACTGCTGCAGCACTGGGCCTGTTTGCTGTTCTGAAGAAGCAGGCTGCCAGGCTCTCTTGTCAAGTTGCATATACAAATATGACAGGGAAAAAAAAAAAAAAAAAAGCAAGCACTGTTTATCTTCCTAAAACCCAGCAACCTCATCTGTCCCTCCCCAAAAAAAAGGGATTTGGAAGGAAGCTGTGGGGCTGCAGCTCCCTGGACTCGAGTGTAGGTTGTACAGCTGGACTGGGTCAGGAGAAATGCTCCCAGTGCTCCCAGCATCTTCCCCCTTTATAAATCCACACACATATATGTGCATGGGGGAGACGGGAGCTGTTTCCACAAAAACAAAATCCGATTTTTGAATGCTTTCCATTTTCCCTTTCCCTCCGCTCTCCACGAGCAGCTTAAAGTGAATATGTAGTAGCAAAGTTAAAAATTTACATCCATCAGCAGCACTGAAATCCCTGCAGAGCAGGTGGCTGAAAGATGCTTTTGACATTTCATTGGCCTTGGCACGGCACCACTGCCTGCAAGGGGGAAAAAAATAATTCTAGCCACCAGCAACTTGTTACGCTTTAATGAGCAATTAAAAAAGGTTAGGTAAAGACGGTCGTACCTTAACTTCATCCTCAGTGAATCAAAGTAACTCCTCGCCAGCTCTGGAAGGAGCTGCATTTTGAAATTTTGAGCAGTGAGGGAATGAAATGAAGAAAATGTAAAGGAGAGGAATCTGTAAAACCCCAGGAAAGGGCACGTTGGATGAACTGGAAGGAAGCCTTCTCCTGACTGCCTGGAAAGGGGAAGGGAATGAGCCCCAGCTCCTGCTGCTCTCTGCCCTTGATAACATTCCTGGTACCCAGATGTGAGGAATGGAGAAGCTTCTCCATCCTGCTTGCCTGCTGAGATCCCAACACCAGGAGCTCCCGCCCTCCCTGCAGCAAGACCCACTGGCCAGCCGCACGCAGCCAAGTCAAACAGCCTGAAAACACTGACTACAAACCTGTGGAACTGGCACATGGCGTTATTAAAACAGACCTCTCTTACTGCTGCTGAGATTCATGCTGCTTCTGCTTGGCCTTGGCGCTCAATTTGCCACGAGAAAATAAACCCGCTGCTCTTCCCGAGTAAGGTGACCAAAGCGTTTGCTCAGACAGCAGAAGGATGATGCTGAAGGCAGACTCCTGACCCCTCCGGGGGTTTAATTTTCAGGCTCCACCGAAGTGCTCTGCTGCCTGCACCAGAGGAGGGCTCCTCGTGCTGCCCGGCAGGAGCGGATTTATGCACCCTTCATAAAACAGCTTTGTTACAGAGCAAAGCCCTCTCCTGGCACTAACAATGCAATAAATAGAAATCCTAATAAAATCCTCAAGCAGCTTCCCCCGTAGAGCTGCTGCATCAGGCACGTTTCAGTCACCTGGTGCATGTGCAAGCCACAAAGCAGCACTGCACAGCTGGGGGGGCACAAACATTTCGTCACCAGGCATCATGACAGCTGCTGGGACCACCAGCCACCCCAAAGGAGGAGATGGCCAAGCTGTCCCCGGGCATTTGAGCAATGTCCCAAAGCACACACAGTCACCCCAACTTCCCTTGCCTCACATTTAACAGCAGAACAAGCAATAAAGGGCTTAGTGGTAGATAACAAAAACCCACATCTAACCCACATCTTAAGTAGGCTGCATGGTAGTTTTTGTTAATTAGTACAGGACTCAGCTACCAACTACCCAGCGCAGGGATTCAGAAGAGGAAGGCACTTTGGGACAAGTTATTGGCTGGGTTGGTTCCCAATACGCAGCCCTAGCTAACCCACAGCAACTCACAGCGCAGCAAGGACTCCCAGTCTGCTCGTGCTACAGCTTCCTAAAAGTATTATTTCCTACGGCACTCATCAACAGCAGGGTTGGCACCGGTTAGCAACTCTCTCCTGGAGGAAGCAGACGCACTTCGCATGCAATTTCTGGTCTGGAAGACAATAAGGAAGCAGCGAGATAGGAGGGAAATCACCGAGGCAGCCAAACCACAAGAAGTGGCAACAAGCTGTTAAAAGCTTCTCTTCTCCCTCCAGCTGTGGTTACTTTGCTCATCCTTTCCTTGCGCAGCCGAGCCGATTGCTACGTCTTCATAAAGGGAAGCAACAGGGAAGGAGGCAGTGGCCACGGTTACTTAACCATGCTGGCAGCACTTCTGGGACACTGAAATGCTCGTGGCTTTGCCTCATCTAATCGCTCTGAGAAAGTTTCTGCTCAATCTTCAGAAATACGCACTAATATTTTGGGAAGCAGAAAAAATAACCGAGACCAGTACGAGGAAAGTGGTACTTAAAACGTACCTGAGAGCTACCTGTTGCTCTGCAGCACAGTTATCTCCTAACACCACCTCTTCTGATTTGCACAGATCAGGGTAAATACTTGAGGAACATCCCCTCTCCGACTTACCTTGTTTTTAAGGGGCTGAGTTCATTAGAGCCCTCCTTGGAAAAGGAACGGCACGAACCCGCTAGGCACTCGTGTGAAAAGCCACTTAACGTGAACAAAAACATCACATGCAAAGCAGGGAGGGAAGGTGGGAGACAATGTCAGAAGAGAGAAAAGCACGAGAGGAGAGCGGCTGCGTTACATAACGCTGAGGACAGAAATAGGTCTGTTGCCTAAATCAATGAGAACTACGAACAGCAAAATCAGGTGCCTTAATGCCATGAACTCAGGGAAAAGAGACAAGTTTGGCAGAACAAAACTGTTCCCTTTTCACAGCTCAATTTTGCAGTTCAAATGAGCATCAAAAATGCTAAGCACAGCATGGTGCTGTGTTCAAGGGTGCCCTCGTGAATTCAGTAACAATGCTTTTAGGACATTAACTTACCAAGACATCTTATCTTGTGCTACCCCAAATTAACAAATAGCATCTTAGAAAGGCAGCTAAATGTTCACCAGGAAGATGGACAATTGGCTGAAGTCACTAAGAACTAAATGAGAACTGAACTGGTGCAGAAGGAAAAGAAGAACAAGTACCAAGAAGCTAAAAACCCGTTGCTTCCTAATGAGATATATGGGAACCCGTGGAGGGGGCACACGACTCCAGCACAGTTAGAAATAATCCTTGAGTGCCTGCTCGTCGCCTGGCCCTGGAGAGAAAGTGGCAGTGGGAAGCCAAAGCAGAACAGCAAGGACAAAATCTCTATTTTTCTTCCTGTTGAGTTCAAGTTTCACCTTAGGTTTCTTAACCTTAAAAAGTATTTCATCCATTTTCCATTCGTCGAGGAGCTGCGAGGAACTGACACTTTCCAGCCCATAAAGAACATTCTCCTCCAGCAGCCCATTCCCCTGCAGACACGCAGCACACCGCCAGCGTTAACGAGCAGTTAAATGGACTCAGCTAACTGGACAATTACCCCCACAAAAAGCCTAGTCCTTCAGTCAGTTCCTTACTTTATAAAACTCCAAACAGAAGAGGGAATAAATTCAGGTTGGGTTCACAGTGGCTGCCTTGATGGTAACTTAAAACGCCGTTCATTAGCTGGATCCCACAGCCTGAGCACTGAGCACGTGGGCATTCACACACCAGGCAGAAGCCTTAGCGACCTCCGAATGCTGCCTTAACCATGTTCTGGCTGGGAGCATAAAATCCTCACTTCTGACACAAAGAAAAACCTGGCTTTACCCAAACCAGCTTGAACCTGCTCCAGAGAAGTGCGTTGCATTAAACCAAGTCAGTTCCACCTGGGGGCCAAGACAGACCCCAAGGAATCCCCATTGCTATTCTCGCACTCACATTATTTAAAACCAAATTTTGAAGCTTGGTGCTTGAAGTCAAGCTATGCAACTACAAGGAGGAGACTGGGTGCTGCTGTTAACTCATGGTGATGCACATTAAAAAGGGGACATTCAGTTCAATTCAAGGCAGAAGAGTCAGAATAGATGGACATTTCTTATTGAATGCTTACACAGCAGAAATGTTCACACCAGTGAAGCAAACGGGGAAAGAGTTTTGTGAAAGTTATAACTCCTGGTCTCAATCACCACTTACCAAGCCTAGGCAAGCCCCACATGGAGGACACACACCAGGACCTGCCTCCTGCTGCTGCAGCTCCACAAGAGCTCCAAAAAGCTCTCCGCCACTGCAGAGAGCTGGAGGTGTTCCTGGGGAGCACCACGCTCCTCACAAATTCAGCATGGACGTGCTGCGCTGCCCTCTCCCCTGTACACAAAAGTAAGTCAAACCTCCAGTTTGAGGATGTCGTGCTGCAGCTTGCGCTGGAATTCCAGGAAGTGGGAGATGGTGAGCTTCCCCTTCAGATCCGCCCCGAAGAAGTAGGTGGTCAGCGCAGAGTTGAAGCCGGTCTTCAGGGTGTTCCCAGTGGTCGACCGGTCTCTGTGGCGCATGCCCATGCTGGTTTGGGAGCGAATGATGCTCTGGACCTAAAAAAATTAAGAGGGAGGATGTTAGTACCAAATTCACTTGGATTGGACTTCTTTTAACCAAGTATCCTGGTTAGCTGGCACTAGCTCCAGCTAGCTCACATCGCATTTCCTTTGCCCCATGCACAAAATCGGGGTTTTTCTACCCAAGGGCACCCCCTTCTTGCCGCCTGACGTTCTCTGCCACGACTGTAGCTCCTCTATCACCCGAGCTTTGGGCAGGGGCTGCCCAAAGCAGAGCAAAGGGCTCCTCGGACAGCATCAGCCCAAACAACCCCCCGGCAGAACACACCCCACAACGCATCTGGGTTATCAGCAGACGGAGATTTGCACAAACACGGCCAAGTGTGAGGTCAGGCACCGTAACAGCGGCATCTTACAAAACCCTCTGCCCTGGGAATCCCAGCAAACCATCTGCGTGCGTGTCCTGGTCAAGTTCCGTGGTCGAGAAGCTGAATAAAACACCCAGAAAGTGAGAAGTCATGAGCAGGGATGGGGGAGCAGCTGCAGAGAAGAGTGAGTGCATGAACATTGTGCACAGCCCTGTGTTTAAAAAGGGATGGAGACTGCAGAGGAGAGGCGCAAGGTTTACCAGTTAAAAAACTCTTCCTCTCAAGCTCTCGGCAGCATGCCATGCCTTCTAGAAGGCAGCACACGATCTTGTCCTCTGGTTCGCAGCAGCCCTGGAAACAGCAGCTCCTTCTTTTGCTTTGTGCTCCGCTTGAGCCGTGAGCTCCGCACGCACGTTTCAGGCAAATATTTATCAGCTGCCTGAAGGGATGCGGTTTATGACCAGCTTGGAAACCTGCCCCTGCTTCTGCAGAAGCAAATGTTTACCCCGCTGCAGACGGTTCGATCGAGCATCTCCCCCCGGCTGTTATTTACAGGGCACCCCGGGCCAGGCAGCCCCGTGGCTCTCCCTCTTTCTCCATAAGAAGCCCCAGACAGTCTGGACGTCCATCTGTGGGCAGCGGAGCCAAACCCATTTGGCTGGTACCTATTTTCGGGAATTCTCCTAATACCCAGCAAGGCAGGCAGCCGCCACAAGTTGTTCTCCAGTCCTGCCAGTGCTGTCCTCCCCCACAGCTCATCGATCGTACGGCTCTGCACAGATGCTTTGCTGTCGTCTTTAGTTGTAAATGCATTTCAGCTTAAGCGTCTGATCTCCTTCGTCTTTTGGACCAGACAAGGGGAAAAAATCAAGGAAAATAGTTAAAAGCAATGGTTTGTAGAGAAATGATAACACTGCCTGCAAGTTAACTGCTTTTCATCCAGCATTTTAATTAAAAATAGGGGCGTAAACTAACAATTTCTGGTTTACATCCTGAAGGATGAGAAGCTAAAGACGATCCTGATGCAGGCACCGAACTATTTAGCGCTATGCGCTGTGTCTATGCATCAGCAGGAAAAAATCCGAGGCTCTTCAGCGAGGCACAAGAAATTAATATCTTCCTGGTGGGTCGTTAAAGCCTCTCACTCGCATATTAGCTCCATTACCACAAGTGATTTTTTTTTCCTTGATGAACACTCAAGGTCTGCAGATGTTAATGAGAAGAGAGACCTGCTGCTGGCTCTCTCCAAAGACGACGTGTGAAAACGGAGTACGAAATTCATTCCCACGTGCCCACAGCCAGCAGTGATGGTAGGATGCTCGAGCCCAATCTTTTCTTTCCCTTTTCCACAAAAAGGCATTGCCCTTTTAACCTGACGTCACTTCTAGTGACATATTCCCTAGGAAATGGCAATTCTGCCTGTCCCTGCCAGGTACAATGTTTATGGGACAAGTTTTCAAACCCTGCCATCCTTAAAACGTCCCGAGGCATTTCCATAAGGAGTGAGAAAATATTTCTTTTACAAATGATTGTGTCTGTGCTTATACAAAAACGAAATCCATGTGCCTGCCAGTGAAGCTATGTGTTTACCTGAATTTTGTTTGCAAAGTGCAGCAATCAGCTATGCTGCTATCTGCAAGGAGCAGATGGTGGCAATTTGCTTCAACTAACCATTTGGGTCAAAAGTGGTCTCCAACACTTTTCCTGGCTTCAATGTTGTCAGGTTCTTCTCACTTCCCGAAGCAGTGCCTTCATCCGCTGACTCAAAAGCTCTGCAAGATCAGTCTTCAATACATTCCGATGCTAAAAGGTAATTTTATTCCTTTCTATAGATGCAGTGACACATCCAACGAGCTTAACAAAAATATGGTCCCCTTCCTGAGGATTTTTGTGGGACTTAATGCACGGATAACTTCCTGCTGCCTACCAGATGATTTGAGATTACTTAAATCTATTTTGTGCTTTCGTCCTCTTAGCGCTTCCAAAATATGCATCCTTTCTTTAGATCGGTATTAAAGCAGCCAAGCATGACACCTGCGTTAATTCCTTGGCCTTCGCTGCAATTTCAGTAGGCAGCTAATTTCCCATTTTCCTTCAGCTCATTTATCTGCACAACTGATTTCTCTTTAGGCCACTGATAACTACCGTAAAACACATCTTGAACAGTTAAATACGAGATGCCTGTGGTGTAGTACTATATTCACGTACTTGGCAAATATAGAAGGAAGAGCAGTATTTTTGACTCCGAGAACTTGGTTTCCTGTTTTCCAAGCTAAGTCTGCATTTAGGGAGGCAGCGCTAAGCAGCACCGTGCCCTGGGCATGGCTGGGTATTCGAATCCGCACTCAGTGGAAAACAGAACCAGCTCCTAGATTTATAACACTAGTGATTGCTTCAAGGTATGCCACGCTGGAGATAAGCACACGCCAGTGTTATCACGGTCTGAAGTTTGTATCTAAGGACGTGCAGTTAATCAGCTCCGTTACACAGCTCCAGAGCAAACTAAGAGCACCAAACCCAAAATAATTTAGGGAGGATGACAGCAGAAGATTGGAAGCGGCGGTGGTAAATCTCCCAGAGCTGCTTTGCCACTGGTTCTTTCCATTTAGAGCAAATGCCCCACGCGTGACCTCTCACAGACTCTCCTAAGTTAGGCAGTCATTCAATCAGCCTGAGTATGAATCTGTAACTACATCATTCGGGGCTGCTTTGTTCTCAGATACTACCAAACAGCTTTCCGCTGTCTCCAAACCGCAACACACACGTCCTCCGGCATAAAAAAGCAAGGGCAGGTTATTTTTTCTGACCATGGAGTCCTCTTTTCCTTCACCCTGAAGGAACAGCTTCCACTCACCCGTTAAACACACAGCTCCACGATACGTGGGGTCAGAAAAGCATCAGGGACCCCATGAATATTTGGTAGATCAGGAGATAACAGAGGTGGCGACTCATTATTAAAAGTACTGGTGATGGGAAAGCTGAGATGTGTTACAGCTGGAGACACCGCTTTATTCCTCACTGACAGCTCAAGTCTTTGATAAATTCTCAGCAGAGCAGTATCACAAATCACATCTTACGTGAGGGGCTCACTTACATCAGACACGCAGACGAAGCTCCTTAAAAAGTCAGCCTGAATGCTCTCTGCTAAGCAAACTGCATGAAGCAGGAGAAAATAACTCATGGGGACATCCTCTCAATAAATACATGTTTTTGGATCACATTAAAATAAATGGCTAAATTCTTATTCTTTGTCTACTTCAGAGGTGACTCCTTGTAAAGATACCTCTGGGAGAAAATCTCAGGATTTGTACTTACAGTTTTCCTGGCTGAATGAAAAAGTACGTTGTGAAATGACTAACAAAAAAAAGCAGAAACCAAGGCACAGCAGCAGAGCACGGGAGGAAAAGCCAGCAGCAAGCAGAAATGTACAGCACAGTCAGAGAAGTGCTGCAGACACAGCCAAGGTGTTGCAGCACGAAGTCGCCACCCCGCCGTTCAACTCGCCTGCTCGAACTCTTCCATGTCCACTTCGCCGTCACCGTTCAGGTCAAACATCTTGAAGGCGATTTCAAAATTCCTCTGGGGAGCTGCATTGAAAACACGCGATAACAAAGACCAGTTAAAGAAAATACAAGGCACAAAAGGGGGCAGGGGTTACAAGTTCAGAACGACTGTATCCAAAAGCAATTTTCCACAAGTACTACAAATGTCCTCAATGTTCCACAAGTACTACAAACGTCCTCGTACTGCCTTCACCAAAGGTCTAGAAGAGGACGTTGAGGGAGACGGAGATATTTGTTGAACAAAATTTATTCCATTTACAGATGGAGAAAGCAAGAATGTGAGACACCACCTCGTATTTCTAATGAGAAATCAACAGAAAGTGACTCCAGAGCGAGAGTTGAAGCCTTTTGGATGTGGTGTAATACAAATTTGGCCAGCTGATGTCCCTCTGGTGCCTGCAGAGCGCTCTCTGTGCTTTGTGAAGCAGCCGGTGGCGAGGAGCAGCCCTGGACTTTGGGCACTTCTTTCCGATTCAGCTCTTGTCACTGCAAATTTAAACAAATCATTGCCAACCCTGTCTCAGTCCAGTTATAAAACCGAGACAACGCACAAGCTGGAGATCACCAGCTGAAACCCAAACGAGACAGCTCAGGACCTTGTATTTATGCCATTTAGCCTACGCCGTTCGGGTTTGTTTAGGCAGAGCCGTGCCGATGCATCACGCAGACAAGTTTGCTTCAGAGCCACCCACTGCAGCAACACCCCAGGACCAGCAGTGCATTTCCATTCCAGGCTCTGTAACTCCTCAACATTTCAAGCCACACCACAGTGCCACGGTGGTTTTTTTTCCCCAAATTCAGCTGGTACAAGAGAATTTATTTTGCTCTGCTACTTTGAAATCCGTGCCACCTACATGAATTATGGTGCTTGCTGGGGTTTCCAGGGAATCTTCCAGGCTGTAAGGAGTGCTCAGGTTATCCAAAATGATCAGCTGAAACTCTTTTTTGCTCTCAGTGTGGTTCTTCCCCCCCAAAAAATCTGGCAGCATGGTGCAGAGAGACTCATCCCCCATTAGCCTCATTGGTTTCCATCAACTTAAACTTCTCTTGAAATGCTAAGTGAGATTTTCTGCAGCCACCTTTGTGTTAGGACCTCTCTCAGACAGGGATGGGGGCAGGAAAGAAGAATCACTCAAAGAAATGAATAGGGAATTACCTGAACTGGCTTTTGTACCTAAGTTACAGCTTGAATTTAAGGCCAGAAGATTTTTCTGTTGTTTTCCCCTCGGCATAATAAACTGGAACACTTTATGGCCAGAAGATTTAGCAAGCACGTTAATGAGATTGGCTTTCCAATCACTTTGAACCTTACCAAGACGCATAACCCCATAAAACTGGATTGCAGGAACGACCTGTCACTCACCACTGGATCAGGGCAGCACGTACAGCCCTGCAGTGATCAGCTCAGGATCTCCAGTTTCCTCCTGTTACGTGCCATTGCTTGGGCTTCAAACTCCAAACATCAAAACATGAGAGGTCTCCTACATCCACAGCCATCACCAGCAGCACGTCGTGTGTTATTTCCCCTTTCCTGCACTGTCCTGGAGCAGAAGTGATGCCTGATCTGTCCCACGTGCCAGAGTGGGGAGACCTCGTGGACTTCTCATCCCTAACACAAGCCAACTTCACGTTCTCTCCAAAAATGCCGTCTAATGAAAGGACTCACACAAATTCCCCATTTCCTCGAAGAGCAACAAGGTTAAGCACCTTCCACCCGCCCCTCTTAATGTTTAAATAATGCATCCAATTTCGTTCCCTCTAATTGCAGGTACTGCGTGAAAGCCTGTGCGCAATTTCTCCTCATTAGCCCCAAAATCTAGTGCTGCACTGGAAGTCATTTGCTGCGTAAGGAAATAGGGGAATACACAAACCTAATCCAGTTACGAGATGCTAGAAAATACTTTGCAGGTCTCTCTTCCTCCCATCTCCTCTGCCGGGACACGATGTGTGTGCTGAGATTGCCAAACAAGATGCTGTGTCCCATTCATGCAGACACGGGGTTAGCAGAGGAAAGGGTTCTTCACTTACCCCTCACAAAGGCCATTCCCTTCCTTTCCCTTCTCTAAAGGCATTTTCAGAGCAGTTTATCAGGAGCCCCGAGGACGACATCGCTCGCCAAATTCAAACGGACAGTTCTGCACCAAAATCCTGCAGGCCATTATTTTCTAAGGACAGGAAAGTCTCCGAATTGGTAAATCTGATGACTTCATCCCTTGAACGAGCGAGACGGACCGTCTTGTCCTCTGATCTGTGCACCTCACACCAATGACTTGTAACAACTCTCCCACCCCCCAGCTGTGAATCAGGGAAGGCAGAGGGCAGCGCCGACCATGAGCTCACCCGCCTGCGGCTCACGGAGACGCATCCGTCAAGACGCACGTCCCTGGTCTCCGGGCAGCCAAAATTTATTGGCCCCAAGCGAGACCGTTTCCTGCCTCTCCTCTTGGGCAGGATAGCTCTGATCAAGATTTATTTATTGGGGAAGAGTTGTCCTGAGAGGAGCTCACCCCAGCCCTTTCACCCCGCGTCCCATCACTCGTGGTTACATCAGCCTCCAGGACTTGCACTTGGCTTCCTCTTCCACTTAGAGCTTGCAGAGGCCTGCAGACCGTAAAACCAGCTGCTCTCCGTTTGCCTGGCTACCTTCAGCTTCTTTTATTCCGTCCCCCAATGTTCTCTATTGCAGCATCTCTAAATTTCCCCAACGTCTCCTTAATTAGGATTGCTCAAAATGAACGCAGCGTTCCTCGTGGAATACTCACCGAAAGCATTTAGAGGGCTGTTTGCTTTTAATACAGCCTAATAGCTGTCTTTATCGGGGAAAAAAGGATTTCTGGCTTGTCCCAGGTGCTGCACTGAATTTCCAGCTCTTGATTTTGCAAAGAATCTCCTCACGAGCCTTTTTGACATTACCAAGAACCACGGGCTTTTATTACAACTGATTTCCCTCGGGCAGCTGGGCAGGGCAACTGCATTTTCTTCTCCAGCTTCCTTTCCAGCCTTTACGTGTTCGGTAGGATACAACAGAGTACTACTTGCTCACATGAACGTTTTAACATTTAAAACTGGCTCACCGGTTAAAACCTTCTGGAATCGTTTGTTCAAAGAAAGCATTTTGAAGCAAAAACGTGACGTGGAAACCAGAAGGCACACGCAGTAGCATCGAGGAGAAGACCAACACCTATCCAGACCATCAGTACGAAGCCCCAAGAGCTCAGCAGCACCCGGTTACAGCCCCCTGATCCTACAGCATCTGCCTGGGAGGTACCAAACGTCAGGAAATTATTTGGAGCACCCTTTTGTGCTCACAAGGTCAGCAAGCTGCAAGTTGGTGCAGGCAAGATCAATCTCCAAGCACTCGCAAGCCCTTAGCGAACTGTAGTCATTTATGCTCGTTAATGTGAATTAATCCATGCACACTGATGAGGAAACAAATGGCAGAGCTCTGCTAGAAGCAGCAGCATTGTGGTTTTCTTTGAGATGACTCCCTGCAAAGGCTTGATGAACAGAGTGTTGAGAAGAGAGAGATGCTTTTAAAGCGGATCCTCATCCAGCCGCTATAATTATAAATTAATAAGCAGTTACAATCATAAATTAGTAACGAGTAGGACCACAGTTAAAGTTTTAGGAACGGTGATTTCTGCGTGAATGCTTTCCTGCAGGTACAGAATGGGTAGCGTTAAGGACTGGAGCATCCTCACCCCAACAGCCACCTGAACAAGCACTGCTTCCTTCAGCTGTATTTGGAAGAGTTATTTGTCCAGGCAGGAGGTTTTATCGGTGATGCTGCTTAGAGGAAGCAAAGCTCCAGGATAATTCCATACTCTTCTGGAATATCTTGTCTTTTGGTGGGAACTTCAATGCAAAGCTGCTCAAGGACATCAGCATCCACCCTGAAGCCCAGCAACTCCGCCAGCAAGTCCAGTGTGAAAAGAGAGATCGAGATTGCAACTGGAGAAACGCTTGGGGAAATATCAGTCATTAAAATTAAATACTCTTCTTGTCCTTCTATCCATACGTTAAAAAAAAAAAAGAAAAAAAAAGGATTTTCTTCAGCTTCATAGTACATCTAAGTCTATAATCAATCCGAAATTAACACAGTCCTCCTAAAGCAGAGGGAAATCATCTGCAGAGGTGGCTGCTCAAGCCTTGCAGCTATCATAAATTTTCAGGCCACATTAAAAAGATCTTACCTTTTTCCTCCAAAGATTAATCAGAATTTCTTTCTCTCAAGTTACATGAATCAGCAGGGCCACTGTTCTGTCTGACTCTGCACAGCAGTCTTTTAGCCAAGAAACTTTTCTGTAGGTGTTGGAATTGGAACATTTTTGTCTGAAGAAAAGAATCAGGGTCAGGGAAAAGCTCACCCTGAGAAGACTGTAGCCAGCAGCAGCTAGTTCACAGCGCAGGATTGCACTGGTAGCAGGGAAAAACTCGATGATACAGTTTCACATAATGATCTCCAAATGGTGTAATATTTTTTGAGAATGGGGCAGCAGCCTTATGGGGAAGCAACTATCCATAAAATATAGGTGTCTGAGTCCCTGCTGCAATACATATGGAGAAAGAACAGAATGTCCTCATATTCCAGACATTTTCCTCCTGAATTACTCCCCTACTTCTGAAAAGGAACTCGAGTCCCACCAACCCAATTATTTTATTTATTTTGTATGTTAATACAGTAGTGGAAATGCCATACAGAACTAAAGCAATCATCCCACAGCCCGGAGACCCAGCTACCCAGCTGCATACAGCCACCCTGCCACCTTCCCTGTGCTGACACCAAGTCCCTTCAGTGCAGGGCTCATGGGATGAGGAGCCCACAAGAGGAAGGGGTTAGGTGTTTAGGAGTGTACCTCTCAGCTATCCTAAGCTCTAGTTTTGTACTGAAATGCATGGATCAGCCAAAAGAAACAGCCAAAAGACCCACCAGAAACACGAGCACCTGCTATGATCCATCCTTTTGGAAAGTACCTGAAGCACGTGCTGCCTCCAGATACAGAAACTGCCTCGGAGCCATGTCCCAGCTGACCCCATTTTTAGCCATTTTTAATATTCCATTAAAGGAAAATAAATATATTGCCACTTCACTTTTTTACTTGCTAGCTTATGAACCGAGGAGCCTACTGCACCATAAAATTTTGCATTTCAGCTCTAATGTCAACAACAGATGTGCACCTCAGTCTGAGATTTAAGAGAATCTGACAGCACCTAGGCTAGAGCACAGGGCTTACCTTTCAGGAGCTTTTCATCACTTACCACAGGGCTGACAGAACATGGCTGGATATCAAGATTCTCTTTAAATGCTCCTCTGTAATACGAATCTGGAAACCAGCTGTGGAAATCACAGCTCCACACAAAGGCCGTTTAAAGCCACCCTCTCCAGGGAGCCCCCAGGGGAAGAGGACATCCCAAACCTCTGCGGGTTCTGAGATACTGCCACAGGCAACAGAAAACGGCTTTATTTCCTGATCTATAGAAAAAAATCAAGAGATCTTCTGTTCAGTCTTGTCCAAGACCATCCCAGTTCCTTCCCCTGCGCTAATTACCTCCCAAAATGCCAGCTGAGACATCATTAAAGCCTCAGATGCACAGTAAACCATTAACAGGTGTTACAACCATATTTTGCTGTCCAGTTTTAAGACAAGTTTTTCAAAGCAGAGAGGTCAAGCTCTGCTTGGGAAGATGCTGGGCTGCCAGCTGGGAGCAATCTGCCCTGGTTCTGCACTGCTGTCCTTCAGCACAGCTACCAGCCCCTGCCAGAACTGGGGTGCTGCACCAGAGAGCCCTTGGTCTGACACGGAGCAGGCAGATTTGTGTTCCTAACAAACACCCTTGGGCCATCCCTTGGGAGAGGGGCTCTGTGCTGCTCAGATATGACTTACAGACCCCGCACAGCATGGAAGCCATCCCTGCACCACGCACCGTGGATGAGACACACCTGGGTATGTGTGTATAAGGAGATCAAAGGGCTTGAAAATTGGTGCTGCTCTGCAGGATTAAAACACCATCAGTGAGATCACAGGGCTCACTTTTGAGCAGAGACCCAGAGAATGCTCACGATGCAGTCGGGAAATCACTTCCAGAGTGAAATGGTTTGCAGTTTGTTTTCTAAATGGGAAAAAACAAAGGGAAGTCAATCTGTCCCACGCAAGAGGCTTCTCACAGGCCATTACCTGCAGTGGTGCTGGGAATTTGGGTCACAGCCAGGGACAGAGAGCAGGAAAATCAGAAATGCCACTGGCTGGCGTTCCGTGCTCTGGAGAGAGCCTGCAGGGCACAGGGAAGGAGCTGCGGGGCAGCTCCAAGAGTGCTGGCAAAAGAGTAATTCCTCTGGCGTGAGCCCACGTTATTTAAACCTCCTTCCGCGCGGAGTAAATCCAGACACAGTGACAGTCCAATTACAGAAACAAGACCAACCTATTCTTCTAATGCCCAGCTCCTTTCAGTGCCCGTTAATCAAGCAGGCATTAGCACGCCTGCACAACGGGCTGCGCTCGCTCTGCAATTGCGGTCGCTGGTGATGGAAGAGCTCCCTCCCCTTCCTCCAGCTGTCCTGCAAGCCCAAAAGCAAAAACCTCTTTGGTTTTCCTTTGGTTTTCCTCGCTTTCCTCTAGCACTTGCATGAATGAGGTGAAACCCACCCGCATTTTGCTCATCTGCCTACTTCTGCCCCAAATCACGGGGAGCAGCAGAAGCCACAGAAGCGCTGTGGCCTCCTCGAGGCCATTCCAGCTCTAATTGCCTTGAACGGAAGGCTGTCCTTCTGAATGGTATTTTTATTAGCTTTTTAAAAATACATTGTCACAGAAGCACAGCAACTGAGGAGAACAGACAGTGCTGGAGTGAGAAATGACTTCTAAATAGGACGTGGTGACAGACTTCATCTTCTGTGCAACACGCAAACAGACCTCGGCAAGCAACGTGCAGGAGAAGTCTTCAGCCCTCACCTGCTTTCCTTCCCTGATAGCTGGCACTCAAGCCTACATTTCACGGAAAATAACCCAAATGAGCTTCAACTGCAGCTACAAAGATAAAGGAAAATAAATTTAAATGCTCTGGGAAAGCTCTATTAAAGCCCGGCAGCACTTTTGGTAAGGACAAGGAGATGGGGACAGGGAGCGCAGGATGGACACGAGCCATCTCGGCGCTCACCTGGCATCACCTCCCTGAGGAGCACAACAAGACACAGCCCTTTCCCTTCCTCGGGTGTTGTGGTTTCAAAGGGGATCATCACTGATCAGTGCTGAGCTCAATCAGCCAGGCCAGACCACAACTGATCACTGCTGAGCACTGGCAGAAGAGCACCTCTCCCTCCCTCCGCACAGACCCAAGCTCATACTCCCTTTCTGATGACCTTACTGCTCAGTAAGCCCTCTTCCTCTTTCAATATTTTGGGACTTTTAACTGTGTCATGTAATCTACAGCCCTCTCTTGTCCAGAAACATTCTCAGTGCTCTTTAGGTAACTCAAACATTAAGAAAAATGATCTCGACCTGGCAGGTTTAAGACACGCTCTTCTTCATTCTATTTCATTTATTTCCTGGAAGAATAACCAAGACCTACTGGATTCCTGCAAGGCAATCATTACTCCAGGCTAATGAAACAGGCAGGGTGGCACAACAGTGAGCTTCCTACCTTTACAACAGGGCCAGGTTTAGTTTATTTTAAAAAAGCAAGTGCTTTAAAAATGAAAGTGAGTCTTACTCGGGGGAACTGAGTGTAAACAGTAGCTCCAGAGACATCCAGCATGATCCAGCGTGGCTCTCAAAGGACAAACCACCCCAAATACCTAAAAGGCAGTCCTGGAACATCTTATTTTCCCCTGTCTTGAAATCTCCTACCTTGCCCACCTTACACGTCACTCTTCAAAGCACAAACTCACCGATTCTGTCTCCTCTCATTAGTCTGGCTCCCCACTAATTGTGGCCATGCTTAAAAATCTGAGAATAAACAAAAACACATCCTGCCTGCCAAACACTCCAGTATAAGATTGGCTGCTACTCTAATGCAGGCTGGTAGTTTGTTTTATTCTTACAAAGACGTTAAACCAAAGCAAGAAGGAGTTATCTATTTTTATTGTCTGTGGCAGCACATGCAGTTCATTTTGCATCGTGCATACTTGATTAGCAGCTTGTTCGCAACAACTGGTACAGCCTAAAAAAGCCAAGGGCATCGATGTTTTCTAAGCCACATTCGGTAATGTGATATGAAAGATTTGAGGCTGTCTGCAGAGACTCAGATTAAAAGCCCTTGCTATAAACGTGAGGATACCTTAGATAATTCTGGCACAGTCCAGGCTAAGAGAAGAACAGAATGGCAAAAATCTTGAGCCAGTTCTGAGAGTCAGAAGGTAAAAAAAAAAAAATAAATAAAAAATCCTTGGCTCCAACAAGTGTTATCTATCCGTGTTTGTTTTTGCGACATGAAGGTCACATACAAGCCTCCCCTCGCCAGGTCAGTTTGACAACAAACAAGACCTTGAAGCTGGCTTCTCCCCTGTAACAGAGCCTCCAGAGCAACGTGTTCAGTAAAGAGCTGCCTCCTTCATGTGTCACAGCAGGCAGGAACACAGGGGAAAAGAACAAAACAAACCACCATAAAACACCTGCTGTTTCTACAAAACATCGTGAACCTCCCGCCTGACCCCCCTGAACAGCACAAAGCAGGCAGCAGTGGGGACTTTGAGTAAAATGTCAAGAGCCCGGATTTGGTTTTTAATCAGGCCATCACACACAATTAGAGGGCCAAACTTCTCTTGTATAGAGTTTATATATATATATATATATATTTCTTTTTTGGAAGTCTGAAAATAAACTGTCTTGGTTCATTTGACAAGTGGCACGTTTCCTTCTAGCAGGACTGGAAAAGAACGGATTTGTAGATTTTCCTGTTGATGATACAGCATCGTCTGAGGCAATCTACCAGGATGGCTGTTTGCCTTCCCCCTGAAGAAAGGCCAGAAATGCCACTCCACGTTACTGAGGGCTTCAGTTTCACCGTTTCTTGCCAACAAAGTAAACTGAAGGTCCCAGCACTTCCAGAGAAGAGGCTTTGCTGGGACAGATTAGCAGATCACCGAAATATCACAAACGCAAGTCAAGCACAGCCGTGTGAAGACAGAAGGCATCTGATGAGCCTTGTGGAAATGTAAACTGCTTAACTTCTCTCCTCATTGGATTACATCAGGCATGAGCGTGAGCTTACCAAATGCAGCTGGAGAAGAGTTTGCACAGCTTTGCAACAAGCAGTGAAGAGCTGGAAGGCAACATTCACTCAAACACGAGAACATCACATAGTTAACCAAAGAACATCTCTCTGTTTACAGTTTTGAACAGCAGGTTCAATGACTCATTCAAAAAAGCCACGTTTTTTAAAAAGAAATACTCCTTTGGAAATCGCAGATAAGCTTATCTTTCCGAACTACTCGAAGCTAACTCGAAAATAGATGAAGTAGCAATAGCAATTGTTTACTCAGCTCAAGTTTCAAGCAATCAACAATCCCTTCTAGGGAAAGGCACACAGAATACATCAGAAAGCTCATTGCTGGGAAGCCTTCAAAACTGAAAAGCAGCGACTGCAGAGGGAAAAGCTACTTACTGGACAGGACTGTCGTGAGGAAAATGTAGTCAGAAAAAGAAATGAGTCCGCATTCTCCGAGTGCATAAAAGATGCTGTCTTCATCAGCAAACTTCTCTCGCTCCTGGGACAACTTCTGTTTGTTCGTCCAAGCCGAACCCCAAAGGGAGAAAATAAAGCAATCAATTAAACACAGAATCTGAAGGCTTTCTTCGTATCCTCACCACCAAGCCATTCCACATACACACACCCCTACTGTCCCCATTGATATTCAGTGGACCTTTTCCAGCCTTCAAATCTGTCAGAAACAGCCTGCAAAGGGCAGTGCTTCCCTATCTCAAATCAGGGATGAGGAATTGCACAACAATTGGCTAAATTTAGCTGAAATACAGATAAACTAAGTCAATTTGGCTTAATGTTGTCTGGATCTGAGAGAATATAGAGCTATAAAAGTCATGTTTTTATAATATAGGAGCCAAAAAGGAAACGATTAGATTTTACTAATAGCATTTTAGCTTTAGTTGCACTTTTCAGGAGTAGCCAAGAAGGAATTATTTAACGAGTATAAAGTATGATTAAAGTTACTGGATATATGTAGTGATGAGAAGGATCCAACTCAGGAGTGTGCTTCGCAAGCTCACTAAGGAGGACCAGGACCAAAACCATACCTAAACTTCCTCTCTCGCTCCCACTTCACTTCCAATGCCTTGAAGTTTAACTAGAAAAAATCGCATGTGTTTGATCACCTCACCTCCCTTGCTAAGCTAAAAGTCCAAGTCTCTTTGATCTGCTGAAGCTTCAAAGACTGAAAAGGATCCGTGAAACTGTTAGGAGCTGAATTCCACACTGGTGACCCATTTTAAGAACAAGGCAGGAGGAGGCACACACACACACACACAGAGAGGAAAACCAAATAAATATAAAGAACAGGCGTGGATGAGGTTATTTCATAGGAACCAGATCATGCAGGCACAGAAGCACGGTCAAAGCAGGCTGAATTTAGGAACGGCTCGAGGAAAAACCACCAACAAACAGCACCACACGAGGGTCCAGCTACACAACTGTCCCCCACCATTACCTCTGTCTAGCGGAGATCCCATCATATACAAGACAAAGGAAAGAAAACTGGTTAACCAACAGTAAAACAAGCAGGCAAAACACAACATCAAGTCGAACAGTTAGACTTGCCAAGAGCAGGAAGGTCCTGAAGCAACCAGGTGGTTGCTTTGACCAGAGGCTGCTAAGAAGCCTAGGGCCACGTCCCAGCAAGAGTTAGCACGGAGCCTCTCGGGGTGAGGCCCCCCGCCTGCAGCTGACGTCTCTCGTCCGGCTCAGTTTGGGAGAGCACTCACCATTTCGTGGGGCTGCAGATTGGGGAGGAGCTCAGCTAATAATTTAGATGAAAACTTAACCCGTATCTGGCTCGGAAACCGCAAGAAAGAGAGACAAAAATACAGGTTTTCAGGAAAAATGTTCAGCTCTACAGACCCTATACAACTCTTCACAGCAGCTCTTCCTTTACCAGTGTCAGGAATTGAGTAAGAGGCGGATTCGCTAACAGCAGACAACACTAATGGCACTCATTTCATGCAAAACAACTGATTTATGCTTGCGGGATACCGGGCTGAAGTATCATTTACTAAAAGGCTTTTGCCTCCCCTTCCCATCGAGGCTGATCCCAGGCAAAACTGGCTTCAGGCTGGCACGTAGCTGGGGACAAGGCAGCACCAGCTGGCTAAGGGAAGGATCTACTAGCTGGTGGCATCCTCCTGCTTCATCCGTTCTAGGAGCCCGTGAAGATGCTGCAGAGGTTGGTTTATTAATTTTCACAGGTCTTGTTTCTGCACTTAAAATTCACACCCAGCAAGCAGCTCCCACCAGCCTCCAGAAGCCTAAAACCCCCATCCAGAGACTAACAATAAAACGGATATTAAATGAGCTGCTCTCTGCAATACAAAGGTTTAGACAGATGGGAGAGAGAAACATTTCTTCGTTTGCGTTTTTCTTTGGGCAAAGCAAACCAAATTTCAAGCCCTTACTTGCCAGGAACCCGGGGAGGGCACAATGCCACCACGGTGCTCAGCCTGCCTGCAGCGAGCGAGAATTTCTCCCCCTGAACTTCACGGGATAAATAAAGTGCATTCAAGATGCTGCAAAACAACTGATCCAATCAATAAGGTTTCCAGGCTCCCAGTGCTGGGAGGACAAAAGTTTTTAAAAAAATTCCAGCTCCCCCATTTATTTCCTCCTGGCCCACCGGGATGCTGTGTTTTACTGCTTGGGGTGGGGGGAAGCTCTCCCCTCTACAGCAAAAGCTGGCACCAGCCTTTTTCCTCCCTACGTTTTAGACCATATTCTCCTGAATTCTCATAAAATCCCTACAGAAAAATAATTTAAACACCATCCTTCACTCACTGACAGGTAGATTTGGGACGAGCTGTTATCCCCTGTCATCAGCTGCCACAGCCCAGCCGCTCCTCCAAGCAGGAGTCCAGCACAGAATTACAATGAGGGTTTGGATGCCCCAGCCCGGCTCACAGTTTAACACTAGCTGGGAATAAAGGAGGATCTGTGACGGGCATTTGGGGAGATTTGTAGGGAAGGTACGGAGCAGTACGCACAGCCTGGCTGCTGTCAGGCCATAGCCCTGCTGCCACCGCAGCGCTGAACGCCAGCCCTCCACCAAAAGGGGCATGAGTGGCAGCAGGGAACTGGAAAAAAAGCTTCCCGTCCTCTTCTGGAGATGAGTTACCTTCATGAATTACGCGTTCAGCTATCCATCTCAGCTTTCAGATACAAAAGGGCAAGAAATGTGATCTGTATCTAATCTTCAAAGCGCTCAGCGACAAGTCAAACATCTTAAATTTAAGTTTTTTTTTTTCTTTTTTCTGTTAAACCCATTCCCAGAACCAGCACATTGATTAAAATCATTCAGCACTGCCCAAAACATGCCCACAACTCAGCATCTGCAGGTGAGCAAGGCCCGGGAAGGGGCGACAGTTATGATGTATTCTTTAAACAGGCAGTAAATTTGTATTAAACGAGCACACAAGCAAGCATCCAGATTAACAGGTACAAAAAAAAGGAAAAGAAAACCAAATATACCATTGATTTCAGCACGAGCACGGCTCTAAGTTCAGTGAGAAGCTGCCAGTCTTGGTGGAACAACTCATTATACTCAGGCAAATTATCTTACGATATCACCAAACACCAACAACAGGTTAAAAAAAAAATGTAGCTGTTTTTTGAAATACAAAGCTTGGTTTTGCCCTTCCCAATCCAGACCCAAGCCCAGCAATCAGCAGCTCAAAGACAAGTGCCTCTCATGAAAAAAATGCTATTTTTCCCCCAGTATTTTAAGCCATGTGGGTTAAACATACATTTCAGTGGCACCCAGTAACAGCCAACAGCCTCCCCCCGATCCCTGTGCTGCAGAAAATGAAGTTGCAAGCCATACGCAGACAGTCCCCCAGACTTGTGTTTATGAACGGAGATCACAAGCAGGCAAAGCACCCAAAGATATGACACAAACTTCACATATTCTGCCCCAAAACCAATGAGTTACTGGAGCATCCCTCAAGCCAAATACATGATACAGCTCCCAGGCACGGGCAAACATACACGAGCTGAACCAAAGCTTCCAGGTACAAACAATTTTTGGGGGAAAAAAACACAAACATTTGTTCATTCCTTTGCTTGCTAACCGTGACCTCTACTTCGGGTTAAAAAATGGCTTTTCCAGGGCTGAATGAAGAGTGAAACGTGTTGGGGTGGGATGGAGCCCTGCGCTGATACTGCTGCACAGGGCAAGCACCGCAGACGTGCCATCGCTTGGGATATCCTGTGGTTAAAGCACCAAAGCACACGCCCAATCTGGTTAATGCTTAATTAAGCAAATCCAAAAAAGATGTAGTTTTGCAAATGCAAAGGCAGAGATGGTCACCAAGTCAGTGCTTGCTCTGCACTCCTAAGGTGCAGCCAGAAAAGCCCCATCAGCAAAACCCTCGCAGATCCATTTCCAAAGCTCCTTAACGAGCAGCACTTGCTTTGCCTCTTTGGGAAGAGCATATTCTTGGTGAGCCACTTAACGTTGACAGTTTGTGCTTCGATCTGGAGGAAAAAACCATGCACGTGGCACATTTATTCTCGTTACGTGGCTGTGTTTTGCTCCCACCTTTGTGCTCAGGTGCACCAGAGCTTTAGGAATTTCTCGCCTTGTGTGAACACTTACCAGTGACCGATGCCTTCCCAAACAACAGGGAAAAAAATCTAAGTGCATGCAAGGTTTTGTAAGTAAGTGAGGGATTTGGGGTGAGCCATAACAACCTCCTATTCACAAGCGTCATCATACTGCGTTTGTTCCCTTTTTTTGAAATAAACCTGAAGGTTACCAGTACTGCCCGATATAAAACCAGGAATATTTGGAATGGTGAAGCCAGCTTGCTGCAAAGCAGTTCTCTTTCAGTCCCAACTGACCACCCTCACTTATACAAACTCTTTAAAGACATCTCCTCATTCATTTCTTTTATGGGTAGCAATAGGCAGAGGAAAAAGTCAAAATGCAGTGCTCAGTGTGAAAAGAAATGGTCTTTTTTTGTCACCCCGCAGTAGGGGTTGTATAAAATCTGTATTGTATGTTTGCTCAAAATCTCTTCGCTTGTTCTGAGTTTGCTGGCTTTATAAGGTGAACATGACCTTCCCTATTATTGCAGTTTGGGGATACGCATCTCTAAAAATGAAGTATCTCTACGAAGCAAGGGGAGCTGGTAATCTAGAGGAGTGTTTGCCTGAGATGGATTTTACAGAGAGCAACCCCCTGAGATCTCGCAAATCTCCCGCCTGCTTTTATTTCCCCTATAAACACCGGCTGCATTTTAAACTCACTGCCTAAATCCTCCAGCTTAACACAGCCAATACTGATGAGCTAGGGAATTTTCTGGGGGGGGAACACCCCTTACTGCTTGTGCACAGAACACGGAGCAGTGCACGTGGTGATTACGCACTATTAGTGCGTGGTGCTGGTGTACAGCTTGACACTCGGTGCTTAACACAGCAGACAGCTCCCCTACGAATAAATAACCCTAAAAAGGCTGTCAGAGGCAGATTAAAATAGGCCTTTCAGCCCTATGGGGAGAAACAGGCAGGGCAGGTCCCTCTGTGCTACGAAACAGGGACGAAAAGGGATTTGGGAGGGAATAAGGGGGTTTAGAATGGGGTTTAATTTCCTTTCTTTAAAGCTAACTTTATAATGCGCATGGGAAATGTCATTTTACACCCCTCCTGGGATTTTATATCACTTTTGTAGTGCTGAAGAAATAAACATTTTCAAACTGAGGGTTGTGATGGAAGTCATTACAGCCCAGGAAACCAACCCAAACCTCCTTTGGCAGTGGAGAAGCTTGCATTAGGAGCAGCTCGAGGTAATTTATTATGAAGTCTACATATTAACACAGGCAAATGCAAACAGAGTCTGCATGGCAAATGGAGGTGGGTGTTAGAGCACAGGAAGATGCTTATAACGTGCCCACAGCTGATAAATACTGCGGCTCAGGACCTCTCACGAGCGCATTTTAATAAAGAGCTTTAAAAACCATCTCCTTCTGGGGTGATTTGTTTATCTGTATACACAGCGGGGCCCAAATTCACAGCTGGGCATAGATGAAGTTGTTCTGCATATATCTTTCCCTCCAAATTTGAATTTGGACACACACAGAATCAGAAATTAGGCAGCAATGATTCCTAGGGGTGGTCTCCTGGGACTGGAAAGAGACATTTGCATCCGCTCCTTCCAGCAAGGCTGTGGCTGTTCACCACCTTCCAACCCCAGGGCACCTGAAACGCAAGGCCAGCATTCGGAACGACCAAGGAAAGAGACACAGACTTCCCAGACCCTTCACAGGCAGCAAAACCAGTCATGCACAGGAGGAACCCCTGCTGGGAAAGCAGAAGGGAATGCCTCTGAAAAGGGACAGTCTACACTGCCGCTCCCCTCCGCTGCGGTGCCGCAGTCCTCGGCAGGGTAACGAGGTGGGCTCCCTCGGGAATTCGGGTTGGGCATCCAGGACTCGCTTTCTGCTGCTTCAAACAAACCACTGGAGTCTTATTTAAGGTCATTTTTGGCCATAACGGCTGCTTAGGAATAGCTCCTTCAGAGTCATATTTGATCTCTGTTGACCACACGTTTGCAATTTATTCAGGTTGCCCAAAATCTCTCACAAATAGGAACTTAAAGGAGGCCTCATCTGCAAGCTTGGATTGTTTTTCACACGGAAAAAGAAAAAAAAACCCTCAGTGCTGAAGACAAACTTCTGCAGCCCATAGATTTTCTACCAAAACCCCCAGGAGATGAAGCTCTCCTACTCCTGCCACTCGCCCTCCCGGCCTCCTCGCTGCGCTAATTAGGAGCGAGAAGATCTCTCCAGGAACAGGCTGTGCTGCTTTCCTACAGCCGGCTCAGCCCTCGCCCCGATTCTGCCCAAAATGGAGCTGTATTTTCAAAGTTCCTCTCTCTAAGTCAAATAACCCAAGCCGAGGAGGAGCAGCGCTCGGGTTGCTTACACAATAGCAGTTTCCCCACACTGCTGCAGCCCAGGACTTTTTTTATTACACCACCACACTCTTTTTTTCCCCGTTAAGTACAAAGGGCAGGCGATGCTCGGGAAATGAAGCCGTGCTCCAGCCCAGACACAAGGTGCCTGTAGGACCACGGCAGCATTTGCCATGGAAATTTGGTGGGGGAGGATTAAAATGAGGTCCCCGGTGTCCCAAACCATGCTTCTGAAATGAGCTGACCTCCGACACCCTTGAATTTAAATTGCTGTTCAGGTCCCCAGATGGAATATCAGGATGCATCTCAGGCTGCAGCACACTCAGAAATGTCCTTTGCCACGAACAAATCCAGTGTGAAAGCACGTGGGGAAACAGTTCTGCACAGAATGCTTTCAGTTTGCCCTCTGATGTTGTGAAATCAATGAAAGCCAGAGGGAAAGTTAGCAAAAACTACGTATTTAGGGCATTTCCCCTACGTATTTCCCTTTTTACTTACTAACACTAAAAGATCTTCTCTCTGCTTCCTAGTTCCTCTTCCCAGAAGCCCTTTTATGAACTCTAGCATCTAAATATCTTCCTGAGCAACTATTTCTGAATGCAGTTCACCCTACATAGTTCTGTACCTTTGAAAACCTCAGGCAAGTTTGCAAAAATCACCTTCCTCAAACTCACACGTATTCAAGCACCTGACATCTCCCTCAAGCTTTTTACAAGCTTTGGCCAGGGCAATGCCTCTCCTTTCCCACAAAATAAAAACAACTCCACAGCTTCGAGCAAAAAACCATCATTTTCCAACACAGCCAGCCCTCTGCTGTTAATAAAACTGGAAACAAGTCAGAGGCTTCAAAAGGCAGGAAGGAAACAGGAGGACGGGGAGCTACACCTTGGAGCACTGCTCGAAGATGCTTCCATTAGTACCAGAAGTTACCCTGAGGACTGTGTTCTGAGCAACCCAGCCTGGAGTGCTGGCCATAAATCCTTTCGGCCACGTATTGAGAATGCCTTCAGGATTATTTCGTAAAGGAGCAGGGAAAAGGGGTCAGCATACACTGTCCCTTTTACACGAAAAGTGCGTATCATGAGGTCTGAAGCACAAAGTAATTAAAGCACATGCTGTCTGCTTTGTACCTGCCAGAAATCCTGGTGAAAGGGGAGAGGGTTAGAGAAGGGAAGAAAACGAGGGAACGCTTGGTTACACCAAAGCCATCATTAGAAATAAGACACAAGTATCACGGATTAGTATCTGGAAGAAACCCCGCTGGACACCTAGAAACCAGGGTAGAAGAGCACAGTCAGCAACCAGAGCATGTTAGCAGGATCTGCCCAACGAACCCTGTGAAAACGAGCAAGAGAATTAGTGGTGCAAGGCAAAAATAAGTAGAGCTCTGTTGTGTATGTTCATCTGATTCGTGTCAGTATGGAACAGTGCTAGGGCCGCATGGCATGATGAATGTGAGCTTCTGTCTTACATACCCTTGTATAACCACAAGTCTAAGAAAAACAGAATGGTTAATGTATAGAGTTCTTGTACCTTGCAAAGGAATTTGTGTCACTAGAGAGCAGTTCTGTCTGTCTGGGTCCTGCACTGGCAATTTAATTCTTCCACAGATGTGGTTTCTTCCCTTCCCTCCCAGTGTCCCAATCTCCCCCTCATTAGAGTCAAATTATCAAATCTTCAGAAATATTCCTCAAATCCATCAGCCTATTTGCTTCTGTTATTCCGAACTCTTATTTCTAACAGTTACAGCCTTTTTTGTCTTCTTTGTGGATGATTTAGCACTGCTCTAGGTGTGACTGTCCCTGGGAATGTTTCAACAATTTGTGCAGTGTCACTAAGAGAGCTGTTTGTGTTTGTATGTTCTTTCTCTGAAGTCTCTGATGTCTGGGGGTTTCAGAACAACTGCTAACAACCAGTGGCTGTTCTGGCTTCTGAATGGGACACCGTGCAAGCTCCTGATACCCGTCCAGGTGGCCAGGAGATTAAGGAGGAGAAAAAAGAAGTTGAAGGACGGCTGGAAGACAAAACTTGCAGGGGATGCTGTGTAAGCTTTGGACATGCTGCCAAGGAGTACAAAGGGGAAGAACAAGAAAGAAACTTGGAGAGGAAGACTACGAGCCTTCAGCATGAAAGACCCCCAGAGGGACCACCGGAGACTGATGCGCATGCTCCAGTAGGAGGGACTGGATCCCAGAAGCTAATTATAATAGTCTATTTTTTTTAGAAGTAGTAATGAATATGTATTAATCTAGGAGCATAAAAATCAGCTACTGGATGTAACTGGGGTGCTATTTTGAAGACTGAGCCATTTATAACAGCTCCATCCATACAAACAGGCCACAACTGTTTGGTAGAGGAGATGGGAAAGGATGAAGTGTTCTGTACGTGGAGGTAAAGCAACACACATGTCTACAGGGATGTTTGTGTGCTGTGCTTTTACCCATGGTAAATACAACAAAGTATTCTGCTTGCTTTTGCTAAGTGATGGGGAGGAGCGATCTGCCACCAGCTAGTCACAACGCTTTGGGGCACGGTGGAGAACTTAGGTTCAGAAGAGTGAGGTTATTACCTATGTAACACGTCCCTGCTTGTTATGTAAACACGACTGGCTCTAGGTAAGGCCAGAAGATAAAGAAATGTAAAAGCAGGAAATCTGACATTAGGCACTGACGCTTTGCATGGACGACAGAGCAGGATAGGCGAACGCCTCGAGGTGTCTCCAAGGCATAAACCAGACCAGAGTCCCTGGTGTGACCAGTTCCAGCTGCTTATTTCAATCGCTCTTATACATGAGAGTGGCAGGAGCTCGTACAGTTGAGTTTACACAACTCCTCCACTGCTTCATTGCATCTAAGGAGAAGTACTGAGGATCTCGCTCAGCTAATGAGCTCAGGAAGTCAACTGCACATGTACATTACGCTGCATCCTTCTGAAGGCAGGTTTCTCTTGAAGGCAGGTTTCAGAGGCACTTGAACAGCACAGTAACTCAGAGCTCTCATCCAGCATCAGGCTCCTGAATGACAGCAGGACTTGGAGCTTGCCTCATGGCAAGCCTGGGTCTACAGCAGCTCACGCCACTCTGCCGGGTCCCATGTCCCAGCCTGAGATCATACACAAAGCAAGGGAGCCCAGAAATTCTAGCTAATGAATAAAGGCCCTTTGTTATTCTACGTTTTCAAAATTAGCAGCAAGATCCTTCAATCCATCCGAAGAACCTGTAGTAAGGACGATCCATCTTCCTCCAGTCCTTTCTGGGGGGATTCTTCCTGGCACCTGAGATGCTCTTTAAATCACCTGGCATGAAATCTTCCTCTTGTATTAATTCCCAGCAGCCCTAAAAGGCTCCCTTGCAGGGCAACTCCCCTTCCTGGACCCACACCTGCACTTACAGGGTCTTGATTAAGCTACACCTCGTCCTAGCCCCTTACACAAGCCTGCCCACCTGCATAACAGACTGAGCTATGCTCAGAGAGGCTCTTCATGGTGGAAGCAAGTTTCAGATGTTTCAGTGGTCCTTACCTGATTCTCCTCTCCTTACACTTCAAGCTCAATGAGAACATAAAGGAAAATCAACATGGAACCAGGTGTACTTTGAACAAATAGCCAACATAAAGCACAACACAAACTTACGATGTAAGTGAACAGCCAGAACATCCAGACATGCTTCAAACTGACCACCTTCCCTTGTGTGAAGTGGTGAGGACTGAAACAGATGCCCGCAGGCTACTGGCAACCCTACCACCTCCAGTAGGGCTCACCAGGGAGGGAAAATTTCTGCAAGGATTAGGCACAGAAACTCAAGTATTTGCCCTTCCCTTCATTTTGTTATTGCTGGGTGGTACTCCAGGGCATCCCAAAACACCTAGGGATGTAAATCCAACTGCTGGTAGGAAATATTTAATTCATAAGCTTAATTAGAGGGCAGTGAAAGCCTCTATTACTTCCTGCAGCAGTGGTTGCATGAATGCAGGCTGTTGCTGGTAACTCAGGGGCTTTTGTTCATATTAAGCAGCAGCAAAACATTTTCCCAACAGGAGAACGAAAAGGGCAAGTCAAGTTTACTCAGTACTGAAACTAATCAGCCAGGCAGGTTTTTTTCTCTGCTGTGCCTCCACCACATCCATTTTCTGCCTCCACTCACCCCTTCAGCTCAGGCTGTGCTGCTGAAAGCTCCCTCCTGTGGCTCAGCAGGATGGGGACCGCAGCAAGCAGCAGCTCCTCCATCTGCACAGGTGACAGACAGGGCACGGCTTTGCTCTGAACAAGATGGACGTGCAGCTCCCTTCAGACAAACACTGCCAACAGCATCACTTCAGAAGACGAAGCTTGTCAATCATTAATGCATAAGCCAAGAGAACAGAGTAAACAGTGCATGAAAAAGGACATTTTTTTAACAAAACCCGTATTACAATGTGTGTAACACCAGCAAAGCTTATGCCACACGATGGGTGCTACGAGACTTACTTCCCTTTAGCAACGTGAGAGCTTGTTTATCACTATCATCTTGCTAAGCAAGGATGCAAGCAATTAGTGGTGGCACAGAACAACACATCGATCTTCAAGCCTGATGCAGGAAGAAAACCTCCACGTCACTCTCCAAACTGCTTGCTCTGAAGCCCTGATGAACGTGACACAACAGGGGAGCAGCACGTCTGGAATTGAGCAGGACTTTGCTCTGAACAAGAGGGACACCTTTCAAGATGGCACAACAGCAGGGACAAGTGCTGAAGCACAGTGCTTGGCTGATGGGTTAAGGAAATTATTTGCTTTCCGCAGCCAGCCTGCAAGAAGAAGCAGCAGTTTAAAAATGGAGCAGATGAACAGCTGCAGTCTGAGCACCTTAACTTCACGGCATCCGAGGCTGCAAGTTAGATTTTGCCTGGTCTCACGTCAGCCTTTTCACGAAAACTATCACGGGAAGGTACTTAAACGGTGTTCAGGCTTAATATGAACACTCTGAAATGTTGACAAACTGATCTATTTCTCCCTCCTACTGAATGAACAGTGATCGATACCTCTTCTCTTCTAGTTTCCTGAGGCTTGCTTGCCTGGGGGTGAAACAAGCAAACAAAACCGGAGCCAGAGACAGCACTGCCTGCCTGAGCACTCAGCATTTCAAAGAAAACTGAGTTCATGTAGGCAAACAGATCTGACCACGGATTTTCTGGATTCACTGGATGAACATCTCTCGGGTTTTCGGTCTCATAATGAGCAGAGGAAAACCATCCAGGCTCAGATTACAGGAGCCCAGCTCCCGTTAATAAGGCAGTACCATTTACCTCCCTCTCCAGCCACTCTCTGAATTATCACTAAAAAGGAGCAGGAAGAGAGAAAAAAAAAAAGAGAGGCTTTGTAGTTTCAGCATAGCATTCAATCCCATGCACAGCGAGATGCCTCAGGAGTCCCACACAATTACAGGAGGCACATCCCTGAAAATCCTTTGGCAAGACCAGTCCCACTCACTGCACAGCAGCCACTCACTTGTTCCGATTGCATATTCCCAGTACTTTTTAGCAGCACAGCGTGTCTGTCTGAAAGCTCAATCTTTTCATCTGAAAAAGGCAGAGGAAATTTCCAGCGCACAAGCCTATTAGTTTCTGAGTGCATGCCTGGGCCACAGGTCCCATTGCCTCCACAGGACATCTGTAAGGATGCCTAAGGGAGCAGCAGACCTCCCAGCCTTCTGCTCAAGCTCATCATCTCTGCCAGAACGGCATCTCCACCAAGGCAGAGCTGCAGCTGGGAAGTCATCTCCAGGCAGAGCAAGGAGGATTTGCCTCCCAGGAGGAATAAGCAGGTGGAAACAGGCAAGGAGGAAGAGATGCAAAAGGATTTTATCCCTCAGGTGCCACTACGCGACCAAACTTGGATGAGGAGGGTCAGCCTCACAGCACCCCAGGTGGTGCTTGACTGAGCAGAGGCTGTTTGTTTTAAGCTGAAACCCAAAGCAAGCAATAAGGCGAGGAGAAGATGCTATCAGACACATCCATCTACTGTCAGCTTCTTCCTTTACCAAGGGAGAGCCAAGGCCAATTTTTGTTAAAGCTCTCCTCACATTCCTGTCTCACCTAGA